AACTGTCCTACACATATTCGCGTTCGTCCCTCTGAACCCTTTAAGCTAGGTTAAGACAGGCCAAGACCCACCGATAAACCGTATTCATTCCTCTGGTTCTGGAAAAAATACCGTTTTTCAGGACACCTTCATAATTAAGATTTCACCGCACAGCAATCGGAGTGTATTGATAAAAGAAGGTCACTGACCACGGTGCGTACGTGGAATATCGGGCGGCAATCCGCTACATGCGCCCAAATCCACCTCGGTTCTTCCATGGACGCTCAGACGGGAAGGGGATCTTAGACAGGCGAGTCTCCTTCCTGGAGTGATTTCCATAGTGCAGATACACTCAGCAGACACATGCCACCATTGTACTCATAGTTGCGGCATGATAACGCTTCCTCGTGCAACCATACCACCCCCCCCCACCCCCCCCTTGGCCACATTCGTCCTCAAGCAAGCAAGCGCATGGGATATTTGTTTATTTATTTATTTTGCCCGGTCTCTGTCTTGTCTCTTTCCTTTCTTCCCACCACGTCGCCCATCTTTTATCGCTCCCCAAGCGCCGCTCAAGGACACCGCTTTGGCATCAACACCCGAATGGCCGAGCCAGGAATACCACAGCAGCGGTTCCAGACGTTCCGTCCACACTACAGCTCTGACCTTTTGCCTGCGTTCAACAATCGAATTGATGTCCGTATAACTACTATTGATGACAAGGATATTGTTCTCTGGGGTGACATTCAGGCTGCCGTTCATAATGCCGAATACATCACATACGAAGGCCAACCGATAGATTTCCTCGTCGACGAAAAGGAAAGAGAGTGAGTAAAATAGAGACAGGCACAGCGAAGCGAAGGCACCTAACAAATTGCACTTGTTAAGGGAAAGTGATGATATCCAAGTTCCTCTAACGTTTAACGAGTATCTTTTAAAAAAAAAAAAACGCACGCACACGCACATATAGGATTACGCCGCTTCGGATTTTGGCACAGCCTACTAAGGTATTGAATGTGGTCGTTCAGGCACCTACGAGAGCTCAAGCTTCAGGAAGGAGAGGACCTGGAGCACTGTCGAATTTGATCGCACACTCACAAATGCAGTCGGCAGTCTCAGCATCCGAATTTGAATCACTTCCTTCCTGGGCAACTTCACCCTCAATGATATCTTACGACAACACTCCTAATCGGGCAGCAGAGCCTTTCAGAAACCTCTCGCATACGCCTCCAACATATTTAATATCGATTTCCGCAGCAACAACGGCTGACTCGTGTAACGACGGCGCTGTGTATCCCGACAGCCTTTGGGACTCTCACCGCGACACCGATCCACCGACTCTCAGCAGTAGCGTCAGCAGCAGTGGAACCTTCTACAGTGTGCCAACGAGACAAAATTCCATGGCACAAACGGAGCCGGCTACAGACAGTGAGGATGAAGACGAGGGCAAGGATGAGGACGAAGATAAGAGTGAGGACAGAGACAAGGACAAGGACGAAGAAGATGGACTCAGCACGTCGCTCGTACCACCTAGCCCCGCGCTGTACCTGACCACGGATCTTTTCGCTGAGCTCAGCAGGGACTCAACCCCCATGAATAACGGTGGAATGACAGCTTCAGCTCCTCACAGTGGCTACACTCCTTCCGAAGCCGAGAGTACAGACCTTAGCGACTCAATCCGGAGAATCACCTTGCGGGATGAGGGCATCACCATTCTCTCTGTATCCACAGATGCCTCAACGTCCGCCCTATCGGCAAGTAGTGCTCGGGTACATTTCGAGGATACAGCCAGCAACCCGACTAACGCCCATGCTCGTCAGTTTGGAAGGATCCCTTCGATAAGTAAGGGACGATCACAAGGAGTTAATTCCAACCTTCATTCTGTGAATACCATCCCAGCGCCAAGAGATGTCCAAGGACAGGTCCTGCAGTATATGGAGCAGCTGCAGTCTCTACTGCTGCATGAGGTGCCGATGCCGCAGCTGTTCATTGTCATGCCAAAGAGCTGTCCGAACGAAAACCAGGCCAGGCCTTATGCGGATGGATATCGTCTCTTTTGGATCTGCGAGCATGGTGGCGATCACCCAGATGGATTCACTGTCAACGTCGATAGAGCACATGAGGATCCAGGATGTTATCTAGAGGCTGTACACGGAGGATTCGAACTGGAGCGGCATTCGGAGTTTTTCATGAAGTATGGCGATATCCTACAACTGAATCTGCAGGCGTTCATGTACAGTCGGCACAACGAGGCGATGAGCGAACCACCAAGGTCGGCACGGAGTAGTGGGCCGAGGAAGGAGAGCGTTGGGTACGATGAAGGAATAGTGTTCTTGGGGAAAGCACTCGGCATGACCAATCAGCAAGTGGAGTGGAGTCTAACCTGGATCCAGAACCATCTGGTATCGCTGACGCTGCACTCCACAACGATGAACCGGTCGGACGCGCGGAACGGGGCGAAAGACCGAGCGTGGCGCCTGACACCGGACGATCTGAAGGATTTACGGTCATATATTTGCCAAGCCCCGGATCCAAGCGCGGGACCGAAGGAGCGCGGAAACTTGTATCGGTCTGTCGACGCCAGCGGTCATGTGCGATGGGTCTGCTCAATCCACTATTGCGAGCTCCATCCGTTCTTTTTCCCCATATACGTCAAAGAGGCTTTAAGGAGCTCGGAGAGTGGATACTACGGCATGAGGATGGGGCAAATTTCTATGCAGCCGCGCTCAGGTATCGAGGCGTTGAATATCTACAGTTCACTGGTTGCGATCTCCGGCTGCCTGTCCGAACTGACGCTTGAGATTTGCTGGGATGTGACATTGGAGGAGTTGAGGAATCTTCGTGACGCGATCGTCTGCTTCGGAGTGGTCTGCGTCCAACTCACAGGACCAGGGCTCCGAAGAGCCTCTGCGGCCCATGCGGAAGTCATCATCGAGATTCTGTCGCATCCACGGATCCAGTCCTTTAAGTTGGAGTGTGCTCAAGGAATCCTAAAACATCTCACATCGGTCATGTTACCGACGATATTTCCGGGGCTCCGAACGCTGGAGCTGAGTCTGGAGACCACAGGATCGGACTTGGATACTATCAGCCGAGGGCTCTCCTCAGTGGTCATGACTGCCCTTGAGCTGCAGGAGCTGGTTGTAAAATGGGAAGAGTTCGAGGAAGTTTTTGATCTCGAGGATTTTCTGCGGAGAATCACTTTTGAGCTGTCCGAGCCCATCAGAGTTTCGCTAGAGATCCGAGGGCACAAGATCGGCTTGACGACACGTAGGGATGGGGCTTGCGATGCCTCGGTCGAGTGCTCGGATTTGTTGATTGCATGGTCGAACCATTTGGTTTCTGGCGGACGGGTTGGGAAGCTGACGATCACGAATACTATAGATATGATGGACAAGAGCAATCACGAGTTGATCGAACGGATCTTGGAGAATTCTTGTTCAGCATTGAGGGTGCTCCAGCTGAATTGCGATATGCACCACTTCAAGACTGCCGCAGAACTGATCAGAGAATATCTACTGAAGCAGCAGCCTCGTTGTGGGTTCAAGTACCTTTTTCTGGTGGACAGCACGAGGCCCAGTGCTGTGAGCAAATGGAAAGTTTCATTCCCGTTTGAAGCAGCATCGATTGCTTATGAGGTCATGTAGTTCTGAATAAAAGGATATACCTCCAAGAAACACTGGATCCTGTGGCGACATCTATGGCCTGCACGGAAGAACGTTGCGGATAAAACTAGTTGTGTCAAAGGGGTACTTTCAGCACTATCTGGACTATTCTAGCTTTATTATAGCCCATCTCAAAATGAGCAACATGTTTCCTAATATGGAGGTGTGTACACTTCTCACATTTAGAAATTCAAGTCAAACAAAACGTGCCGTTCAGAATTGCACGTTTTCCGCTTTTGAAGTTCAGGACAAAACGGAACGTCCACGTTTACCTGATATGAGCTTTAATAAATCAATCGTCCGTCATCAATCCAAGGTAAACCATCCTGTTGTCATGCCTCAGATTTCGAAACACCAAGAATACCTTAAGGACCTGGAAACACGGTTGGCTTTCGCTATTATAAATGGGGACAAGGCGTTGGAGGAAGATGTTCTTACTCTATTTCACTTGGTTTTGGAGTCGCGATATCTTGGTAGAGGCTGCGCGATTATTACTTCTACTCCACCAAGTTCCACAACCTTCCGGACGGTCAGTTTCAATCTCGGTTTAGTACAACTCGACAGAGGCTGGCAGCAGTTACAGCACTGATAGATAATCATCCTATATTCCTTGTGGTGTATTCACCATGTTGTCCTGCTTTCTGAAAGTGCCCCATTTCTCTGAATCTGCCACCACTCGGCGCTGATTATGTATTAAGAGCATACCTCCTATACTAGATGCACGACTTGCCCATTATTAAAAGGGCATTTCGTTTTTCACAGATATCATTCCCATACTCCGCATTCCTCAACAACTCAAACCGCCAACAAATACATCCTGGGAAATTATGGAAGCAGAATCAGAGTGGACGAACTGGCAACGGGCTTGGACATAAGAATGGGAACTGTTTCATTGTACACGAGCCGAGTGATCACAGCATTAATATCACTTGCACCACAATGGGTAAGGTGGCCGGACGAAAAGCGCAGGGAGGAGCTAGGCCATGTAATGCGCAAGGAGGAGACTCCTGGTTGTATTGGGCTCATTGATGGGACTACCATTCTTCTTTTCCAGAGGCCAGCACTTCACGGCAACCGTTATTTTGACTGGAAGAAAAGGTGCGGTATTGATGCTATACAGGCTCATGGTTACAAGGGAATTCAACCCTCATATATTTTTATTTATTTGAAGTAGATATTCCGTCAATATGCAGGTTGTTTGTGGTGTCGACGGCCGGATTACTGCGATCCATGCTGTGCGCCCTGGTTCCACTTCAGGCTCGTCTGTTCACAAACTCATGGAACTGCACATGCATCCTGGACTATGCTTCTCCCCGGGTCAGTACCTCCTTGCCAAGTAATACATTCCTGCATATAAACCTCCTGCCGCAGACAAAGACGGTAACGCTGAATTCAACTATTGCCTGACCCGCTCACGAGTCCGGAACGAACATTGCGTTGGAGTCCTGAAACCGCGATGAGGATCACTCAGAGAGATGAGGGAGCAGATCCGGAGCATGAGGGATATGCAGATTCTAACGAGCTGGATGCACTATATTGACCTATGTAGTACGTGCGAGCAGAGACAAGCACCCTTCACGTGGTGCAGACGGGCAGTGCCTTATAAGGTGCCCGTCTGCCCAGGAAATAAAGATCCTTCTCTTGTCTTGCTGACCTCCTGTCTGTAAGTAAATATATAAGGGTAAAAGATTGCACTGGATACTGGCTTTCTGCGTGCTTCACAACATGCTGGCGTCAATTGGCGATGTCTGGGAGAAATCGTACGCTGGCGAACCCCAATCTGTGTGTGCTGATTCTGGTGAACTAGTCCAGGCTACCATTGGCGTGCAAAGCTTTGAAGACGACGCGTGAGATAAACTATGCAAAGGGTGTTCTAAGTTCTAAATCTAAAATAAACGAGAAAAATTCCCGCGCAAAGATTTTCGTGCCGCAGCCATGTAAGAAATAAGATTTTTTTCGAGACGCGTTAATTTAGACTTTTTTTTTTAAACGCGTTTCTCCCTGCCCTTACCCACACCTTGGTTTATTCATCAGATGTGTCTGCAATTGCCAGGAGTTCTCTAGCTATAGTCTGATATTCGTGTGTCATAGCTGTTATACAAGTCTCAGCCATGTGAAAGGATCCAGGCTTGATCCAGCTCTTATCCATATTGGACCTCTGAGAATGAAACGCTTGTTGCCTCGATCAATCCGAAGGCCACATGCCTAGAATATTGGCAGTGACCTTTTACCCCAACCAACCTCATAGATAGCTTATAGGGATGGGACAACCCCATACTTCTGTAGGCGCTCCTTGCTGGCACATCATCACTGTAGAGAATCGGACACGGACACATTAAAATTATACATGACAATTGATAGTCAAGGACGACTGTAAATAATCAGTCAAGTCAGAGAGTCAAAGGCTAGGTCATAGGATATGTACTAAGCTCTGCGCTTTTCAACTATGTATGGAGATGGACACATCTTTGCCAAGGAAAGCCGACTTACTGTCCGAAGGACACGAGCGAGATGAAGATCTGTTTCCTGGGCTCATTTTCTCAGATGAAGTAAGGATGATGTTCTCATTGGAGTTGAATGAGGATGAAGCTGTGCATGCAGTCTGCTCCGTGACGTTTTTGAGGTCAAGCACATACCTGAAAGACCCGCATAGAATAATACAAGTCGACGATGTATTGTATTCTGGTTGCATAGTGCAGCATCATCAATAGCCAACTGCACACTCCTTGCTTTGCGCCATACTCGCTAAAAAACCTCGCTTCAAGACGAGGTCCATTAAGCAACATAACAAAAAAAAAACGATTTTATTTTTATGCCCTGCGATAGCTCTGATGGCAATCTCCACGGCGAAATGGCCTTAAATCTGTGCTTGAGTTACTTGCTAGCATGGTCAGAAGTGCATGCACGTGCATGCTGTCGCATGTCTAGGCTTTGCCAAAGTCATTTGTCCTGAACTTCAAAAGCGGAAAACGTGCAATTCTGAACGGCACGTTTCGTTTGACCTGAATTTCCAAATGTGGGAAGTGTGCACACCTCCATATTAGGAAACGTGTTGATTTTGAGAGGGACTAAATTAATGGGAAATCCTTAATCTCAGTCACTAATGTCTTCTCCTTGAACGCGATTTCCACCTCCTTCAGCTCCACCATATCTCTGCATCGCGCCAAAGCTGAGCCCTTCACATGCAGGGACTTGAGCGACACCTCAACGCCGTTCTGAGGAATTACTTCCGTAAGGACTCGCATTTGCTGGAGCCCAAAATTCGTATTTTCGAAGCTCAGGGTCTCCAACGTTGAGAAGTCGACCGCCTGGATGATTAAGTTCCAATCATCCGCAGAAAACTCCATGTTCTCTAAGCGTACATCACGCAATGGCATCCATGGCCAGGATGGACTCACAAGTGGATCAGATTGGGGCGAGGACGGTGTAGCGGCAGTGGGTGGGATGACAGGTGCCTGCAGAATCCCTGCCAGCCATTTTGCGCACGTTGTAGGGACGGATTGCCGCTTCACGCAAACGATTTCGAAATTGTTGAGTTTTGGAAGATAGCGCCGCTCAGGGAGCATCTTGCTGATGCTGGTAAGCCATTCTGCTGCGTGATCGCCTCGGAGAGTCAGGCCGTTGAGACGGTCTCCATACTGGATTAGGCACCGTTGGATCTTTTCCTGTTGGGCAGCATTACCCAGCTCCTGGAACTCCATTTGAAGGTCTTCGAGGTAGTCAGGCCAGTCAACAACTGAATCCATCTTCTCAAGGGCGACCTGTGTTACCGAGGTGAGATCCAATCTCAGATGCCGAGGGCCACAGTCTCCTTCGCGGGCGTATTTTTCGAGGAGTTCGACATGATAGTTACTGAACGACTTGCCAGCGACCAATTTCTTGATGGACCAACCATACATATCCAGAAGGTTCGCGACGCCGGAAGCAATAGAGGAGGAGGCCTGAGAGCTCATCCTTACGTCGGTCGACATGTCGAACTCGCCTGAGGTGCCTGAGAAAAATACGGTCATGATCGCAGCATCTATATGATGATTGCCGTCGCTCTCTGTGCCGGGGTCGTGTGTTTGTAGTCGTAGCTCGCGCAACGCAGAGGTGAGCCTATCGGAGATCATTTTCTGGCGTGTATCCTTGATCAGGCTGAAAATGTTGTGGAAGCTCCCTGCACCACTCGTAACCTCGATCCTGTCTATCTTGGGACTGCACCTCAGAAGTGCTGCGAGTCGATCGACGCTGGAAGCATCGGTAGAAATGTGCCTGATTTTGAGCTCTGTCAGGAGACCCTTGTTCAGGAAATGCGATTGAGAGGTAACGTCATGGATATTGGAGAGGTCTGCGATTGCGGCCAAGATCTTGCCTTGAGAAAAGCGGATGGTTATGGTGGAGTCGCTGAGCCTGATCATAGAAGGCATGGCAAACTTAAGGACCATTTTGTTGAGCTTATGGTTCGGGTTCAGCCTAGTGACAAAACTGTAGGTGGTCCACACGCAGTCGCTTCGGAGAGTCAGTTCGGTTAACGAGGGACAGTTTTCCAACGTTTTTTCAAGTGCAAAGGAAGGACTGCCTTCCTTGAGCGGAATTTTGGCGTCAATCGATAGCACCTTGAGCTGAGATACTTTTGTAGCGACATTGGTGATCCGGGAGAAAAAATCGTCAAAGTGCTCGAGTCGTAAGGATTGGATGGTTAGATTGCTCATGAGTTCTATGATAGGCTCGAAACGACGACTGGCGCTTATCAATCCGCGCGCTTTCGAGGGGCTCTGGAGGGAACTGCCGTTCAAAGTCAGATGGGTAATGATGGCTTTACTGACGGCGTCTTTGAGTTCTCTTAGGTCACTAGTGGTAACATCCCAGGCGAGTGACATGTCCAGTTCCCGGATCCCGCGTGCCTTGACCATGGCCTCGTAAAATTTTTTGGCTACGTCTCTGGATGACACCGAGATCTTGATCCTCCCGTACTGCTCGTTGAGCACTCCACCGTTGGACTCGACAACTTTTCTCAGCGGCACCATGGCCATATCGCGATAATTCTCGCGATAATGATCTATGCAGACCCACTTGACATGCCCCTCGCCAGTGACGATCCTGTAAAGGTTCCCGAGGACACGACCCTCGTCCTTGATTTCCAAGAATGACTCGAGCTGGCGAAGATCCGCTCCCGCGAGGGCCTCCAACTGAGCGAGCTCGAGCTGGCCGTCTGTCCGCTCCGGATCGTAGCTCGAATCGGTCGGCAGTCCTTGAATGTATGTGATCATCTCATCGACGACGGATCCAAAGCTAGCCCTTACAGCATCGAGGGATTTCTCCACCTTATCGGTCACTCCTTCAACGCTGAACAAGTTCAAGGCTGGCACGACCATCCCGGCGATCTTGCAGCCTGTCTGGACCATTTGGAGCATGGTCAGCGCATACCGGCCATATTTTGCGAAAAACTCGGTCGGCCGGTCCAAGTCGTAGCCTTCGTGCTTTGCCAGATGGATTTTGTGGAAGATCCTGCTCTCTTTGGATGATGTATGCTCGCCGCACTCACAGAGAAAATAAAGCCGGAACTGCTTCTTGAACGGTTTGAGAAGCCAGTCCCTCCGTCGAGGATCCCTGGGCAAGACGATGAATAGTCTTGGAATCGGGTACTCGTGCAGCTCATAGTTTTGGGAAATGACATGCTCGATGCGCTTTTTGATGTAGGTAACATTATTGAGGATCTTTTGAAGCCTGTCGGTAGTGTTGATCTGAAAGTTGTTGGTTCTGATCCTGTCTTCTTCAAAGCCCTGAAACATGCTCATAAGCTTGGCCTCCGTGATTCGGCCAGACATGATGCCCTGGGTGTATGTTGCAACAAAGTCCTCGTCCATAGGATCGCATTGCTTTGTGAGTACGTATTCTTCGCATTCATACTTTGCGTAGGGGCTTTCGACTAGTGTTGTAACGGACGCAGAAGAATCGGGTGGAGGTGGCATCTGGGGTCTCGATGGGGTGTTATGTGGCGGCATATCCTTGGGGGCAACATCGAGGACAACATCGAGGACCGCGCCTGGGTGATAGCTGATTCGTTCAGGAACAAGGCTGAAGGGAAATACATTTTCGAGTTCAGAAAAGGTCGACTCTATACGGGTTGCAAAGAGCTATGCCTATAGGGTTGTCTTACTTACTCTTCAAAGTTGGCGTCAGTCAGGAGAGCCACATGAAGGTCTCCGTTCATGACATATTGGACGTTCTTGAAGACCTCTTTAATATGTTTCCAGAGGATGATGTACTGTCCTGTGATTAGGTCCTTGTGGGCTTTGATGGTAACGATTCTAGGTGAGCACGAAGGTGCTCCAGAGGGTTCGCAGGCTCGGAAGGTCTGGGTGGGGTTCTGGTGGTGGCTGCTCGGCGCGGCCATGATGTTGCTTTTTTGCTACCGCAGCTGCGGGAAGCAGAAGAAGTGAGGTTGGAGTGCGAGGGAAAGATGGAAAGAGGGGTGGGGACACCTGTATGTATATATAGTCTCAAAAAAATAAAAAATGGCGAAGACCATAAGAGAGTTCACGTTGGTGCTCTCATCATTGCCCTATTTGCTATATCTCCATCTCCATTTGCGCGGTTTAGACCTGCATGACCGCCTCTTTTGGACCTTCTACTCCTCTTTTCCAAGGAAAACATGGGTAGACAACCACTAGACTACCTGCGTAATCGATGAGGAGCGAGAAATCGTCTCCGGCAGCCTGCCGGATGCACAATTGCCCTTTTTGTCGTTATCGCTTTTGTTTATGGACTCCTCAGTGGCTCGATTGTTTTGTATAGTGCAATGTTTTCTCCGTACCACCTTCGCTATGCCTTTCTCGCTCTTGTTTACACCTGCTCTGTCACATCTTGTCCCCCTTCGCCCCTCAGCCCTGTTCTTTCTGGTTTTTTTCCCTTGGCTTCTCCTCTTTTCTTCCCTTCCCGAAACCACGCGCCATCTCAACTCTCACGGACAAAGCCAACATGACAGCTACAGGAGCCACTCCAACGCACCAGGCTTTTCGCGTTCGCGCCGAGGGACCATCCAATGTAACCGCTCCTGTCGACATTCGCCTGGAATTTGACAGTCGGATTAACCAGTATATTGTCCGATGGAGCGAAATCCAACGAGTCTTCGAGAACCCCCGGTATATCGTTCACGGTAACGAAACCATCTCTCTCGTTATCGATGAGAATTTGAACGAGTAAGTGAGGTTATCAGTAGAGCAGTTTCTGTAACATATTAATTTCAGCAATTGAAGAAAAAATCACTCACGCACTCTGATACGCACAACAATCAAACCCATAGACTGACACCGCCTCGGATTGTAGCTCGCCCCGATGTGGTCCTGGATGTAGTCCTGGAGCACTTTAGCTCTCCCGGCTCCCCAGCTTCAGTCTCGGGTACATTGCTGAGGAGACACGCATCGACGGCAGGAACGACGGAGCATTTGTCATACACACCGCCCACTCGACGTTCGCTTCAACCCTCCTTGCGGCGCTCACCTGAACAGGCCGTGCAGACATCTCTTAACGTTGCCCTGGCCGATATCAAACGTCCTATCACCCCAGGGGCCAGTTTCAGCCATCCTGGCAACTATCCTTGGGCATACTCTGAGAACCATCCATTGGTCCTTACCAGTGGATGGGAAGGCTTGCAATACAACGTCGCGGATCCTGACACGCCACTGGTCAACGCTTATGCAGTCAGCTTTACACATCAAAACTACCCTCTCGTCGATTTTAGCAGGGGCAGCGATGTTGATGCCGCCGCCAGGCATGATACTCCATCTCTTCGTGCGGCCCGAGAGATGGCGGTCGTTAACACTAGTCGGGCAAGGACCTGGACTTCAGCGCATCCAACACCGGAGCAGGTGCATGCAGTCAGTGTTATAACACAGGAGAATCCAGCAGCAACACAACAGCCCCAAACATATGTCGATAGGTCTGAACTGCCTCATATCGTGGAATATCTGACGCAGGTGAATTCCTTGAGATGGCACGAGGCACCGATGCCGCGACTATTCATTGTGATGCCACGCGTCTTTTCCGAGGTGCTCGATCTAACTCGAGATACATTCCGTCTCTTCTGGATGTGCGAGTACATGGGTGATCCTAGCGAGAGCGAAGACCTACTTAAGCCTACCATCATACCTCACATGGACCTTCACCAAGGTTTTGATCTTGATCGGCCAGCCGAGTTCTTCATGAAATATAGGCCTCATCTCCTGCGTAACTTTCAAGTGTTCATGTACGACCTCTACTGGAATCCCTACAGAGGCAAGTCCTCTAAAGTAGGGACATCGAACGAGCCAGATATCCGTTACGATCAAGCCATCCGGCATTTGCAGGGAATGCTCAATATGACCGAAGAGCAGGTCGAGCAAAGTCTGAGCATGGTCCTCAGTCATCTTATGACGCTGTCTTCTGCGGCCCCGGACGTTGCATCATCAAGGCGGAGTATCCTTTCGTTCTCAGCGCCAAAGTGGTCCAACAACCCTCCCCAGCTCACCCCACAGGACTTTGCTCAACTACAGTCGTTTTTGTTGAAACCTGGCACAAAAAGGACAGGAGCCGAGAATGTGGGCAATCTATACCGGTCCGTCGATATTAATGGCAACGTGCACTGGGTCTGCCTCGCCCACCTTCATGCTATCTACCCATACAGTCTCTTCGGTCAAACGTTCATGCGGGATACTGAGGCGCTCTGCGGGACTTACAACGCTCACAAGGGTCAGATCGCCGCTCGACCTAGGTCGGGACTCCAGGCACGGATTCTCTATGCGATTTTGAAATCGAGCCCTGGATTCGTACCCGAGATCTTTCTTGACATCGGAAAGGAATGGACCATAAGTGACCTGGGCTACATGTGCAAAGTCGTCACCGAGTCCAAGGCTACGAGTCTCAATCTTACTGGACCAGCCGATTACCTTGCGTCCCGCGCCAGCTCCGAACTCTTGCTTCAGATCCTGATGAACGAGCAGATACAATCCTTCAGCATGGAGAACGCACAGGGGCTTTTGAAGCATGCACCTCCGATCATGCTTCAAAGTGGAGCATTCAAGAGTCTACAAAGCTTACGTCTCACGCTCGATACCGATGGTCAGGCTGCTACTGTACTGCTCTATCTGCACAAGGTTATTAACTGCTCGCCTTTTCTCGAAGACCTGAGCATACGCTGGGACGAGTTGGAGACTGAACAAAACATAGAAATATTTCTGTCGAACCTGACCAACCGATCAACGCCTCTCGCTGTCAACTTGAAGGTTAAGGGTCAGGACGTCTCTTTGACCATCAACAAGGGCGACATTGGTGATATCAGTCTGGAAGTTGCGGATCTTTCTTGGGCCTACAACAATACTCTAATTTCCCAATATCAAGTTGAGACATTAAGAATCATGGCTCGGATTGTTTTCTCTGACCCCGATACGGAACCAAGGCTGCGATGGGTTCTCTCGCACAGTTCGGCTTTGGTTAAGCTGACGCTGACCTGTTGTGCGCTCGATTTCCGACTTGTGGAGGACATGATCAGGAGAGTTACGGGAGAACTACCAGCAGATTGTGGTCCTCAATGGTTGGTCCTAAGAGAGACTGAGGACGACAACATCCGAGCCATTTTTCCGCTCGCCTCACCTCAGGGCGATTCCGCGCAGGTTGATATCACGGTTTATGAGCACGATAAAGGTCTAGAGTCGTTGCTGCAGACGTATGGTTCCGTGGTCCGCACGTTCAACACAACTCATACCTCTGGACAAAGCCAATTGAAGTTTCTATACCATGCCATGCGTTTGAAGAAAGAGACTTCCCAACTGGCGTCTATGATGATCGCCCTGAATTGCGGGAAATGGCGCGCGTACGAACCTCTGAAGGGGATTTTCGAGATCTGCAGCGGCACCCTGATGCAGTTGACTTTGGTCGGATTTATGGAGCGTCAGGAAGATGAAGTCTTGTTTCTGGAGACCTTGAAGTCATACGGAGGTCGGCAATTGATTATTTCCAAGACGAGACAGCCCCTAACACCCCCGGGTCCTCCTCAAGTACTCCGAAGAGGGAATACGTCGTTTTTTAACAGTAGGTTTCGTAGCGATAGCAACGGCCAAGGTACTGCTCAGTCTAGAGACTTGGATGCGGTGATGCAACGGTGGATTGCGAAGATTAAGGAGAAACTTCCGCGTGTGGATCTTAAAGTCGTTGACGACTTCGAGGCACTTTGTGATATCGTGCCTGGCGTTACAAGAAACAGTTTTACACGGCTGCAGCGAACGTAGTTTATTTTATTGCAAATGACAATAGTTAGGAGATGCGGAGCAAACATTAAAGGCACCGTTTAACTATTGAAAGTATCGGGCCGTGGATCTACATATTTTCATATTTTTCTTTTATTTGCGTGGGTGTGCATTATGTAACGAAAGTTGGAGAGCATGGGTCTGGAGAAAGAGCATATTCGTTTTGTTGACTGGCGTCTGGCAGTTATCAGGAAGCAGGCTTTATGATATAATCCACTTCTTTTCACCTCCCACAGCTAGCCTTCATCGCCTTTTAGCCCTTATAGCCCAATTCCTACTGCGATTCTGCCAATGCCAGAATCGATCCCCCATTCCCTACAGCCACCGCCTTTTCTGCTCCTCCCATCGCGGCGGCCGTTGTTGTGGTCCCTGCATGCGAATCTGGTGGCGACCCTGCTAATCCCGAAAACCCAATTCTTGACGATCCAGCCGAGGTCGGTGCAGGATTCGTGGAACTGTCCTTCGAGATAGAGTTGCGTCCAAACATAGACTGCAAGCGTGTCAGGCTGCCCTTCTTACGGATCGCGTTTTGAGTGTTCTCGCTCTGGCGGAGGTTCAGGATTGCATCGTTGGCGGGCGGAGGACTACCAGAGGTGGATAAGCTGCGGCCGTGATGACTGTGGCCGTTACTGTTGTTGCCCTGAACTTCGGACCAGGTCTGGTTGTCTGTGGCGATGTCGCCTCCGAGGGTCGTGGGGCGAGAGAGAAGGTATGAGATCGACTAGAGGGTTTATACAAATAAACGTTTTTGAGGGGGGTGAGATGGCCATGCGACGGTCTGCATATCAGAGGTAAACAGTAGTGTTGTAAGGAGAGGAAGTTGCTTACCTGGAACCAGAGTTCGTGCTTCTCACGCGTAGGAGCTTTCAGTTTAAGGTTACGGGTTGTCGTCTGAATCAGCAAGCTGACGTTAGGTAGACCCGGATTTTGCCCGCTGGTGTTTTCGTCCGTCACCTGGAAGACGGCCAGGATGAATGCTACAACGTTGGTGAGGGTAAAAAGAAGGCGGAGGATTAGAATAATAATCCAGCGGGAAAGACTCATTCCTTAGCATCCCTCGATAAAAAAATAGCAAATGGTGCTTACCGCTCTTGGCACGCTGCTCGCGCGATCCTTCAGCGCCGGGGTTGCTTAAGCTCCAGTACAAAGTCTTGGTGTAGGGATGGACCCACACATAGCGTCTGTGGCTCTTCTCGCTTCTCATATTCGTCATCTTTCTGCGGGTATACTTCCAGAGATAATCTCCAATCATAGTCTGGGTGATCAACTGAATCATAGTTGGATCTGTCGATGTAACATCATAGTTCGAGCCGCTCGACATTCTTCGTCCATTGCGGTATTGTCCACCATGGTTATAGTCCGTCGACATACTCGAGATCGAACCATTGGGCGAGCTGCGGTAGTTGGGATGACGACCAACCACGGCACCCGAGGCGTCGGTGATAACATGATGCTGGTGGGTGCTGCTGTTAAGTTGGGGCAGCAGTACCTGGCTCGAGTTTTGGTCGTAGGTGTATGTGGTTCGAGAGGAGACAGAGACGACGGTCGCGGGTATCGGTCGAACTGCAGGCTGCGATCCTGAGGCAGAGGCTTGGTGGCCCTTTTCTGTAGCTGCAGCAGCAGAAGTGGAGGCATCAGTCTCTGAAGTGGATGGGGCCTGTTGCTGTTGCTCGTTTTCGTTCCGCTCAGAAGCATGGGATCCTCTCCGGCTATTCTCCACAGTCTCGGGATACGGAGCAGAGGCACTGCCGTTGGAAGAAGAGGAAGCATTCTTGCCATTCGAGAGCACATGTGTTGCTGCTGCGGCTACTGCTGTAACTCCAGCTGCTCCAGCGATAACTGCAGGTGCTACAGATGATGACTCAGTGCCGGCCTCTTTAGAATTACGATCGTTGTCCATGTGAACCGAGCGGATTCTTCCTGTGTCAGTGGCACTGGGATCGCCACCAAATGCGGATCCAAACGAGACCCTGAACTCCCGTTCCTCATCATCCACAAGAGGGGGATGTTCGGACGAGAGATCCTTAGGCATCTCAGGAACAGAAGGCACGTCAGATGCAGGTCCTGCGGCGATGGTCTGGCTGAGGTCACAGGTGTGCCGACGCTCCTCGTCAACAGCAACGCTTGGTTTGCTGCGAGGCACGGGCGCATCTTTTTGCCCGTCCTCCTTCTCCTCCTCAGCATTATCTTCAGCATCAGTGCTTGTGGCAGCGACAACAACATCAAGAGCTCCGACGTCGGGAGATGAGGCAATGGGGCCCAAGGTATCGATGCGCTTTGTTTCCGTTCCAGGTTTACCGGTGATGGTTGTGGCGTCTGTAGTGTCCTGTTCCTGAGCTTCCGATTCCTTGTCAACACCGACCTTCTTAGTACTTGGCTCTTCGGGTGCATTTACAGGCGCAGCGACAGGGACAGGCGCAGCGACAGGGTCCAACTCTCCAGATGTTTGTTGAGATGCGGCTGCGCTGTTCAAAATATCTGTCAGTCCAGGAACTGTGTGAATCCAGCTCTCGATGGGCTCGGTCATGACCTCCTGGTCCTTGTACTCTGCTGGGGGCTTCACGTTAGATGCAGACGTCGCCTGCGCCAACTCTGCAAAGAGTCCTCCGGCAGGGAAGGGCGAGCCACGTCCGTTGCTGAAATCCTGGGATTCATCCTCTGACAGGGCCATGCTCAAATCACGACGGTCCGCAGCATCGACTTCATCCAACAGGCCCATTTCTGAGGGATACCTTGAGCCCACACCACCAAGCATAACATGACTCGATCGCTTCGACAAAGAATCGGGCTGCTCGAATGCGACGGCACCTTCCAAACGCATTGTCTCGATGGTCTCTTCACGGTCCGCCAGCATCTTGACCAACTCCTCCTTTTCAACCAACAGTTCCTCCTTTTCGTTAAGCAGCTCTTCCTTTTCTGTGAGCTCCTTGCTGAGCTTTGTCTGGAGTTCATTAATGATAGACTGCTGATGCGCAAATGAAGTCTCCCTAGCCAAAGACGTGATCTTTTCTGCTGAAGCCGCTACTGAGGCGATTGCAGGAGCTGCAGTAGTTCCATCGCTGCTCAACGTTCTTGCAGGCGATTGGATCAATAGTGGTCGACCTGAGGTGTTCTCCTGCTCCTTCTCCTTCTCTTCAAGTTCTTGTGCCAGGGCAATGGCATCCTGAGTCGCCTTCTTTGAGAGCTTTTGCTGTTGCAATGCCATCTCCTTGTTGAGATCTTCGACCTTGGTCAACAACTCCGCCTTCTCGCGTTGAACGCCCGCCATATGCTTGCGCATGGCCGCTATATCTTGCTCAAACCTAGTCTTTACGAGCTCGAGCTGACTGGTGATTTTCTCTTCCTTGTCCTTGAGCTGCTCCGCTTGTTCTGTCGCGGCCGTGAAGGCCTTCTGGACCTTGGCATTCTCGTGCGTTGCCTTTGACAGCTGTGCCTGAAGTTCTGCGTTCTGATTCCGGAGTTCCTGATTTTGAAGTTCCAAGTTCCATTGGTCTTCTTTTTGCCGTTCTATTTATACGTAAACATTCGCTTCAGATGTGCAATTATCTGCGACCTGAAAAAAAGACCCAATGTAACAAGACTGCTGCATACCTTCACTCTCCTCCCGAAGGCGTCGCTGCTTGTTCAGGGCATCGATGATGCGCTCCTGCTCGTTGATCTTGGTGTCATACTCCTGATTCAACTTCTCTTTCGCCTCTGCTTGGGATGACCAGTAGCGAACTTGGCTCAACAGCTCCTCTTGAATTTGAAGAGGGAAGGCCGCATCGCCCACAGAAGGCTGAGAGGACATGTTGACCTTGTGTCGACGCGGTTTTGATATTATCTGCGCTGGCAGAGCACTCGAAGGTAGGGCACTTCCTACAAGCATGGATCCGGGGCGAGAAGTCTGAAGCTCACTTGGAGGATTGGGTTCTGTTACGGGCTGCATGAAATGGACAAAAGCATGAATGTTGCGTGAGTATCATTGGCCCAGAGCGCATGTGCTGACCACAGCAATTACTGAATCGATGCAGAAAGACAGACTGGCACATGCTTTTTATCCCTCATTAGATAACGCCCATACAGTGGGAGCGTTACATTAGAAATGGTGATGGATAATAATGGATAATGGATAATGGATAATGAAATTAAATGAGGTTGAGAGCACCAACAAAATGAAAGACATGGGTCCTCAGAGCCACCCTTCCTTTCGTTTCGCCCGTTCACCCTCCCTCTTCTGGATCAGATGCAACCCTTTGCACATGCTGGTAGAAATACATTCCTCGCGCGCAGCGAAGCACGATATTGAAATTCGAGCGGGAAACCCGCAGATACATGGCAACGTGTATCAAACTCAATTGAAAAAAAAAAAAAAAAAAAAAAAAAAAAATGAGGATGTCCACTGGAAGTCAACAAGGTGTCGTCGGGAGAAAGATGAGATTGCACGCTCTCCGGCGTAATAAGAAACACAGATAGCATGCACGGGCATACACCTGCATGCATTGGCAGAATACCGGTCGCCCATCGTCGCGCACGTAATATGTGGTTTGCATAACCTACCATTTGTGCATCTATCAATCTCTTCAGTCCCGCAATACCGTTCTCGCCTTCCTGAAACTCCTTATCAAGAGCCGATAACTGTTCGCGAAGGGACTCTGACAACGGCTGCTGTTGGACTTCTGACTCGTGGTCTTTGCCCTGCTGCTGCTGCTCCTGTTCAGTTAACTGATGGAGCTGTTCGAAGACATTCTTGAGTTCCTCCTCTCGCTTGACGAATAGCAGGCCGATTGTCTGAGTCAACTGCAAGTCATTATGGATCCCTGCGAGACGGGCTTCAAGCTCAGCCCTTGCCTGACCAACCGTCTGTAAGTTGGAGATGGAAGTCGAGCTCGAGCTCGGGGTGAGGACCGGCTGTCGAGGGGACTGTTGGGGCGTGAGATGTGATCCTTGGGGGGACTCTGCCATTGTTTGTTTTTCAGGGCCCGCTCTTCTGTTGTTGCTGTCGCCGTTGTTGATGTCGTCCTTGTTCAACTCAGAATGTTTTGGGCCGGGATGTCGATACAAAGACTGAGGGTGGTGCCGAAAAGAGGAGACGCGTAGGTGTCGCTCTCAGGTGCGAGGCGAGCAGCGGTCAGGTGAGCAGCGGTCGTATATGCGCACAGGTTCCTATCGCGACAAAGATATATGGGCGCAGGTAGGGTTGGTTCAGTTAGCAGGTAGATATCCAGTCAGAGCATAGTGCTGATGCATGGGCACCGTAAAATGGTGTGTGCCAGAGAGGTCGACGAACAAGCTAGAGAGAAGGAGATCCGGAGTTGGAACAAAGGAGCTGTGGACACAGAGCACTGTGGAGGAACAACAGTCCGCCGGGGCGAAGTAGCCGAGGTCGTCCACAGGAAAGAAAGCTGTGGCCGCCGGTATGGGAAACACAGAGGAGATTGGGAGGCAGACAACGGGTTGTATGTCCATGGTATGGTACATGAAAAGGGGCACAACCGTTCCTGAGATAAGACAGGAAACAGTAAACGTACTTTATGAAATCCGTCCACTCAGAAGCGCAAGCGGGGTCAGAGAATGGGTGGGTGAGAAGGGATTAGAGAGCCGGATGGGGATAGAGAATGTGGCAGACTGAGAGGGGGAGGGGGGGGAAAGATGAGATGGAAGGAGTGATGAGAAAGAGTGTAAAGAAGGGGGGTTTGTGAGTGTAGTGTTTTAGCTACTGCTGAGTTTCTGGATGTTTTTCTTGTTGTCAATGTGAACACTTCAAGCAAGCGCGTGCTTGTGTTTGTCTGAGCGAGTCTGGCTCATAAATTGGCATCAGAATGATTAGGTCTTCTCTGCAACAGCCTCGTGGGGACCCTAAGGGATCACAGTCGCGAATATCTGGGTCAAATAATGAATAGTGAAGTAGTAAACCATAAGCAATGGCAACCGACTCCATGCTCCCGCCTTCCACCCATTGCAACCCCAGTTAAACATAACGTATCTTTCGTCGCCACGAGGGATAGAAAACGCCCAGCTGTACTCGCCCTCCAAACTAGAAGCGCTTGATTAGCAAAGAGCGCCGACCTTATTTCAGGAATCGAGCTCGAGGAACGCCGCCAACTCAAACTCTTGCGATCAATGATCAACTCAGGACAAGGGACAGCAGATGTCACTGCTGCCTCCAATATACATGCCAAGACCATTCCGCTGATAGTGCCTGGCAAAATGCGGACTATTAGCCAGCTGCAGCCCTCAAAGTTCTGCGACTTTATCGGAGAGGTACGAACCTGCGGAGGAAAAAAAAGGAGCACGTATTGTACGTCGACCTTTACGCTGACATCTATCCTTTCACCCACTCTGACAATGCACATGCTCACAGGTCTGCTATTTCAGAGCTGAGCACAGTTCGTCCGGCAATAAGGTCATCATGCTCATGACAGACTACACTGACCATGCCTCGTTGCCGCATCAGGATAACGATGATAAATTGACGCGCATCATAGTAACACTCTGGGACGAGCACTTCGAGACCGCGTTATCCATGAATATCTGCGTCGGCCAGCTCCTCTATCTCAAGAACCTAAACTGCAAGGTCAACAAGAGTAACATAATCGAGCTGAACATGAACGGCTACCGACCAGGTAGAGGATTTGCGCAGGTTGATCCGATCAGCATCTTGGATACTCATGATCCTCTAGTAGCAGCGCTGAGACGGTAAGTTATTTCGTCCGGGATCGATACTGGCAATGCGTCTAATGGCGAATGTTGACTCTTCAGGCCTAATGCATATTCTGGTCTCATCATGCCGTTTCATAATAGACGCAAAGCCCGCCATGGAATCACATCCGGAGAAGAAGGTCCACTACCACAACTTCTGGCCACGGAAAGCAGCACTTCGCAGCAAGGAACTATGGCGTCCAATACTCTATCCGGGCCAACAGTGACCCCCAACCCCACAGCGGTAAAGCCAGCACTACCTGTCACAATAGCACCAAGTTCGACACCATTAATTGTGCAGCCCACCAAACCTGCATCGTCTTCAATATCGACTCCCTCAGACCGACCAGTCACTTTCAAAACGGAGCCCCTCTTGCCGGTGAATCTCAAAAGAGAAGTCGCGTCGCCACCACGTTCTAGAATGTCGTCGACAATACTACCGTCTCTGCCTCCACCTCTGCAATTTAGTAATTCATGTTCGACTACCGATGGACCTCCAACACGTAAGTTATTCGGTACTCTAATATGCCAAGCGGATCAATCCTGAGCGCATAGCTTGGATGACAGTCATTTTCTGACACAATGCGCGTTTTCAAATTTTATTAGGTATTTTGATAGAGAAAGTTAGACGAAAAATTCGTGATAAGCCGAGCGGAAGGTTGCCTGCTACGGTACGTGTATGGGCTGAATTCTCTACATCCCAAAGAAAAATTGGCCATGTATTTGTGGGTTCTGTAATAACGGCTGACATTTCTCTCAATTCAAAATCGTAGCAAATTCGATTTCTGAGGCTGAATGCAGGTGTCGTGGATTTTGAGCCGTCGCAAATCAAGGACTTTTCAGTGGCAACTTGTAACAATTGCGCCCACGAGTACGGGTAAGCTCTTTCTTTTGTCTCATGAATCTGAAGAAAATAGCCAACGAAATATTCTTTAACACTGCCGCTGTTTTTGGATAACAAAGCCCTGTTTCAGATAGGAAAATCCCTACGAAGTGTCCTAGATGCCGGCGTGACGATAGCGTCAAATTCAAGTACAAGTTCATGTTGAAGCTGATGGATGAGCTATACCAGATCTACAACGTACATGTTAACAACGAGGGAGCAGTAAGTTCTTATTGTAATTTTTCTTCCCTACTGAGATCGTATTGTTCGTGCAATGGCTAACTAATATCTTTCAATGAATGTTTAGCAAGAGTTACTTGGAACCGAGCTTGCAAATGCACCAAAGCTGCGTAAAACTGGAGATCATCTTAACAAACTAAAGGAAAAACTCGCGCGCATTGGAGTTGTTGAAGGTCATGCCAACGCAGCACAGAAACCATCCATATATTTTGACTGCTACCTGGAACTGGTTAAAATCAAGGGCTCGTCGCCTGTTGAGGAACCGGAGGACCACGATTGGCGATCTGACGACGAAGGCAATGATACGAAATTGGAAGGCGACACGAACTCTGAGCTGTTTTCGCAGCCATTCGAGACCATGTGGCAGAAGCGGCAAATGACCAGTGATATGATTAGGCGAGGCAAGAGACCCTGTCGCAATGTGCTTGAAGGTGTACCAAATGAAAATTCCGTGGGCCTCGTGTTGCAAGGACTCGATAATCAGGAGTCTCAAGCAGATTTCCAGGCGCTGCTTGTCTGCACGACCATCGTCTGAAGACTCGTTCGATGTAGAGCACGTTTGTACTCCATTGAATATGCAGAGGAGCAGGCAATTGTGCCTTACGGCTTCATCCATGTACCAGTTCGCAAGCGTGCAATATGCATGATGCACAAAAGTGAATAAAAGTTGCATGTGCAGGGGATGCAGCGAAACAAACAGTAAAACTTGCTGGACAAGCGGAGCGGAGTGACCCCTTCTGGAACGGTGGACTCGGTTTATGGCCGCCCCGCTCTGCTGCCCTGCTGACTGCTCAGACAAGACGCATCCACTTTCAGGAAAACGGATGGGCGATTCCTGATTCTCATTCACGCCACAGCGGAGCAGCTGCATACTGCTGTCTAGACGTGGTTGATTACCTTCGCCCTTTCTCTTCTCTTCTCTTCTCTGTTCTTTTCTTCATTCATCCCTTTCCTCGTCACATTAGCAATCATCCGTGTCAATTCAAAAACGCTAGCCAGAACAGACTTGCCGGACCACAACTACAACAAACTGGTGTAACATCGACACTAATGAAGCATCAGTCAGAGTCCACAGGCCATGTTGGCAACCTTACACCAGAACAATGGGGTGCTTTGTAAGTGCCTCTTTTGCCATGTTGAGCACAAAACGCACGGATGGTGCAACAAGAAACTTGAGAACGAGGAGCACTGGGCTAAGCATATAAACCTTTTTTTGTCCCCATGAAAGTCTTGATCTCTACTAACAACACTTTTCGATGAAAATGATCTGACAGAGGCGAGATCTGGTCCTTCCTTCTACACCTCTGGTATTCGGAGCCATCTTCGCCCACCAGATCCAACTCGATGCATCCGCGCAGAGCCAGCAGCCATGGATTTTCCATCGCAGCATCAAACGACGAGGTCCAAAATCATAATGGCGAACACCAGCCCATGTCTTCAGGAAGCTCAGGACATCATCATAAGCATCATCGTCGTGGAAGTAGCAGCACTGGTGGTGAAAGGAGATCCATTAGTCCACCTCCGGCATCACCGACCCGACTTAGCCAGTCATTCTACCAGCCTTCGATCGCGTCCTCACCGCCCACTGGTTCCCATTCACCTATCAACAACCACATACACAGCGGAAGCACATTTTTGCCCGGTGGAGCTGCCTCGGCGGCGGCGGCGTTGAGGAGATCGTCCGCGAAATTAAAGCCCTGGTTGCCTGCCAAGAAATTCACGTTCAAGTACTCGCCTGCAGAGTACCAGACCGCATTCTGGGCGTTTGTGCAGGCGGAGCATCCGGACACGGCTGTGCTGAGATTTTTGAGAGCAAGAAAGTGGAACGTGGAAAAGGCCATGGAGATGTTGATCTTGGCATTGGAATGGCGCATCTCGATGGGTGTGGATGAGGTCGTGCAGGAGAGCGAGGAAGCACTTGAGGCCAAGTATCCGGGCTTCTTGGAACAGCTCAAGACTGGAAAGGTCATTTTCCGAGGTCACGATCGTCAAGGTCGTCCTTTATGGTAAACAGGGCTAAAGTGCGTACAGCGTTGGAGTGTCTTGCTTTTCTTTGTGTTCGGTCTAATCCTCTTTCGCTTTTTTACTTTTTTGATATTTTAGTTTGCTGGATCCTAGTCTGCATAACCAACACGCGCAAAGTCACCAGGCTGTCCAGAAGTTGTCAATCTACGTTATCGAGACGGCGAGGATGATGCTAAGACCTCCGGTTGAGACCATATCTGTCGTCTTTGACATGAGCTCATTCTCCATGTCTAACATGGTATGAGCATTCCTTCGTTATAGTTTGCTGGTCTTGGTCTTGTGTCAGGTTGTTGTTCTATCTGCAACAGTGGTGTTGAGATGAATTTTTTTTTCATCGCTAGGACTGGCCAACCACCAAATTCTTCATCCACGCTGCTGAAGCATGCTATCCAGAACTGCTTGGAGTATGTGTGGTCCACAAGGCCCCTTGGATCTTTGGCGCGCTTTGGAAAGCCATTTCGCCCATGCTCGATCCCGTCATCCGCGCCAAAATCAAGTTCACCAACAACCGCAAGGACCTAGAGGAATTCATCGCTCCCGACCAATTGATGAAGGGCAAGGCCTATGAGGGTGAGGACGATGTGCCCTACCAATACGTGGGACCGGAGGCCGACAAGAAGGATCTAGTGCGTGAGGATCCGGAGGCTAAACAGCGTGCGCTGGCGAGAAGGAAAGAGATGGAATTAACTTTTGAGAGGCTAACTGAGATTTGGCAGGGACAGAAACAGCTTTCATCGAGCGCAGCTGTGATCCAGGAGAGAAATGAGGTTGGCATGCGTATGGCGGACACTTGGTGGGCCACGGAGCCGTACACGAGGGCTAGAACCGTATACCATCGGATTGGAGCCATTCAGCCGCCTGGGCATTCACTTGTAGATTCTGTTTAATGGGACAATGGGAGGGGGACTGACACAGCAACATAAGTTAGTTAGGAATAAAGTAGTTTAATTTTTAATTTTTGGGCTAGTTCTGGGCCTCTCGTTCTTCTAAGAATGCATCCTCGGCCTTGGAGACTTGCACAAGACAAAGCTCGATATCGATGCCAAGCGACGTCAGTAGATCGATCCAGACCCGCTGCTTGGACGATAGTCGATCAGCGGGACCCTTGACTTTGAGCAACAGTTAACAGATCCAGGAGACATGGAGACAAAGAGAGTCGTCAGCGTGGGTTCCAGGCTGGGATGATAAACGCGCGTTCTTTTTTTTTTCTTCTTTTTTCTTTTTTTTTCCTTCCTGTACCATACCTTCCACGAACTTGACCAGTTTCTTGTTATAATCCCAACAGCTACATCAAGAACAGGTATCAAACTCAGTCGCTAGTAATTTAAGGCCAAACCCACCGTGGAATAATACGTAATAAGGACGCGATGTCTAATGCTTACCACAAGTCCGGCATGCCCGAACAACGCTTGCTGTACTCCTGCGCTAAGGTCTTGCAAATCTCCGATAACGCATCTCCGCCGATGCACTACAGACGACAGTATACAGTCAGATAGCATAGCTCACCTAAAAGGAGATAGGCCGCAAGTACATACTTCCACTTACCTCTGCAATCTGCAGGAGTTCCTCCTTGGAAAACATCCAGTTGACCCCTACGCAGAATACCTTCTTCTCGCGGTATAAATCATCGTGTTTCTGCAGTAAGTTCAAATAAAAACACTCCTTTCGTTTTCGTGCCAAGAACTCTTTGCGCGCCTCTTCCGCTCGTCGACTCTCGGGATCCTCCTCTGCCTGATTCAATTCTTGGTTGATTTCTTCCTCAAATAGGATATTGTTCATTAATTCCTGGTCCGCCGGCCTTGGATCCGGCCTATTTTGCCTTCTTTGATTGACCAAAGGCTCGTCCTCCCCCTCCGCTTCATGCTCTAAGGACTCGTGCTCCATAATCTCCTTTCTGATCGCCGCCGACTCTACTGTAGTCTTGAACGATACCTCGGATTCGTCAAGGATCTTCGACTTTGCAATATTTTCAATCCTCTCCATAATCATATCCTGCCTTTGCAAGAAAAACGCATCCGTCCGTAGATCTAGAGGCTCACTTTGAAATGAGGTCTCAAAGACACCGGGTTGTGGAGAAAACAAGATATCCCAGAGCAGTAGCCCAAATAGGGTTGACAGGATGCTGTTCTCAGAATGATAGCCTCTGTATCCGAGTGTGCCGTAGTAGCTGAGCGCAAGTTCCTCCACAGAACATTCAGAGCCGTCAATATTTCTCCAAAGGGGCCTTTGGTGTGCGATTGGATGAGAAGAGCCCATAGAGCTGGGGACGTACGAGTATCCATGGGAGGAGGCGTAGGATGGAGCAGCTGTTCCTGGGGTATTAAGTCGTTCACCTGTCAGGATACGCTTCTGTGCTTTCCGAAGTTCAAGGTATGAGAAATTGTGGCGGTCTCGAAAAGGAACCTTGAGCTCTGTCTCCAGTCGGACGATTCTTGCTTGTATAAGTGTCGCGTCCACTATTATTGTTTTTGAGGATCGGCATCGTTGGGGTTATAGAGTACTCAATAATACAGAGCGAGGCTGAAGAAAACCACAGGATAGTCTGAAAAATGATCGCATACCTGCATGAACATGCTTGTCGCGCAGTGCCATCATACACACCTGAAGCGCCTCTTGTTTTCCGAGTCGCTTATTATAGGCATAATTGGACTTGATCAAAGCGAGACGCTCATACCACCCACCTCTCTGGCCCAATGAATAAATATGTTGGTCTAGCAGCTCGTGTAACAAGATCGACTCTTCTTCGAAGCGCTTCAGAAATGCGAGTGCACGCATTTCCAGCCTGAGAATCTGTGTATATACCCAGCCTAGAAAAGTCAATTAGGAGACAAATGCCTCAGCTGGTGAGTGGCCTAATGCATGGGACTTCCCTGTTTGCCGTTCATCAAATAACATGAAACATACCTGGAGAGAAGCGCAATAAAAAGTAGCTCGAACTTTTTTTAGACATCTCGGTCTCTGTTGCAACATAGCTCCTCCACGCGTCCCTGATTCCCTCTGCCTCCTGAATAACCTTCTCGTATATCTTGATAACCTCAAGTCGCCTTCGCTCGCGCTCCGGATCCTTCTCCTCTTGGCCTGTCCTGTTATTATCGCCATTGCCGCTCTCGCTTTCAGGTTTTTTGACCGGTCGCACATTACTTGATCGTCGATGAATATTTGGTCCGCCATTCTCTTTGTCCTGCTCGCCATCCTTCACATATACCACTGCGTCCTTGCCGGGCCCCATCGCGGATTCGATCATTTCTGAGAGATCGAAATAGAGCTTCAAAGCTGCCTCGTACTTCAGGAGTGTGTCCCGGCTTGGAAATACCGTACTGGTACGCGTGATGTCGTATGTAGGGAAGGTACGCTGGCCAATTTTGGCGAGGATGGCTTCCAGGAGTGCGGGCCGTTCCGAGTACTCTCGAGCACGATAAAATACCAGATGGAGGCGCTCGAAGACCTTCATGATATTTGGGAATATTTTGATACACGGACCTGAGACAAAGAGGAGAGAGATTTATATTAGATGCAGTGGTATGAGATGCGAAACCTACGAGAATATGCATTCACACCTGAAATATCGATGATCCTGTCGACAAGGGCATTGTCTCGCTTGTTAGGATCGCCCGAGAAAATATGGGTTGCCAATCCTGTCTTCCGACCCTTGCCTTCGCCATCCGGTGCTCCGCCAGGCGCAAGCAGCATTCTCTTGAATATGAACGATTGCTGCCGAAAGTGTTCCAAGATTGTAGACACAAGCGCACTTCTCTAAAATGTATCACAAGATCTCGGTTAGTAAACACGACTAGTCTGTGATTGATCACTCTTGTCAGTCCAAAACGTGCGATCCATTACAGTACCTGTATTCCTGACAACTTTTCCAATATCCCGATCCTTCGCGCCAATATCTTGAGTTCGTCCATTGTGAGCATAACAAGCGCCTCCTCCGGATCCTGCATTGCACTCTGATCTATCAGTAATCCAGCTGTTATCAGCTGCTGTATTGCAGATTTCAAGTCTTCGATTTCCCGGTACCGACCCTCCAGTTTGGACTGTCGCTGCCAGTACTTTTGGTTCCGCAGGAATAGTCGAACAAACAGGTGCTTTGGATCGTCTAAAGCGATCAGATCGAGGTTCGTAGAAGTTTAGTGACAAAGGAACCATCGATCACACAGAATGGTCCAACTTTCGTGATTTCCATACTCACCTGGGAGTTCTCGATAGGTCTCAAAAAGCGAATGCTCCTCGTCCGTAAAGAGAGATGACTCTTCTGGGAGTACCGTGTCCAGGGCGAGTTCGAATGCTGCGACGTAGACGGTCTTCCAGCGAAACCGTGGTGGAAGAACCTGATCCAATGCGTTCTTATTCTCGTCCTCCGGCTCAGGCTTGATCTGCAATAGCTCGCTCACATCGAGTGTGTCTTCCGCCTTGATCTCCAATAATGAGTCGTTCTCGCAGTCCGCGTCTCTATCGAGATGACCGTAATCCTTCCGGCGTCTCACAACTGCACTGTCGTCACTATCATCCTCGTCGTCGCCGTCTCCGTTCAAAGTACCATTCAGGCAATCCTGATCTTCGTCATTTCCGGTCCAATCTCCTGCAGCCGCCTTGGTTTCCGTCTCAATTGAATAGGCGCTCCCTTCCTCCAGGGATTCTCTACACTTTCTGGATGCTACAAGATTCACCCTGATCACTGGGGGGTTTGATAATGAGGGTGCCGAGGTCGAGGGAGGTATTTTCCAGCGACTCGAAGGACTGGTGATGTTGGTGGCGTTTTCTTGTGATGGCGATATTTTTTTTACTTGAACAGCATGGCGACTAAAGTCTAAGGGCAGTTGTCTCTTCTCGCCAGTTTTTGATGTTGTTGCAGAGGTCGAGGAGTCGGCCGCGGCAGCCTTGGTATTCTTGGGTTTGGTCGATTCTCTCTTCTTCATGGCCATGAGGAGGAATGAATGTGGAACACAGGTGAAGTGCTGGGAACAAGTTGTCTCTACAGTAGACCACCTGTTCAGGAGGGGCACCTCGATTGACCTCCAAGCGCATAAACCTAAATAGAATTAAGGTGCTCTGTGTAGCTTGTAGTCTTGTACAGTACGTATGTCAAAAGAGGGTGTAGCTTTATTTGAAAAAGTGCTTTTGCGGAATATCATCGCATACAGTAATAAAATATCATTTATGCGACTCTACACGATAACGCGTAGACTACCGGCCCCCGACAATTTACCACTCCAGATGGCGAGGTCCATTTCGCAGAAAACCCCTCCGGCACAGCCGCACCGATCGCCACATAATCAACAGATGAAAAGGTTAGCTCGCCTGCTCCCGTAGGCAGACGTAACGTCTCCTCGAACGGATGTTCCAGCTGCTCCACGAGCTCTTGCATCCACCGTCCGTACTCGTTCCACCCAAGCGACATCCCTGTCAATTCATTCCAACTCTGCAGCAATATCTGGATCTGCTCTAGTCCCTCACCATCAACCTGAATCGTGAACGTTTGCACCTCGGGCCTTTGTACCAGCTCGCGTAGCACGCTCATGAACCGTGGGTGACGCGTTTGCTCTGTTTGGAACCACAACAGCTCATAGAACCAGAGCCCATCCACTGATGTATGCTTCACCAACAATTCTAGTTCCTCCGCGTTCTTGAACTCCCAGTCGATACTGAGAATCGTGGCAGTATAACTCAACGGCTCCATGTACGGCCGAAATCCGTCGTCGTAGGTTTTCAACGCAAGGCGCGTCTGATCCGGTTGCTGAGGACAAAGGGATTCCAGTGCATGACCCTTTAGATCGTCCAACCGCAGAGGAACCGCATACTTCCTGTACACAGCCTCAGCCTCATCACCATCACTATCGTCATTATAATCGTGGCCGCGCTCATCTCCACCTCGAGCGAGGGCAGCTGCCTCAGCGATCACCTCGGCTTCCATGAGTTCCTTCACGACAAGCGGCCATAACAGCCCTAGACCCTCGGTCTCACACGCCAAATCCAAGCTCGTTAAGGCCCCGATATTGTTGTGGATCACGTTATGCAGCGCTTCTGGGTGATCCCACAGTCTCGCGCACTCTGTGATGGTGTAGTTCTCGAGGCCCAGAAGACTCTGCTGATAAATATTGGGCCCCTTATTCGTACGGCGCTGGACTTTACGCAGCGCAGGTCCTCCCCCTGCAACTCTCCAAACAGTAATCTCTGCTGATTCCAATGCGGACTCACTAATGCCGACATATGTAATACTTCCAAGGGTCGTCGTAGCGTTTTGGATTGAGAGGAAGAAATCTTTTAGACACGAGGTCAGGGTCTCGAGGTGTGTCAGGTTGGGAAGACAAAGAACCATAGAGGTAAAACCAGGAATGTCGGGGTAACGCTCCCAGCGAAAGAAGTACAGCTTCCGAAGGGAAATGTTTTCCGGCACCACCAGTGTCGACGCATTGTCGCTCGATTCTCGGAACTGTTGAAGCGAAAAGGCTGCCAGGTCGCCTTCGGCCTTAATCGTCCTACCTCCTGGAAAGATATCACCGTTGAATTTTTGTACCGTCAGTGTCTCCAAGCCCTGCCGACAGATCATACCAAGCAATGGTCGGAAGCTCGGCTTGGCCTCATCATCCGCATCAAGGCCACTTTCACCACCACGGCCATCGCCTCCAGCGCCGCAATCCACCGTCAGCTCTCGAAGGTCCAGTTTGTGTACAGTAATGCACAGCTCCCACAAATCTTCGTCGGTCACCTTGTTGTCGCCCTCGTTCTTTTGCCACAAAAGCCCTATTTCCATCGCGAGCACACCTCTGTATTCGTCTAGGATCTCGTACAGCAAACGCGCGTCCGATCGCGATTCCATCTGAATCCGCAGCTGCTTCTTGACCGGAATCCATGTCCCGTGGTGTTCCTCCACAAACCGTGCGAGTCGCTCTGTTCTGGGAGCATCACGAAACATTTCCTGATGTGCTTGACATACCCACAGCATTGACGTCGCCTCATCGTCTTCCACGCCTGTGTAGGCGCTCATTCGAAAAAGAACCCAGCTGTTCTCCTGAGTAGACTCAACATCGCCCAGGGTCCCATGCACATTCCCACTAACGTACGCAACCGCTTCTGCCGGATCCATGAAATCACTTTGCTTTAACGATGGGATTAATGCCTCGAATTCGTTCAGATCGTCCTCATGTGCCGAAGGATGGTCGCGGAAATTCAGCAGAGTCTCGTACGCTCTTGTGGCCAGAAACCGAATCGCCGTTTTGATCCTCCCTGCCATAGCAGGGCTCGCGAGAGACGTTCCTGAGACATTCGGGTCATCATTCTCCTGAAGCACGCGTAAAAGACTCAGCATCGTGATGGTGTGGTGTAGGAGAAAGTTGTCAAAGTCGTAAAGTCGGAGACCATCTTGACCCTCTCCCTCGGTATCGGCATCATCTGTGCAGCTGAAATCTTTGCAGACATGCAATCTGATAGTCTGATCTTGAGGAGCACCATAGTCACACAGGAAGTGCACACAAAAATCCTGCTCCGCGGGGTCGATTGCACATACACTGCCGCCATGGCTCCCACTTCTGCTCCTGTTCTTTTTGATGGCGGTGCTGTTCCTGGGTAAGATGACATACAATCCCGGCAGGGCGACAGTATCCTCCGCTGCTGCGGTTTCATGCGCAAAGCGCTGTCTCCGAATCAACTTGCGAGCGATCCACCGTAGCTCGCGGTCGACAACCGGGTCTTTGAGAAGGAGCATAGGGCTCGGTTGTGGGTCGATGAACGTTGAAGTCGACCAACTGTGGAGTGGGCTCAGACAGAGGTTCGAAAAGTCGTACACGGTTGAAGCGTTCATGGTTGTGGCTATAGAGGACGAGTAGCAAGAGTCGGTGGCGTTAAATGGATGCTGGGGGTTGCGAGGAGAGGAATGTAGGCTGTTGGAGGAGCTGGAAGGGGAAGCAGAAGGAGAGACAGAGGGGGTGTTTGTGGATGAATACATGTACAAGTGTTTCCTTTTTTGGATGTATCAGTTCACTGGGTGAGCATGGTCGTGGAGTGTGAGAAGAAAGAAAACGTGGGAAAGAAGACACAAAAAAAAGAAAAGAAAGAAGGAAAGAAGGAAAGAAAGAAGCATGGGGAGAAGGAAGGGACAAAAGACGGCAGAATCAACCAGCAGAGTGAGGCATCAGCCGCAAAGGGATGTTCCTTTGGGGATGCGGTAGATATACAGAGCGGCGGAGGGAAGGGGTAGAAGCGAGGAGATATGCGCTTGCATATGAAGAGGGCGAATGGCGTAGCAGCTTTGCCTTTTTGTGGTTGCATGGTTGCATGGTTGCATGGTTGCATGGTTGCATGAATGCAGAGCTGAATTGACCCGGTGCACAACGGCGGGAAAAATGGATGCGATTTCTATTCAGGGATACAGCCGTGGTACAGGAAAAACATCACGGAGGGACAAAGGAGAGAAACTACATAAAAAGAGACGATAGCAGGAGTGCATATGTCGTAGATAAGGGTACACAATGACGGGAGTCGGTCCTTCGAAGAGACCGTCGATGAAATGGGACCGAAAGGTTTTTGCATGTCCTGCAAGCTCTGTGCACCCTCTTTCCTTCCTTCCTTCCTACCTTCCTTCCTTCCTTCTTTCTTTCCCTCCTTGCTTCCTTGTTTTTTTCCAACGGCTTTTGCCTAACATTCTTCTGCATGATGAGAGACCCACATGCTGTCTCTCTCCCCTGAACACGTTGCTTAATATTTTATTCCCGGCGATCAGACGTCATGTTTCCACCCCTGAGGGCTGATATGAAGCCAAGTGCTCCGGTAAGCTGAAAAAAGATGTGTCTACTTTCTGCATTGTGCCACTCTCTTTCCATGGAGTTGCACAACCTACATAGCACCAAGTAGAACGCGTCCCCCTATTACTCCCGCATGATATTTAAGCCCGTGCATTAGCAAATGCGTTTAAGGTTCTTCTCGATAACTTTATTGCATGTTCAAAGAACAATTAGAGACGTACTCCATCCATGGTCCACTACTTGTCCTCGATGCGGGAAGACCGATGATGCAGCTTCGCGGGCCGGGTCAGTTCTGGGATCGGGACACTGCTGCTACTGCCACTACCAGTGCAGGTGCTAGTACTACCCTCTTCAGCGGATACAGACATCTCTTGCGCCAACGTCGCAGCAATTCCTGATGACCCCTCCTTCTCCTTCCCCGCATACGTGCTGATCCTTCTCTTATTATTACCACCAACCCGAGGCACGCGACTCTGCTCCTCAGGATCATATCCTGCGATGAACGAAGATCGAGCCCGACTACTCGAACCCATCGATGCAGCAGTCGTAAAGCCTACGTTCGCCTTACTGTTCATATCCAAATCTGAGTACCTATACCCAAACAACTCGCCTTCTTCATCCATTATGGCCAAGTCGTCATCCACATCCGCCTCCGCCTCCGCCTCCTCCCTCTCCTGTCGACGCTGAATTTCTTGTTGCTCGCGATCCCGCTGCAGATCTCCAGAGGACGAGCTCTCGTATGCACCAAAGAATGAAAACGTGAATGATTTGCGGTTTTGTTTCTTGATCTCGTGGCTGGCTTCTGTGACAGATTGGCGCGATCGAGCCGAAGCCGCCATGGCCTTGGCTTTAGCCTCTGCAGCCTCCCTCGCACCCTTTGGAGCCGTCACTGGGACAGGCATGTCCAGTTTGGCATGCAAAATGGTGTCGTGAGGCAAGGTATCTTTTGATTGAAGCATCGTTCGGAGGATATGGTATGCAACATCCCTGTTATTTGATCAGAGTTTGCATGAGAACGCAAGGAATTAGTACCGGGACAGAGTTCCCTTGTGCTCTTTTTTTCTATTTTTCTTGCAAGCGACCAAGCATCGTGGTTTTAGTTTACCTGTTGCCCCAATACCGGAAATGACTCCGCATGCCCAACAGGTACTCGTTTGTGTACTGATCGACAGTCGTCTCCTGAAGGACATAGTCGATTCTGTACGGGACACAAGTCCGTCGACCTTCCACATGCACTGCCGTTCGTCTTTTGTTCGCCGTCGCCGCAGGGTCCTCTTCTTCTTCTTCAGTCTGGATATCCTCCAGCTTCGGCTGTGAAACATCTTTACTGGCAGTCTCCACTTGCGCTTCAATCTCGTGAGGTGACACTGACGGACGACGCACCATCGATTCTTGAACAACATCCGATTTAGCACCCAAACCCTGTGCTTTCTCCTCAGCGGTCGCACCTGTTTCCATGCCCAAGTAGTACTCTATTTCCATTGGCGATGGATCATCGCTGACCTTCTTGCTGGACATTTCGTCGACTGCTTCTTCGGGCAGTGCTTCTGAAGTGCTGCCGCATGCACCATCGCGTTCTTGATGCTGTTGTTGGTTCAGTAGCGCTGCATTGATAGCATCCTGGTTGTCTTCAATCCGACTGCTGACCCTGCGAGGGCCCAGACTAAGTCTCCTGACCGGTGTTGTTGCCTTGACGTTGGGTGATCCCGCAATCTCAGCCGTATCGCTGCAGCCCAAGTAAGCTGTTGCAGTTGCTGGGGTTATGCATTCCGTGGCCGAAACCTTCACATCAACAAGTGCATCCTCTTCCTCCTGAACCTTACTCAACACTTCATGGCCATGCGTCTCCTCAACCTCCTCCTGCCGACCGACTGAAGGCACCGGTGATGTGGCTGTCTCGCTCTGTGCACTCACGTCCCCTTCCTCGCCTGCAGTCATTACCGGTGTGGCTACTCCGCCAGTACTCTCAACAACAGCAGCGACTCCATTTCCAGAGAGCCACCGTCCACCTGCCTTGAGGGACTGGGTCATCTGAGAAAGACTGGACAATGTTGGGATCGAGGGCCTAGGCAGCGCAGGAACTTTGTTCTCCCAGAACGAAGAAATCGATTCCGGCAGTAAGGAAGGCAGCGATGGCAAGGAGATGGATGGAAAGAGCAACTGCTGCGAGCTGACGGTATTATAGGAAGTAACGGCGAGCGCGGGAACTCCTGCAAAGACCGAGTCGATCAGGGGCTCGATCCTGTAACCCAGCGGGTCAAACGGGTGATAGAGATTGTGGTGGATAATATCGTCTGGCGGGTGGAACGACTCCCACTCGAGGTTGCGCATCACCATTACAGCACCTATTGAGTTGCGATAATTGCCATTGGTTTGATCCGCAGGGGTGAAATTGTATGAGTTTCCGGTGTATTCCAACAGTTTCAAGCTGGGCGCATTTCCTTCGTCGTCTTGATGTTCCTTGCTTACCGACAGGCGATCCGACCGTGAATAGATAATGTGGTCTGAACTTGAGCTTTGGCACGACCGCCCGAAACTTTGTTTGATCTTGTTTCCTGACCTTGGGCTTTTTGTTCCCCGACGTGTTTGCCCCGTATTCCGTGTTTTTTTTCAGTCCAGGAACCTTTTGGTCCGCGTCCGATGTTGCATTCTTGCTCTTCGCGGCTGTGCCTTCATCATCTCTGCTTTTTTCCGACTCGACGTCTTCGTCGTCGTCATCTAAGCATGTCAGGATATCATACATGGCGACACCTCCGAGCGACAGCGCGAATACAGAGATCTTGCCGTTGAAATCCGGATGCTTGGCCATAAAGGTCTCGTATGCCTCGTTGAGATCGTCGACAATCATGCGGATCATGACTGAGCCAAAGTGGCCGTTGAAGTCTAGGCAAAGCAAACGATCAAATTCACGAATGAATGGCCATGGAACTCATAATACATATAACCAACAAAAAAACAAAAAAAAGAAGCTGCCGGGTGCGTATATCTTTGTCGTATGATTCTTACAATAGAGAATATCCGCAAGATAGTCGTTCATTACCATGCGCACTACAAAAACATACATGTTAGTTTCCACTACACATCTCTAGTTGATCATTCACCTTGACCCGCGTCGAAGTCGCGCCTACCTTTGGGCACTGTCCTCAGAGATGCAAGCGCCATGCGGTCGTCGACGAGGCTGTGCAATTTGGCGTGCCATTCGATCGGGATGATATGGACATCCGTCTCGAGTTCATGAAAGACACTTTGCAATACCGTCTTGATGTTCTCGACTAGATATCCGACTGCGTAAAGAAAGATCAAGGAGCACGTCAGTCTGCGATTCGATCCCACAGCAACAGGAAGCAACCGGAAGCTAGAGAGGAGGGGGGAGGGGGAGGAAAAGAGAAGGAGGAGGATGTACTTGTGATATTCACTTCTCTATCCCACTCGTCCCTGCTTGGCCTTACCGTTGCGTTCATAATTGCCATACTCCTCCAACTGGCGGCCCATTCCATGGACCACAAAGATGACATGATGTGCTGTATAAAAATGCCGGATTCGTGTTAGTTTTCGATGATTCTTACGATTCCAATGATCCCAGCAACCACATTTAATGACGATGAAATAAAATTTGTCTCCTACAGTGCTGATGTGCATCATCAGATTCTTGTGCTGGAGCAGTAGTGGGCGCTGTGTTTTCATTCGAGTTCGTGCCTGTGCCTGTGCCTGAGTTTGAGCCTGAGTCAGGGCCTGGGCCTGTGCATGGTTCCATCGTGTCACCTACAACGCCTTCAAGGTCCTTAAAGGTCGTTGTCATTTTCTCCGTTGTTCTTCTGCTGGAAAACCGCTGTTTTTTTTCTTTAACAACGACGATGAGATACAAAAGGAAGTGGAATGCCTTTTGGGTGGTAAGGTGAAGGCGAGGAAGTGAGAAAAAGTGAGAAGTGGGCCTTGCCCAAACGGTACGATTGTGCTCTTGCTAGGCAAGTGCAGGGGAGAATATTCATCCAGCGATTCAGCCCATGCCCAGAGAGCGCCTTCTTTCGCCACTTTTCTTTCGTTTCCAATAAAAGAACCATGCAAAATTCCTCGGCAATTGGCATTAGATAACACTTGCGAGAAGAATGAAATGAGTGGAATGATCATCCTCAGAATGAAACCTGGAACCCTGGCTCCCGAATGATATGTGCCCACGGTTATTTCGTCCGATTTGCACATGATTGCAGTCGCTCTTCCAATTGCACTTTCAATTGCGCTTTCTCCGAAAAAGATATCCACGCACATGCATATCCACAATGACGAGACAAAAAGCATCTTGAGTCTGGAGCTGCGGCCATAATACATGTTCGTTAAAAATACTTGCGACTACGATGAGCTTTAGAAATTATAAAGAAAAAGATAACGATATACAAGGAGACACCAAAAACCCGATCTGCCATCTATCTCCCCTATTCTCAGCTCTATGAAGAGTGCTGGAGCCCATAACGGATCGCAAATGCCACGATGGGCAAGGCAATCACACTGAGGGCGGAAGGCGACAGGTAATCCAGCATGTTGCGCGACTTCAACGGAATCCTGATACTCTGTCCCTGCGTCTGTCCCTTCTTTGAATCTGTAAATTCCTCAGACCCACTAATGTCCTCCAATGTCAGCTTGGAGGGGAACTTTCCGGTGGTGTAAAACTCCTCCATCAAATCATCCTTCTCCTGCCACCGTGCACGAACCCAATCCACAAATTCCGGTTCTGTCTCTGGAATGTCCTTGATTGCAAATCGACGCAGATGCATGTTGATTTCCTTGGGCTGTGCTTGGTCCACGTACAACCCAGGCAAAGGATACAGCTCTTGAGGAATCTCGCCATAGTGAACTCCAGAATATCCCACGGTGGCGTCATAGATGTACTCGACTGATCCCCGAAGTTTGCTAATGCACACAAACAGGCCACTGGTACGGGGCAGTAGCACATGGCGATGGTCCGTCTAAAGCATGTGCATACAATAATTAGTGACACGATATGACGAGGGGCTACTGACAGGAAAACTGGATCCCATACAACAGACTTACCAGTCCAGCCTTCTCTGCAAACGCGGTTGATCGTTTACGCGTTCCCTTGGAAACAACGGTCCCCTCTGGGAAGACCACGAGCCACAGAGGCCCTCCCTTGCTGGCACGATCCAAGTTTTCTTCAATCGCACGCTTGTCATGCGCCCAGTCATTGCGCTTCAGCAGGATAAAGTCGAAAAAACGCATGCCCTACAAAGTGAAAGGAAGATACACGATGCATAGATGCTTAGAACGCTGTAACGGAACTGATACGACTGCGCTGCTTCCGCCCCTTTTTGCAACAATCTTGTTCAGGAGTAGTGTGATTCTCACGATCACGTCTTCATGTAGCCAGCAGCTTGGAACTTACCCTGTTGGGTTATCGCAACATTCCGTCCAAGAAAAGACCGAGACATCAAAATATAACATAGCAGCAATGGAGAGCATGATTAGATAATTCATGTTAGGGCAGCACGAACTAAGTTTTCTTGGCATTCCCCAGAAAAAAAAAAAAAAAAAAACATAAGCATTGCCACCGTCTTGCACAGCATAATTGGTGCGCATGTGAGATTGATAAATTAATATATTCTTGTAAAGTAAGACTCCACCGACTTACCAGCCAAAGACAGGGATCCAGGTCAGGTCGCCCCGGAGAATAATCTTGAGCGCCCTGTGCTTCTCTGCAAGATATGCAAAGCACCAGAGATACATCCAATCTGAATAGATCTATTAATATTAGCGCCAAAAAAAAAAAAAAAAAAAAAAAAAAAAAAAGCAAGACTTAGCAACAAGTCACTTGAGCAGTAGACACGACGCTTTCTGCTTTGCCCCTTCCCACGTGCAATACACAGAAAAGGCTGGGTAAGTCCTGGGTTAGGAAAGAACTGGATGCCCTGCTTACCTGGTGGTTCGAGATCAGCACCAAGCGATCCGGCAAGTTTAACAATGTCTCGTCCTTGCCGTATTTCGTCGTCTTGTTCTCTCCATCTTCTTTGCCGTCCTTCAATTGCCTGCCCTTGTACACTTTGACGACCCCTCTCACGCTCTCATCGCCTGTGAGGATGATATCCGAAGGCGCAAAGAGCTGGTTCATCTTGAGTAGGAATGCTCCAAAGTGGCCCTCGGTTTTGTTGATGTGTCGGTGGTATACTCCTGGCGCAATCAGAGCCAGGGGCAAGGACAGGACCTGGGTCATTGATATCAAAGATGCTCCCAAGTTGAAATAAAGCGCCCATAGTAGGGTCCTGAAACCCTTGTAGATGGGGTTCATTTTAGGCCCCAATTTCCGGGCTGGCCTCTTGAGGAACTCGGGTGCGTGCTCACGAGCATCGTCGTCCTTACTACTCTCCATAGAAGATATGTTGGACGTGGTCCTGGTCGCGGCCTTGGTAGTAGTAGTGGTGGTGGCACTGGTTGTGGTCGAGCTGCTGAAGCTAGTGGAGTAAGCGTCCACCTTTGAAGAGGGGGGCGAATCTGATGGCGAGATAAAGCCATTGCCTCCCGAGGTCGTTGAGGCGGGGTCCAGCTTTGCAACGGTCATGGCCGTAGAATTGGATGCTGCAGTTTCGAGGACCGAGATATGTTTGCTGAAATGCGTATTAATCGACGGGGAAGTCGAGGCTGAGGAGAGGGAGGAGAGGCTTGTGGAGGATGAGGAAGCGGCGGAGAAGAAAGAGTTCAAAGAAGAAGAAGAAGAAGAAGAGGAAAGGGAGGAAGGGAAGAGGGAGTTGGTTCTGAAAAGGGGGGCTGGCTGCAGCAACGACCCACTAGTCGTCAACACACTGGTCGGCGACGTGGGCGAGGCCACGGGCAACGCTACAGGCGAGAGCTCAGAGGAAATGAGCGGCACAAGGGTCGCCCTCTTGGCCCTGAGATGCAGATCCGTCTGACCATCATCCGCATTGGCAGGGACATCCTCCTTCTGATCGTGCTGCTGCATGCCGTCGAGGGCCATAGCCATTGGACTTGGATGTGGTAAAGCTGTTTGTCGCCCTGCTCCGTTTCGGTGTGTGTGCCCCGGTGCTTGTTCGTGTGGGCAGGCCATGCGTGCCTGTGGCAATCTGTGGCTTATGAAGGTACCTTCGAATCGGCTGTCTCTGGCCGCCGGGTCGGCTCAGGGGCGTCATCCGGATAGACCCTTCTGGCGAGCATCCCGGCCAAAAGGTGTCAAGTGTATATTTAAAAGATTGTATTTTTTTTTTTATTCATGCGCTCTATGTATGTACTTATGATGGTGGTGCAAATGTCTCCAGGTCCTTTCCTTTATGACCAGACATCTTCCTCATAACGGCCGCGGCCGCGCAATTCCTTGACATAGGCTGTGGCCTTCTCTTCCGACATCTCGCCGCATGTCATGGCAATTTCAATCACCTTCTGGTTGACCTCACGCGCCATGTTCTTGGCGTCTCCGCACACGTAGAAGTATCCGCCCTTCTTGTGGATCAGGTCCCAGATCAGTTCCTTGTACTCATCCATGCGATGTTGGACATAGGTCTTGGGAACACCGGGCTGGCGGGACAAGGCCGTGATGATCTGAGCGCCCTCGATGTCCTTCATCAGCTCAGGCCACTCATCCTTGTACAAATAATCCTCGTCCTCGCGGCGGCATCCAAAGAACAAGACTGTCGCGCCAACCTTCTTGCCGTTCTTCACGTCCTGAGCGCGATCCTGAACGAATCCACGGAAAGGCGCAACACCGGTTCCTGGACCAACCATCACAATGGGCAAAGCAGAGTTACGGGGCAGCTTGAAGTTGGAATGACGGACGTGGATGGGCACCTTGACGCCATAGTCGCCCACCAAATGTATTCCTCTGGGTCCGGAAATCTCATACTTGGGCTCGATCACTCCAGCCCTGTTGATGTGGCCGTGGCAGTTGTGCAAAAAGTTAGTGGCCAAACCATAGACGATCTCATCGGGCGCGACCACAGGCTTGTAGTCCAGGACAACGGCAGTCAAGTGGATCGAGGTAGGATAGGCCTTGGCGGAGGATGAGATCGAATAGTAGCGGGCCTGAAGACGAGGGGTGGACTCGATAATCAAATCGAAAGGAGCCTCTAGGGTTTGACCAGGGCCCAAAATCTTTTCCAGAACAGTGCCCAAGCTGCGACGTGCATCAGCAACGTTGATACGGAAGGCTTCCTTGTCTTGACCCCAATGAGCAAACGTCTTGGCCGCCTCCTCAGAAGGAGCAAAGGGTGTCAACTGGCCAATGAAAGCACGCGAGGGTGGGGCAGTAATGTCAACGTAGTTACGCAGGATCGTGCGATAGGTCGTGGGAACCGGGAAGGGCAGTTTGGTCGAGGCAGGATCAGTGTTGGAAACAGTAAGGACGGTATCGAGCTTTTCGGTCAAACCAAGGACCTTGGCCAACTTTTCAACCTCATGCTGGGCATTCACCGGCCAAATTGCGATGTGGTCGCCAGCCTGGTAGGTGATGCCAGATCCAGAAATATCGATCTCCATGTGCAAGCAATGACGGTCAGCATCGGTAGTGAATAATTCACGAGAGACTGAAACAGGTGCAGAGTAAGGGTTCTTGGAGTCATAGGTAGGACGACTATAGAAGACGTCGAGAAAAGCCATAAAAACCGAACGGTTAGTATCCATCACAGTGGTCATCAGCAACATGAAATAAAGGGCGAAGTGCGACTAGGAACCATTGACTTACGAGCCGAGCATGAACTTGGGCTCCTGGTGTTCGCCGTAGTAAATCTTCTTCAGACCCTCGATTTCCTCAGTAGAGTGCTCCTGGATCTTGTATGTCGCTTGACGAGGTCCACTGTTGCCAGCCAAGAAGTCGATGCCCATGAAATCGCAAACAGCCTTCCACATGTCGTCCTTCCAGCTCAGGAAGTCTTCCTCCAGCGAACCGTCATCATCACCCTCACCGCGCTCGCCGATGCGGGTGGCACCAAGCGCTTGAAGCTTCTCATCGACGCGTCTGCAAACAGAGTTGTAGTGTTCATAGGTCTTGTTACCGAGTCCAAACATGACAAAGTGCAGGTTCGAAAGGGGCTTCTCCGCATCTTCATAGTCACCGACCGAAAACTCGGGGAGGTCCTCACCAGCAACCATGTGCTCCCAAAATTCAACAGCGTTATCCGTCGGCTCACCCTCACCGTAGGTGGCAAGGACAAAGACGGCGAGGTGATCCGAGGGCAATGTATCCAAGAGGTTCATATCGTAATCTTCCAAGTCGGCGGTCATGGTCTTGAAGTTGTAACGCTGGGTTCCCTCCTTGGCCAAACGGGCAGCGTAATCTTCGGCGGTTCCAGTTTGCGATCCATAGAAGAAGATGATGGTCTTGTCCTATTGTCGTAAACAATTAAACACGAAGATAGTGTTAGCCTTGCGCGAAGATCATGCGGATAGGGAGGACAACTGAAGACAATGGGATGATCAGAGCCGTATGGTGATACAGTAGAATGATTGCGAAAACCAGTAAAACGTCAATCGATCAGCTGCATTTCTATCTGAGCCGAGTGGATGCGTAAGACGAACGGCTATCACAAAACGATATGATAGCAACATGACCAATGGCAAGGTGGGCTGTGCCACCAACAAGGGAGTATCATGATAATAGAAGAACCATCCTGGGAATGAGTCCCGTGCTGCAGCTCCTGTTTTTGGAAAGGTTTTACTTCCTCTCGGGTCGGTCGGTCGGCTGCATCGGGTAGGTAAGAGAGAAGGGATCAAGGCTCTCGGGTAGCTCTTCTCTTCTCGACCACATAGAAAAAACCTTCATGGTTGCGGGCAGAGCAAGCCAGAACCGACAGGGAAAAGGTACCAATTGCAATTGCTGATATTCATTCATTCACCAAACTGTTCAATGACAACAAAAATAGACAATTGACATGATAAGGAAAGGTGCAGATCAGAGCAGGGTGTTTGCGCCTACCGTTTCTTTCATCTTCTGAACAAAGTCGCGGGTCCTCTTAGCGACCTTGTTGATCTTGAGGGCGGGGGCATTGGGCTTCTGCATTGGTACGAGGGGCTGCTTGGTGGCGGCCTTTGTGCCTGAACCCAGCAGCTTGTCCTTGAACCAGTAGATACCAGAGCCCACGAGGACAGCACCGAGGATGGCGATGTCGAGGGTGTCGATGACAGCGTCGGCCATGGTGAGAGTGATGTCGCCTTGAAGTTACTGTGTTATGAGGAGTGGATGAAGAAATAAGGAATCGACTTGTCTTGATGAGAAAAGAAGAGGTGTGAGGAGAGGGAGAGAAGCTACCAGGGGTTCGATTTATATGGCCTTACTTTGTTGAAGAAATCATATGCAATTGGTTAGACTTACTCAATTGGAACAATGAGACAAAGCCACGGCAGAAAACCTCATCCCACCCTCCCCGCGCGCAGCCTAAATTGCCCCATCAAAGGCAACCCGGGAGCCAGGACGATCTTTTCAAGTAGGACGCTATGCTCCACTAAAACCACGCCATCGACATCTACACATCCAAGTGTCCACGCCCGCCTGTCCACCGTGCTCCATTGTCTTCTTGGCCCCCTGGTCTTTTTTGTCTCTGCGTCCACGGCCGTATCACGCCATGTGAAATGAAGGATTGTCTTGGCCCATTTGTTGTTTATGGGGATGGGGACGATCACCTTCAACCTTATCCCCCCTCACGTTGCCCTCGAACCCAGTGCCATTGTCTAAGTGACAACAATGTTCACTTGCCATGTAAACCTGATTTTTGTTGCTATGCATGCATAGAAATAAATTCGATTAACGTGCCACGTCCTACTGCTCTTTCCTCTTTGTCATGCTTTCTTGGCAAAAAACGTGTTCTTGTTCATAGAATGTACGTCCTCTTCGCAGCAGCACCCCAATTGCACTCGCGACCACAATTTTGCTTGGCCATGATCTTAATACTGAAATTAAGATACGGTCAACGCCGTTTTCCCATTGCTCCTCCATCAACATGGATCGGATCGGTATGTATCCAGACCTGACCCTTGGGTAATCAATGCACCCATAACGTTGAATGGATCGGATCGGGCTAAATCGTTTTTGACGAAAGGAGGGATTACACTCAATGGAAACCCATATTTAGAACGCTCTATACAGCGGGCCCGCCCATTTCCCCTTCATGGAAAGTCAAAGCACGACTGCGCACACACTCAGTTTCTTGAAGAGCGCAGATATTCCTCCCCCATTGGCTCGTCAGGTTTGCCTGCTGGAAATGGAAAAACGCCTGGGCCTTGTGCCCCTGCGAACAACAGAATGCTGTGCTAATCATAGATAGCGCCCATCTATTAACTACAATACACTCCCTTGGAACACATCTGCAGCTCTTCACTCTCTTTAGCTCTATCACAAAGGGACGCCCACAGACAAAAAAAAAAAATCATATCCGGACAGTGATATGTCATACAGCGCATAACGCATTTCTCAACATTGCGATTTTCGTCTTTGGTCGAACGCCATGTGGTTTATAGGATGGTTGCAATGAGCTGCTAGTAGATGAATTGTATATAGACGTGTTTTCCTATTGTCTACATCAATAGCTGAGATGCAGCCAATACAACAGCTCCCAGCCCAACAGCCATCGCATTCGCCTTCACGTTCTCTCCACCATTATGAGCAACTGCCGAAGCTGCCGTGGGCGCAGGGGCCGATCCAGAGCCGTCAGCGGCTGGTGGAGCAGCTGCCGAAGAAGGCGCTGTCGATGTACCGGCTTCAGGACTGGAGGGGTTGTTAATCGTGAACATATTAGTGTAGCTCAACTGGGGATCAGTGCGGACGACAATCGAGTACGTTCCTGTGGGGACGCTCAGAGGCACCGTGAGGTCTGTGCGCGTACTAGATCCGGAGCAGTCCAGAGTGCCCAACGTCGCGACGTACCGCACCGCATCAGATGGTCCGGTATTGAGAATTACGGTGACGTTCTTGGCAGGCTCGCCCATCGATGCACAGTTACCGGTCCATCCCACAAAGTTGGAGACGCCCGCCGTCCAGACCGTGCCGGCTGTGGGGTTATTGATCTAGTCAGATTTGTACACCGGTATATTTGATTATTAGCATGGCGATGATGAAAGGATGGGCATGAGGCTGAGTGGTGGATGGTCAGGAAAGTGGAGTCATTCTGGCTGTACCTGAATCATGTCTGCGTTGACATAGGCCGCCAGAGTCGTAGTGGCAATGAGAAGGGTGGTTGTGAACTTCATGATTAGGTAGTATGAAAGATATGTCTTTTCTTGAACTTGGCGAAAAATTGGAGGTTAATGGAAGACGAGAAGCGGTTCTCAAAGGAAGTAAGTGCTGAAAAATAGGTTCGACTAGGAGAAGTTTAGAATAAAAGGGAAAGAGACGAGGGCTGCATTACTACTCGGCGTATTTATACGGACGATGACACTGAAAGAGGACCTCTCGGACGGTATCTTTCTATACACGAAACGAGAACCAAGGACCCCAGGTGTCCATACGGATTGCAATGACCGTGCTATCTTTGGGTGATGTAAAGTCGAACCCGAGGCCCAGGTTCCGCGCTCTCTGTATAAACACTATACGCAGCTAATCATAGAGCTGCCTATTGAAGAGCGCGTCCTTGTGCATCTTTGTTCCTTCCCCTCGATAATTCGCAATAGCGTTTCTCGAGCTCCCCTTGGCTTCTTCATCGCTCAATACATTCATTGCCTATGACCCCGCATTCGCCCCTCTCAGCTGAGGTTAATTGAACTCCTTTTTACGAGCTGCAAATAGACTACGTTACGACCGCTTACCCATCCTTCCTCGGGTGCGGTTCTCTGGTTCATTTGTTAGACTGTATGAGGCCGAATGAGGTTTAAAATAGCTTTCGTTTTCCGTGTCCACATCAAGCTAAGGAAGGACCATGGCGACGATAACGAAGATCATAAAGACCACAATGCTCGGTTAACCTTGAATAAAACGCACGCGATATGAACTCCTACGTGCCTTTTTTTTTTTTTCTCTTCTCTCGCGGGCTCGGTTTACATGGACCCGCTTCGATTAAGTACGCCTTGAAGGCCTTTTTTTGGCCTGTGCTGTCTCACGCGGGTGCTTCTAGAGGAATGGAACTAGATTGTAAGTTATTCTAGGACAGAACCCTAACTAAACGTAGTGCATACATGCCCAGCTCACATTCTTTTGATAGGGTTCCAATAACGGATTTTTATGCAGTCGCGACATTAGATATCTAGACGCTTGTATAGCTAGTCTACGACCTAAACTTAGGAAACACTCAAAAGTGGGTACAGCAGATAACGTTCGTAGTGGATTTTCTCTATATCGTTTATTCTATGTCTCTATCGAAGAGTGAACCATTTAATAAATCACAGTCGCTCGGATGGGGCACCTCCTTCTAAATTCCTGCTGCTGGAAATATGTCTTATGATATGTCCTCACGAACCGATAGGCCTCGGATCGACTCGATAGTCGAATCAGGTACTGGCAGGTCGATGACATTCGCCTTGAGGGAACAGGGATGATTGCAGCCTCAGTCGTGTCCATCAGCTGGAACCGACGGAATTCTGTTCGCAGATTATCCGGACGTGATGCAGCCGGAAGCCCAGAGACAAGAACTAGCAGCCCTGAGAGAGGTTCCGGCGACAACTGTGGTGGGATAAAGCGCTTGTCCCGAGGGTTATATGGATCCAGCTATTGGGAAGATAGTGTTGTCAATAAATTGCGTAATAACTTGCTAACTAGGTGATGTTGTCGGCTTCAGCACTACAGCAGATCATCGAGGGCACGCCATATGAGTATATGCTTACCACGTTCATGTTGAGTTTATGTCCACCTAAGAACTTGCCATACTTTTGCGCAATAAACTCAACAGCATCCGTCGCAGAGCGAAAGACGACCGTTGCGCGGTTCTGGAACTCCATGAACTGATTCCGATGGTAGATGATATCAGTAATGCTTCCTTCTGAGATCGCCATGCGTTTGATGTCGTCTGGCATAACGGCTGAGGGGAGTTGAGAAATCAGAATGTAGGGCGAGTACGCCAGTTTCTTTTTTGTGACTAAATGCGAGGAAAAATGAAACAGAAGGTGATGGTCAATGTCGTGTACTTCTTAGGATGTGCTACTACAGCTACGTCTCATGCCTCTTGTCCTGATCTGCGTCGCACACCTTTTGATATCGCTTCAAGCTTCTTAAGATTCATTTGAATATTGGACTGGCTGTTCTCCTTGTCCTCCTGGTCGCTTGCAGTCCGATCCTTTGGAATATCCCATGTTCTTGCCATGTTGACGGGCACAATTGTCGCTCTTGTTGAAGCCCCTCCAATAGATAAAGTCGAAGTCGATGCCGAGGATGCCTCCAAAGATGATGCAGCTGGCTTTTTTACTGCGTCCCAGCTGTAACCTGTGACGAATGTGCTCTTTGGGCCGTAATTGTTGCCTGAGGTTTGGTCGCTATTTCCTGGTTTGCTGACGCCGCTCATGCTCCGACGACTGCTTACAAGGACGGATGAGGGGCGAATGATATATGATGAGTTATGTTGCTGAGAATAAGAAATGCAGTTTGGGGGCTGCCTTCCCCGTAGAGCTGTCGTGTGAACTCCATGTCCTGATAGAGCTGTGGGTGCTACTGATGGCATGGTTGGCAGGAGACGCAAAGGAGCCAGTTGTAGGCAGGAAGTTGATCTTAGCGAGAACCTGCACTTCGATTTGAGCGATTGTGTCAAAAGAGAAGCAGCCGATCCTGATGTTACTGCTGCCATGGTTGCTCCTGCTTAAATCTATATTGCGCTTGCTGTGCTCCTGACGTGCTGGTGTACTCGTCCAATGACTCTATGTAGAGATGCCGAAGGTGTAGGTGTGCAATGTTGCACAGCTGAAGAGCAAGGGCGAAGAGTTGTGTTTACCGCCAGCCAATGAAGCCACCAAATGTTGCCACCAAAAAAATCGATTTCCCAAAACCAGAAGTTTTGGTATCTCTCGCGCATGTTCGAGACTGAGGTAGTCCCTGAGGGCCAAAGACACATGGAGTGCAAATAATGTATTACAAAAAATGGAAATAAATGATAACGTCTACAGACTCATACTCCTCAGGCGTACAGAGTCCGTCGCGCCCATACCCCACGCATTGGGATGGATTTTGAGCCCATGCAATGGATCCGCATCCTTGTTCTTCTTGCCACCGGGAGCATGGAATCCCCGGAAGGTATATCCCGCGAATGCCAGCTTCTTGCGCATATCCAGCAACCGCCGTCCCTCATTCTTGTTGCCCAAAAGCGGATCTCGGATGATTCTCTCCTCGCCCTCCGGTGCGGCCATGGGGTTGTCATCCACCATCTCATCAAAGTACCGTGTATCCGCTGGATCCTTCAAGGCTGGTCTGAACGGTGGCTGCTGCGATCTCAGGTTAGCCCAATCGATCCCATGGAACCACGGGTGGCTCTTGATCTCGGAAGCATCGCCCAGTCCCTGGCTGTTTAGACTATGGTTCAGCTGTTGTTGTTGTTGTTGCATCAAATGGGGAGACACGGTCGACCAGCGCTTATTCACATTCTGTACAGGCGGGCTACGACCGAGGCGGAATTCCTTCTCGCAGATCAGTTTCTCGATCAAATCTTGGACTTCGCGAGAGACCTTAGGCTTTGCAGGGAACTTGAGAGTTTGGCGCCAATTAATAATTTTGAGACGGGTCGTATGACGGGATTTGGAGATAAAAGGTGGATATCCGTACAGCATCTCGAACATGATAACCTAAAAGGAAACCAACATACAAATATAAGCGTCAATGCAACGTCCTGGAAGTCGGGTTCAGATGCGAAATAAGTATTTCATAAAAGATGGTTTTCGTACCCCTAAGCTCCACCAGTCGCATCCGCGGTCGTATCCTGCACCTCGAAGAACCTCTGGTGCCATGTAATTGTTGGTGCCAACAACCGAGAATGCCATCTTTTTCCTGTTACGATCGCGCCAAGTGAGGATGCTCTGGTTGGGTGGTGGGCGGCCTATTGATTGGGCGTAATCCTCATCATCCAGGTTCCAAGCCAAGGCCGCCTTTGGGTTGCCCGGCTTTTTACGTGGCCTGAGTGTGTCCGTATTCTCGATATCAATACCGGTCTTGCGCAGGAGAGCACGTCGTTGAGACTCGTAGTAGGCTGTGTCGTGCGCCCAATGGAAATCGGTCGCGAGTCCGAAATCAGATAGCTTGATATGTCCTTCCTTGTTGAACAAGAAGTTATCAGGCTAAAAAGATTGGTGTCAACGCGTGATAGAAAGACGTGTTTAGTACAGGCACCCAAAGAAAGGATTCCTACAGTGAGAGGTGTCCTGCATATTGTTACCTTAATGTCGCGATGAATATATCCCAGTTTGTGCGCTTCCTCGATGCAAAGAACCATCTCTGCGACATAAAACTTTGCAAAATCCTCCTCAAAGATATCCTTCTCAATCAGCAAGTTCAACAAATCCCCTCCAGACATATACTCCATAACCAAATACAGATGGTCTGCATCCTGGAAGGAATAGATCAGCTTAACAATCCACACCGCCGACTCGGAAGCAGCCGTCATGAGGTCGCGCTCCGCTCGGACATGTCCTTCCTGACCTTTCTTCAACATGTCGGCCTTGCGCATGACTTTCATCGCAAAGTACAGACCCGTGTCCTTCTCCTGAACCAGCTTGACAACGCCAAAGGCGCCGTGGCCGATTGCTTTGAGAATAAGAAATGAGTTTACCGAAATCTTTTCGCGCATCAATCGCATGTATTCTGTCTCATTTGCCATCCACTCTTGACGCTTCACAGCTTTTTCAGACTCTGATATTCCCATGGACTCGAGCTGGCGTTCCAGCTGCAGTCGGCGTCGAGAGCGGCCTGAAGGGTTGGTCAGCAAGCGATGGTAATAGCTTTCAAAAAAGACTTTGGTCGAAGACGATTGTTCGACAGTTCCCAGCGAGGGAATCGTAGATCGCTCAAAGTCCTCCCAGTCGCCAGGTATCCCATCGGCATTACCCTCTGAATCATCATTGTCGGCAATGATAAAGGTTGCATAAGAGGCATCGCGCTTATGGACATCGTTATTAGCGAGTTTCGCGTGGAAGGAAGGGCCCTTGAGGGTCTCGGGAGGAGTGGCAAACGTCGCCGAATCCTCCTGTCGTACAAGATCAAACTTGAGCTGGGACACTTTTGAAGGAACTCGAAAGGAGGGAAAGCAACACCAACGACCAACGCGCGTTAGACAGAGCCCCCTACTTTTTCCATATACATGTGCATATAATCAGTCTTTCTCTTGACTCACCTGGTAGTTTTCCAGCACTGGGATTTCGGATCCATTCTTTGAAAATCAGCTCTGCTTCTGCCTCGGTCTCGGTATGGATCAGATGTTCAAAATTCTTGGGCTCCGAGATCATGTTTTTGGAGATACGCCGCTTGGTTGTGGGTGAGAAAGTGAAAGTCTTGCCTAATTAGCGCATTTAAACCAAACGAATGGTCAGGTCTCCACATTCTCGCGTCCAGTACCTGCTCGAGAGTCCAGTCGCGTTCAAGCAGGAACGAAAACCGATATGAGTAATGAACTTGCCATTCTCCAAGAGCGACATCACATGGTTCGCAAAAGTGCCGAAGTTCATTTGCGAGGGCTGTTGCTGAAGTCGTGGTGAAGTGCTGCGCGGAGGAGGCGATTGAGGGTATCCTGCTGCCATTGCCATTTTTTTTTCTTTTCTCACCGACTTTGTTGGGTGGACTATATTTTATGATAAAAAGGGGGGACGTTGGCGTCAAGGCTGCTGAAAAGGATTGGGGATGTGACCATGAGAAGAGGGAGCGTCTGAAGTGTGCGCAAAGGGCGTCAGGACTAAGCTATAGAGAAAAGGCTCGAGGAAAAGGTTGTTGAATCCTCGCACAGCGTGTTAGGGCGAGTGTAATTGATGCGTGTTTAGAGGTGAAAAGTCGAAGTTTAGGAAGGAAAGGAAAGAGTGAGAAAGAGAGGAAGGCGATGTCAGCCTGGAAGGAGAAGATGATTATAGCCTCATTCTCCTCCACGCCCCCTCTTCCTCCGTTGGGTTGCAGTGCGTTGCAATACCCCTGTCTTCTGCTACATAGCTGTTGGCTGAGCGAATGAGATCTCAGTGTGCTTCTGGTCATGGTTGTTTGTGCATGGATGTTTGTATCTGTTTACGAAAGTCAATACGTGCTGCAGACTACAGTCGGAATAGGGGTAAAGAGCATTCGAAGGAGACTCCCATGTGTGTGGCAGCGTGTCAGTCTGCTTTGCCGCAGGAAGGACGGCTACTGCAGTCGAAAGGGCGGATCATGGCATCACGCTATTCGCCGTCCAGACCCACAGCCGATGGCCTGCGCTTGAGTGAGCTCAACCATGGTGCATCTAGGAGAGATCCAGTAGTCTTGAATTGTCGAGCCTTTTGACCGGAGCGTGTAGGTTCGGTCTATGTCGATTGCAGTGCCCAGGCAGTACTTGTCGCCTTGTCAGGAATCACCTATTGCACACTTGCTGCTCCCCACTGATGTCGTCCTCCTTCAAAGGCCGGCAATCATTGCCACCGCCTGGATTGCCCAATGCGGAACATCGTGCTCTCGCCCCACTTCATGTCGTCATTGGTCAATAGTGCAATGCCCTGGTGACCCCCAGGGGGCCCCTTTTCGCCAATCTCCTATTTTTCTCTCCCCTTGCCCGACCCCCTTTTTTGTAAACTGTCCTCCTGAAAATAAAAGGCTAACTGACCTCGACTTCGCCTCGGGTTATATTATGTCCCCATGCTCATCTTGCCATGACGATCGATTATTACGTTAGAACACAGCAATATTCCCGCCATTTTTTTTCTTTATTGTGGAGGTATACCTAGTCATGATCCTCATGCAGCAGACAGCGGGTTTGGACAGTAAGCTGGGGGCGACAAATCAAATCGGGACGGCTGGTGGGATCATGAGGACGTCTGGGCAGCAGGGAATAGAGAGCAGGGGTATACTGGTTGAAGCTTTCTTCTCCTGTTGTCTGGCCATTTTCTTGCTTTCTGGCGTTTCTAGAGTTGAGCATCCGTTCTACGCGACACATTGACTGTTCGAAAGATATGCTCCCTCAAATCTACTCGATATCAAAGACAACAACAACGCCATTGTCCTGTATCCTCTGCTCTCCCGTATACTCCGCCAGTTCCACCCTTGCCTGATCTGCAATAGCGCGTAATTGCTTCTCCTGAATGGATTTGATATCGACTCTGCGGGAATGGATCTTGTTCGCCTTGGGCAGACGAATGGGCCCCCGAATCGAGAGACCTGAAGTCGCGTGAATGGTATCCATGAGACGCTGGAAGGTCGCGTTTAGGGTTGCTGTACTTTCGGACTGGAGTGTGATGGAAAAATCGGCTTTTAAGATTGTTGGTGATGATTCTGGGCTGTGATTGGATGGTGTTGTTGAGTCCGTCATGGCAGTATGGTGAATCAGGCTGAATGCGTTGTCCGAGCTGCTGTCGTTGTATCAATGGTAGCAGTGGTGCTCCTGTCCTCTGAAGGCGAGTTCTTGTCCGAGGTGGTTCGATGAACGAGTGATCAAGAGTGGGTCGAAGAGCAGAAGACAACTGCCCTTCAGCTTGGACCGTGACTGCCACCGCTCATATTGATGAAATCCGGTGCCAGGCTGGATGCGCACACACAGGCACCAGTTCTTCTCTCAAACTATGAGACCATCACAGTCGTTATCTTTCACACATCACTGCCGCAGGGCACTATGCAACAAATGCACGCCTGTTTCATATCCACTTCTATGCACAATTACTCGCCCTGATCTCGCTGATCGCCCTGGATACCCTAATAGTTTTGGTGCTTAGACTATCCCTGCAACAGAGAATCGGTATACTCCGGATTCCTTTCCTTGCCCGTTTACCCCTCTCCCCTTGTATTGAAATGCCCTAAAAGTATCCCCAGGAGGAGAAGTTGAGCGCATCCTCCCGCCGATTGGCCTTGATTCGTTGCCACCAAAATGAGGGTGCCGTGACTGCGGGATATCATTTGGGCACGGACAAAAATAAAAGAGAGGATCCGAAGGAGAGCCATGACGAAAACTATCGTCGTCTGTTTTTCTTCTGTCCCTCCTGCCTCCTTCCTGCCCCCGCCTGGTCCCTGGGCCCTCGTTTGTTGTGTGCTATTTATTTGTGCTGGCCTGCTGCTGCTGGGGACCATAGCCTACATCGTCGCATCGTCTCTTCTTCTCCATCTCTTCTCTCTCCCTTTCCTTTTGGTAATCTTTCTTGACCTCGACCTCGAACGATGGGAGGATTCTTCACACGAGCCCCTTCTACCCCAAGTCCCACAGACGTTCCTCAGGACGACAACGACGACAGAAATTCTATCTCTGTCAGACCAGCGCCCGTCCCTGCCAAGGCACTATCAACGCCCTTTCCGACACAATGGCCTGCCACCGGAGCTGACGACAGCACTGCGACCTCAAAACTAGGCACTAGCGACAATGCAGGTGCCAGGGACCATATATCGTCACAATCCTCAGCAACAGCAACGTCTTCATCACCAAGGCTAGAGCAGAATCCCCTGCCGCATCTCCCCTTCGTGCCTTCACCTGAACATAATCCAGATCTGAAGTGGGCACCCCGTTTCAGGGCCGATCCGTCCAGCATTCTTCTCGCCTATCCACGCACCAATGTGGATCATATTCATGATTTTTATCAGATTTACAATCCGCCGGAAAAGGGATGGTGGAATGTCGCGAGGTATGGTACACACTATCCTAGCCGCCGTTTCGTGCGATATGACTTTTTGAGAAGAACGATGGACTGACTATTATTCTCGCTCTTTCTTTTTTTTTCTTTTTCTTTTTTTTTCTTTTTCTTTTTTTTTCTTTTTCTTTTTTTTTGCGAGAAAAGCACCATGGTGATGTGTGGAGTAGCAGCAGTAAGCAAGACATTTATGACATTCGGCGCCTACACTGGAGTTTACAACATGAACCCATTCCTCAAAGTCCTTTACGATCCTCACCGGACAAGACCGATCCTCACAAGTAAGTAAAGCAAGCTCAAATGTACATGAAGAGGATGCGATCACTATGATGATCTGGTCTGTACATTCCCTCTAATTTTTTTCTCCTTTTTGTGTCCATAGTTACCAACCATGCCTCGACGTAAGTCTTGAGCGAGAGACACAAAGCCTGCGCACTTTACAAGATCGGAATCGACTATTTGGTCATAACGGGACAGAAACACGGGGAAAAGACAAATAACAAGGATTATCTTGTTTCTGTTCTTTAGTGCCGATGACCCCCTGTTGTGGGGGGCGTTACCATGGAAGTGTTTTTTTCACCCCACAAAGACCATTCGATATGCATTGGGAGCTCAAGAGCTTTGTTACCCCAATAAGTGAGTGCACAATTCAACGATTCATAAGAGTACAAGCGTAAGATGCAATATGATCCCTTTTTCTTAAACCCTACACTTTCTGTTTACTGCCCTAGACCCGTTGGAGCGTTCTTCAGATTCGGACAAATTGTACCGATCATTCGAGGCAACGGCATCTATCAGCCTGCTGTAGACAAGTCGATCGATCTGCTCAAGAGCGGCCGGTGGGTCCACATTTTCCCAGAAGGAAAGATCAACCAGTCGGACCAACTCATCCGACTCAAGTGGGGCGTGGGCAGGATATTGATGGAGTACGGAGGACCACCCATCGCAGACGGAGGCAAGCCCATGAGTGAGGCAGAGATCCCGATCGTAATCCCGATTTATCATCTAGGCATGGAGGATATCCTGAGACTGTACCCGAACAACGACTCGCCCATCTTCCCCAAGTTGGGCTTGCCCCTGACAATCGTCTTTGGAGAGCCAATTGATTTTGGAACACTAATGCAGGAGTACAAGGAGGGTAAGATCCAGGAAGTCGAGGCGCGCGTCAAAATAACAGAGAGAGTGTACGAGGCGCTGGACGAGCTGAAGAGAGTGGCACTGCGGTTACAGAAAGAGCATGCTGATGAGATAGAGAAAGACAGGATCAAGAAGGGCCGGTGGTGGTGGATTAAACCTGCCGGATGGGGTTGGTAAGTACATGTCTATGCTCTACTGCTCTCGACTGGGGCAAAGTGATTTCATTTTCTGACCTACTCTCTGCAATATCTTGGACCTACCATAGGTGGAGATCGCCCGACATGGAGCTGTATCCGCAACATAGAGATGCCACAGTGAAGATCGAGGAAATTTAGACTATCAACTTAGAGCATACACCAATAATCATTAGAACACGGCACCCATAGTGCCGAATCATCATATCGCAATCAATTCTTTATGCGTGTTCAAGCACCGTCTTTTGCCTAGAATCATTTTCATTGCGCCGCTTTGCTCTGCATTACACTTCTGTATGCCACTTGATGAAGGTTTCTACAGCTGGTCGAATTTTTTCTATGTGGGCTACTATGCCGTTCAACTGCAGCTTCTTGTATCGGACATAGAAGGCCTGTAACCGCGGTCAGGGCGTCTCGTCGCTTCTCTCCCTTAGGGGCGATTCCTCATAAATCATCTGGTTCCGAGTTTCGCCCTTACAGCGAGCCTGCTACCATCCCCGTTGAAGACACATCACGCCAGCAACACAAAGCCAGATGCGCGGTATTATATATTAAGCAGTGGTCTCAAATCAGACCTTTTTTTTTTTTTTTTTTTTTTTTTTTTTCATGCCGTCGTCGTTCTATTGCTCGTGTGTACTTTTTGCGCTTGATAGCTACAGTTCGTTCGTTCCCCCAGAAGAAGAATATATCAGTTTATTGTCAAGCTACCGATTTATCGCGACTATACTCTACATGAATATGTAGCGTGGCTTAATTGAGAAATCAACGTCTGGTCGAATGTCCTCCATGTACTCCACGACGGCGCTATAGTCCCTGTATCCAACTTGAGGCATTCAAGACCTTGAAAACACGGAAACTAGGACAGGTACCAATGATGTGTTCGAGGAAATGCTGCCTGATTGAGGCTCTGTTCATCTCAAAGGTCCTGAGAGGATACCGATCTGGATATTCCTCGGGCGAGATTATGATTTTGGGCTTGACGGGGAAATGAGCTGTCTCAGGGTTGACGACGGGCTCGGGTGTCTCCGGGATTGGGTCCTAGTAGGCTAAAATCGTTGACGTCGCGCAGGCTCGGGCAATAGTGTCCTCATAAGATAGCCCGTATCCTCTAATGGAAAAGGTGCTTGATGTGGTTAAAAAGGCTTCTTTTTTTTTTTTTGGCGCCAAATCGTCGAATCCCTGCTGCATTTTGCTGTCGCTGTAGAGTTGCGCTGTTTCGGTTCTGAAAAAGTCCTCTTCCTGAGCCGAAGGGTTCTGTTGCTGCTCTTGTTCCTCAAAGCGCTCAAGGGATGGCCTCTCGAAATCGTCTCCATGCAATGCATGTGCTTTCTTGTGTAACAATGCTCGTTTTTTTTTTTTTTTTTTTTTTTTTTTTTTTTTATTAACATAAATCCCCATGAGCACAAGACGCATGGTCCGCAAAGGCCTTGAAGCCATAGATGCCTTCCATGCACGGCAGAGCCGCATCCCCTACCAACTATGTTGGCTTGAGGCGTCAAATTCATAACCCATGTCGCATAGCTAGCCTAACCTAACTCCTGCGTGACCTGTTGCGCGATACACGTCTCCTAATCCAGATCCAATGTTAATAAAGTTGTTTTTAAACCGAATAACCCCTCCATTATGTCCAACTTCCCTCGCCCCAAGCAATGCTGTAGCACCCTATAATCCGCGGTCCGTCTACCTTCCTGGATCTCCGTTGCAAGTAACCGTCTCCCTTTCAAATCAGAGAAATCACCAACACTACGTTGGTGTCCCCGATCACCGTTGCGTCCTCCGGCGCGTTTGCTCATGAAGGTGATTCCAACTGACTTTTCCCAGGCGACAGTGTCCTCGCATCGTTTGTTCCATATCTTGGTCCTGCCGAATTCTTCGATCCTGCTCACGAACTTTGTCACCATGATCGTCGCAATCCACTTAGTGGTGGTAAATAGCTGCTTCCAGGTCTCAATGAGTCCCGTTGGCACCAAACCTCGGTATAAGTCCTTGACCTCCCAATCTGCCTCACTCTCCGGCTCCTCTTCTTCCGCAACCCGATATGTCCCTCGCCTTTCCGCCGTCCCCTGAATCCACTGCATTGACTCCCAGATAGCCTTCGTTCCTGTTGCCGAGAAGTTGGGACAAGTCGCAGTGAAGGGCTTGTCCTTCCGTTCGGCCTCCTCTCTCTCCTGTTCCCATTTTCGCACTGCCTGTCTCCATGCACGATATCCATTCAACTCCACTTCCTTCACCGCGTCCCTCCACTCTTGTCGCTGGTCGCACAAGGTAGCTGAACAACGCCAAAGATGATCGTTCGTCTCTGGTTCCCTCTCACACCTACGACATATGTCCGTTTGGTAGGTATCTGGATGTCGTTTCTTCATCGCCTGCAATGTCGGCAAATCTCCATGCAGCTTCTTGATCCTGTGCGAACGTAAACGACAGTCTTCCAGGCTGGTGTATAAGCGCTTTGGCGGGTTGTTATCGTGTAAGATCCGTAGCGTGGGCGCCCATGCTACCGACCGCCAATCCTTGATGTAGGTCCTCGTTCGATGCTGCAATGTCCACTGATAATGGTGCCGTACCGCGGACTGCAACTTCAGTATCCTCCTCAAGTCCAGGTCTGCACTGTGCGTTGCAAACTGTGCGTGGCATTTCAAATCATGGTGCTGCGTTGCGTCTAGCCTCCATAGTCCTGTATCGATCCCATGTGCTGCCTTGGCAACAGTGTCTGCAGCCCTGTGTAACAATGCTCGTTCCAGTACAGTCGAAGCTCGAATATCCGAACGATACACAGTCAAAATCGTTCGGATAAAAATTAGGTTTAAATGAATTGATTTATTTAGAAACTCGCCATTTGTTTGGCCATTCGTTCGGAGTCATGCAACTGAGGAGTATATATTTTCTGCGAGTTTCTGAATACAATCAATCTAATTTTTATCCGAACGATTTTGACTGTGTATCGTTCGGATATTCGAGCTTCGACTGTACTAGGCATGTCCGGGTCGAGTCGAGGCGAGGCTGAACTAGCACTCAAACGCGTCCAGTCCCTTCATAGACTCAAGTGGCTGCTTCTCATGTCCCATATATCAGAAGTATTCAAATATCCATTCGAAGCAACTAATGGTGAGCTAGATCATCTTACTGAAGTACGGTTTCTCTTTGTAAAACAATAGTCGTCAGCTTTTTGCTCTGTTTACTGCATTTTGGATGTGCCGAGGTCTTGGTCTTAAGAGTTAGACGGATGTTGCTGTAACCATCGTCATACAAGACCTCCTCGTCTTCCTATTAAGTTGATGTGTCGAAGTAATTTTTTTTTTTTTTTTTTTTTACACATGTAGGAAATTGGTGGCGTTGGGCGAAGTCGTTTTAAGGTGAGGATGGAAAAGCGTTATCAAAATAATTTTATCGAGCAGGACTTTAGGTAGGACGATAGGATAGTAGAGCAAGGCACTTATATAGATCTTTTCTGCCAATTCCATGCGTCTCTCCGCCCGACTCAAGGAAAAGCACTGTTGGGGCTATAGAGAGCGAGCAAGAGAAACTAGGCAGAACACGACGACGACGGTTTTGTGTGAGCCTCAGCATTGCAGTTGATGCCCTACACACCTACACACAAAACAAACAACTTCCTCAATTGTTCAGAAAAAAATATATCTCATTGTTGCCCACACGTATAAGACTATCGTCGGGATCTATACAATAATCCGACATCTAGGCACCTGCTCCTTCAGCTTCTTCACAGTCGCCTCCTTGGCATGAGGTGTCATCGGACTCTTGCTAATCGTCAGCTCCTCGAGAGCCACCACGACCTTCCCCTTCTCATCGCTACCTTCCCCCTCGCCGCCGTCCTTGGGTATCACATGGGTTGGGAAGTTAATCACCCCAAAATTGCACCCTTTCAGGTTCAACACTTTGAGCCGACTGTAATCCAGCGCTCCCAGCAACTCTTCCCACTGGGGGCCTGTGAGACTGCCTCGTGGCCATTGAAAGGTTTCCAGTAGCGGGCACATCGACAGGATCTGTAATAACGCTCTGAGTCCTGTTTCTTTTAACGTAGAATGAGTCCCACGGAAGGTGAACGACTGCATGATAGAGTGTTGATGTTGCTGGAGTTGTTGATTCTGGGATGCGTGCGAGATGCCATCATAAAGTCGTAGACAGTATTTGTTACCATGAGGACTCGCATAGTCAAGACTCATCAGGTACGGAAAGATATCTCCGATGAAACCAGTCCACTTCTCGAACATATATCGCGATGTGAACGTGATACGGAGCGGTGCCGAGGACGAGGAAGGCGTAGGGATTGATACCACATGCTCCAACTCAACCTTCTCTGGGACGAGTGATGACAATGAAGATGACGCGGTTGCCAATGTAGCTTTCTTTGGGTCTGATTGCGATATAACTGCCGAAGGAATCGACAGCGGCGAAGGACTGTCAACTGAAGACAGATACAACCTCTTGAGCGTCTTGGATAGGGTCTGTTTGCCTACACTAGTGAGGCGGGAAATTGTGAGCGCATTGTAGTCTACATGAAAGTCGATCTGCTCCAGCTTCATGTTCTGTGATTGCTGCGTAATTGCGTCGAGTACCGACGCATCCTCGTCCCTGAAACGGTCGCCGATTAAAAGCGTGTGTAAATGAGCACCATAGCGTTCCAGAACCATGTAATCGAGGAGAAGGGGCGGTTCGTTGAAACGGATCGGGTCCAGCAAGGGAGATCCAGGTTCTGAGCGATCCAACCTGATTTTGAAGTTAACACTAGACAGATTCAGGAGCCTGAAGTGCGTGTGATCCATAGACAGCTCCTTGACGAGCTCGATAGTCCCACAAAAGCTGGGGCTGGAGCAGCACAGGGTAAGAGTTGCCAAATGTGGGCTTTTGTTGAAGATCGTCCGTAGTTTGTCCGAGTGCATCTTCGGGTCAAACAGTGCATCCAGATGGATCTCCCGTACTTGAGTCTGATGTAAGGCTGCAAACACGGATGACTTTGAAAAAAGGTCCTCAGCGTGAATGATGTCGATCGACTGCAGACAACTGCTGGCCGTCAACACATGCACCATGGGATCCAAACGTTTGTTCCGACCGACACGATCCAATATAGATCCGGTATGCCTGCCGCAATCCAGTCTCAGCTTTTGAAGGCGTTGCATTCCCAAGATCCAGTCTCTGGTTGTCAGTAGGTCCTGATAACTCGCATCCCACTCCAGCACAAGGTCCAGCTCACGAACATCTCTGACTGGTCCTAGGTGAGAGAGTAGATATTCCGGAGTTGCGGATTTCGACGGTCTTAAGGTCAGCCTGAGGATCCCGCGCTCGAACTCATAGACGCCATCGTTCCAGAGGACGGTATCCCGGAGACGTGTCAGTACATCCGTATCGAACTGTGTCTGGTGATGATGGTGACACAGCCATACCACCTGACCGTCATCGCTCTCTTCGCTGTAGAGTCCTCCCAAAGGTCTGTGCTTTACGGCCTCTCCGGTCTCATTTTCGGAAAGATCCTTCAGAAACGACAGCACCTTGCTCAGGTCCGTTCGTCCATCGTCGTTTAAATCCCCTGCCTTAACCTTCTCTTCAAATGTTTTATCCGCTTTTATAGACTGAAGGTGACCGATGACTTCGTCAACACTTGCCTCAATATCGTCGGCGGTTTCCATCAAGTGGACGCTATTCCATGAACCTCTGCGCACCTTGACGTACTCCAGGTCCTTAAGGAACGGTACGATCTTCCCGTTGACTGGAAATCCATGCTTCAGCTTCTGCAGAATGTTAAGCACATAAGGTCCGTAACAATCAAAGAACTCCGTCGGCCGATTTAGTTCGTATCCAGGATGGCCACACAGATGAACATGGCCTGGTATGGTGTTCGATGTGTTGTTGCCGGGCGTCCCGTGCTTAATCTCTTCTCCTCCTTCACAAAGGAAGTGTATGCGGAATCGTTGATCTAGGGACAAGTCTTGAGTCGACGATGTCTTTTTTGAAGGTAGGATAATAAAGAGCTGCGGGGGAATGATTGATGTAATGTCATGTGCCTTGAGGATAGGGGGAGATGGCGGCGTCCAGACTTGATGGTTGGAAACTTCCTGGTTGTTATACGGCACTCCTGCAGGGCGAGATGAAGGTAGCATTGCCTGCTTTCCATCATTAGGTGCTGCTTGTAATTGAGATGGTGATCCTGCTCCAGAACCCATAAGAGAGATATCAGCCGAAGATGCAGCATACTCTGGTGGCGATGCGCCCTCCACTTCATCGACGCCACCCGTCCTCAGTGCAGCTGGTGGATAGCCAGCTGTAGTGACATGGAGGACCATTCCTGGATAGTGCTTGATTCTTGCTGGGTTGTATCTATCGTTACATGAGCGATGATTAGTTTATTCCTATTTCTCTTCATCCCGCGACACCCCAGTGTCGAACGTTGCTATTATTACCGCTGTCCGGCCTTGTCTCTCATAAATGCGACCATAATATTGCCATTACGATGGACGTGACGAAGCCCTGGGAAGAATGTTTCGATGTCTTCCCAAAACACAAATTTCGCGCCCGTAGTGGAATCCGTAGATACCTCGATATTGACAATAGGATTCAGCGACGAAGATCCGTCGAGCTGGTCCCGCCGAAATGCCTGATGATCGATGTCCATGTATGCCAGCTCTGTCGATATTCACAATTTCGTTGGTTGACTGAGATCCAGTCGTGGTATGAAGAAGGGTCAGGGGGATGTGAAAGGACGAAAAAGATGAGAGAGCAGCTTGAAAAAAACGGTCAGCAGGTTTTTTATCGCCAAAATCAATCCAGTATGGTGGTACAAAATTGATGCGTGCGGGAACATCGTTTTTTATTTGATGGCCAAAAGTCATCTGGTAACAATCGACATTGGCGTGAGCTTTAGGCGAGCGCATGCGTCTTGCCAAGGTCCAGCCTCTGTGTCAAGACACTGATCGATATCAAATCGTGTGAGTAAATGTGGGCGCCTGCATCTAGGATTGGCTGCCACATGTCCTTGTCCTTATCGCTCGAGACCACGGCCACAATCCCTTCCTTCTCTCGAGGATCTTCCCCATCGTCGCCATCACTATGAGAACTATGACCTCCGTCGTGGTCCTTCTTACGACTTCCGCCCCTGCCTTTGGTAACCCCGGGCGTGGTACCGGTCTTGGTCTTGCTGGACTTCACAAGTCGATCCCTCAGAAATCCCAATCCAGTATGAAGAAGCGTCGACGCCTTTCCGCCGCCAGCCTCCACCACTGATTTGAGTCCCGGCATATCCTGTTTTATGGACGGTGATAGGTAAAAGACGCAATTCTCAAAAACTCGCTTCTCGCGGGCTCGATCAAGAGATTCGTAAAGGTCCATTCCGAGCTTTTGTTCGTTTGTTGAATCCTTAATCCGGAAGTCGTCCTCATCTTTGTTCAAAAAAGTGAAAATGGATGAATTTGGCATGATGCAAATAGCAATACACCGGTGTGTGCAAACGATTGCACGTAAAATATCGACTTACCAAGAATGGCATTGGCATCTATGCAGGCTTGAAGCCAATCCTCATGAACGATGGCCTTGCCTTGAAGTAGTGCTATCAAAAACTTGCCAGTTCGTGCGATGCTTGTGGCTACCAAGTGCGTGCACTTTTCAACAGCGGTTGTTGGCATGATTCCAAGGGCCTTGAGGGCTTTGGCCTGCGCTGCACTCTGCTCCTTGACACCCGTTGTGATATACCGCACGCGTTTCAGCTTTCCTGCTGCTGCCCCGGCCCCTTGCTCTACTGTACCAGAAGTATCCATGGCAGAATCCTCTCGATCTTTGTTCTTTTCTGATTTTGCCGCTCTCCTCGGTTTCTTGGATGGCATTCTAGGGCTGCTTGTATTCGCTTCAAGTTCCTGATCTTCATCGTCACCGCTTCCCGCAGGAGTGCTTCGTTCGTCGACACTACCCATACTGATCCGTCGCCGCTTTGTTGGAGAATTGCCCACTTTTTTCGTCGACGAAGGAACAGCTGCAGCTTCATCAACGTCCACGTCCATAGATTCGTCGTCCTTGGGCATATCCATGACCACCTGTTTCTTCTTTTTCTTCGACGCCTTCTTCTCGTCCCGGAGCTCCTCCTGGAACTCGTTCATATCCGGAACAATCTTTCGTAGTGCTTTACTGGCTTGTAGTGCAGCGCCACGCTTCTTTGACGTTCCCCGAACGCTAATATAATCTGGACTCTCAGTTGAATGCGATATTGTTGGTGAGGATGGCGCGCTGGTTGCTGGGGTTGATATGTCAGACGTCGGTTGCTTTGGATCACCAGAAGACTTTATATATGCCGCTTTCGAAGTAACAGGAGACGAGGGTCCTGACCACGCTTCGCCGAAAGTGAAAGAAACCTGTTTCTGTTCTTGCTGAACGGATTTTGATGGGTCAGCATTATCCTTGGATGTTGAGGGCGACGTCTCTATGTCGCCGTTTGCCTTTACTCCGCTCTTGGCGATTTCCTCATCTTCAGCGATATTGATCCAATCCTCCACTGACTCTGGTAAGAGCTTGGCTCCAAAGACGAGTGAAAGTTGGTTGGGACTTGGAAACAACATGTAGCGCGGCTTGGTCTCACTTTGCAACGTCCAAGCTTGGAAGCACTCCTCAAGCCATAGATGATTGACGATTTTAACATTCCACTCATGGCCCTTTTCATACTTGTCACCCGAAGCACTGTAAAACGAATGAGAATGCATTTTTAGCCGGGTACTACACACATTATATTAAGCATAAAAAACCATCGAGCTTTGGTGAAATTTGCCACATACTTTCCACAAATGATATGCGTTGTCGGCTCCGGCGACTCTGAACTCGACAGCGTCGGCTTATAAATTGCTCCTATTGCAACGATCATGCGCTTCAAATATTCGCGGACTGGGCCGGTGTAGTTGGATATGGTGATAACGAGTGAAGATGACCCTTCGATGGATCCTTGGGGTATAGGGTAATGGAGTAACCACGCTTTTGGCGAAGGTAATGTCCCGGTTTGCAGTACATGAAGCAGCCAATCGACCGACCCAACAATCTTGCCGTCCCTAGAAGCCTTCAAATGTAAAAACAGAGAAGAACGAGGTGTTAGCCGAAAAGATTTAAATAAAGGCACGAATAGCTGTAGAGTAACACAGTATCAGCGTGCAAAAGCATTCTCTCTCACCCCTATATATGCGGTCCCGGAACGATAGCGACAGATAAGAATGTCTACAATATCGCCAGAATACTCGTTTGCAAGAATGCCACCTGCAGCTTCAATTTTTTCCTCAAGTTTGGCTCTTCTTTCCGGGAAAATAAAAGCCAAATCGTCTCCCAATAGAATATGTAGCCCCTCTAAGAATCGGTTGCTGGGGTCATTTGGCGTTTGAAGAAAAGCAGTGACCGGTTTGAGACTGTTGGAGTAGAGTTGAGGTGCGAAACCTGTGGGTGGCTCCTGCCAGGCGTAGTCTGGATCATACATGGGTGGGCTGGGAAACTCATATGGAGCCTATGGGCATAATCATGAAGGATAAACGATGCGAACCAAAATGAGCGCCAGTGTACAAAACCCGCGCCAAGACTGCGACAACACAAATAATAAAATCTTCAGCATACCTCTGGCATGACTCGCTTCAAATTGCAACATAATTGGAACCAATGCGGAAGCACGACTTTGATCTCCAATTCTGGGTGCGCCATAATGTAGTCGTATTTCTCCTATAATAAGCACAACCCCTGAGGTTAAAAATCCATTTCCTTCGACCATGACTGAGCAACAACGACTTAAACACTTACTCCTTCCGGCGTGATAGCAAGCATGTGTGTGACATCGGACGTAATTTGTGACGTATAAAGTCCACCGTAATCCTCGACAGCATCGCGAATAAGTTGACGATCAATTTGTGGCAGCTAAATCCAATTGAAAAGAAAAAAAAAAAAGCAGGTTCTGCACATTAACGTTGATCTGTTCATGGCGATAAGAACATTCGTCTTTCCGTCGTATAAGAACGCTGCATACACCTGTCGTTGCCAGTATGATCCCGGAAAACATCATGGCTGGATTCGGAGAAAAATATTTTGGGCTATCGTCAACGAGCACGAAAAGTCAATCATCGATATCACATTTGGAGAGTATAAGAGGATGGAAATGCAAGTCAACTATCCTCTCTGTCTCCGTTCACCTCTTACTTTTGCAAACTGTGGGCGCGCACCGATCGCAAGACCCAATCCGGCTAGTAAGGAATAGGTGGAGGGGATCAAATATCAGATATTGTCAGGGCAATCGCAGGTGACCTGTTGAAGAATGCTCTGACCAACGAGACGTACCTTGACAATTTGGATACCCCTTGCGGCAGCGTGCTTATAGTCTGGGAGATCCAGGTCGTCGGTGATGATATGTGTTGGGTTTGCGATGCTGTTCTGTCCTTCGTCGCTATCCTCGGTCGATAACAAACGGGACCTTGATGCGCCGTGTTCACATAGCAGCGAGTCCAACTGGTCAAAAAATAAGAATAAAATAAGATAAAGAATAGATGGATGGAAATTGGCGGCGTACAACGTCAATTGACGAATAAGCAGGAAATCAAAAAAGAGACAGAGTGGCAAAAGGCGAGAGATCGTCTCTTTGGCATTCAACCAAGACTTACCTCTGCCAACCTTTCTTTCTCGAGAAAGGGGTTGAGGTAAAACACAACGTTCTCGAAAAGAGGGCTCACCGCCCCGTCCTGCTCATGCGGGTGTGCTGCATACTCATGTGTGGAAGGACCAGGGCTCAAGAGTGGGTCGCTAGCTGGGCGTGTAAGATCTGTGTTTTGGGGCAGTTCATTTGCGACTTCCGGGCGCGACATTGTGCCAGATGGCGGCGGCGTATTGACGGGCGTAAGAGGAGGGGGAGAAACCAGCGTCAGGCACGGATAAGGATGAGAGAAGGGGACGGAACAAGACGAAGCATGACAAAAGCGATGAGGCGACCACACACCCATACACTGGCGCGGCAATTTTGGTGGCGTGCCTTAACCGGAAAATAGTGACTGTCGGTCAATTGGCCGTGGACGAGGGTCTGTTTTACGCCCCATTCATTTGATCCTCCAAGGCCAAGGGGGAAAAAAAGCACTTCAACTTTTCTACCACGCGCAATGGTTGACAGAACGTATATGCGACTCCCTTGCCTGAAGCAGACCCCAGAGGATTTTTAAAAAGAAAAACAATGGATGTGTCATAATATCACTTGACCGATTCCTTCCTCTCTTAGCCTTGCGAGTTGCAAACATCGAGCTGGAAAATAGTCAAGCATGTACAGTGTAACTATTGTGTCTGGAAGCACAACTTTCATGCGTTGTCCGCAATTTAACAGTAACACGCAGACGGACAAACGCGTCGCGAAGGACACCAGCAAAAGAGACGATGGTTTCTACTGTGCGACGTAGAAACTCCTAATTTGTCTTTCTCTCTTTTCGTGAGCTTGCTATACACACACCCGTACCCGACCGTAACAACACTTCTCCAGTATGGAAGGTCCGGAAGAGGTCTTTCGCCCGCGTCGCTGACTTTGTTGCGCTGATTTTGCTCTTTTGAAGACGGCTGGCTTCTCCACACCCCGCTTTTGGCGTAGTCTAGGCATGGCACGAATTCCCCAAATCAAGCTGAGATCAAACCTCCCAGATCCTTGTTTGTCTAGACAGGCACCGCCAGTTTCCCATGGGAAAGCATCCTAAACAGCCTAGACTACTGTAAAGAGTGCTTGTTGCTTAATGTAAAATGTCTCCTCTTTTTATGGAGTTTTTTTCTTTTTTTTGTTGGGGTCGTTGGAAATGGGAATGGTCCAAGCGCAATATGTCGTACAATTGCGGGCAGGCACTCGACAACAGAGACCAAGTAATTTGGTCAAAATGCATACCCACAGCACATAGTCAGGCCATAGATTATTCACAGCATAGGAGCTATGTGAATCGTTGCTCCGTCCTCCTCAACGGCGCTGGAGCACTTTATGACACATCACTACGATTTGTGGTCATCAACCCGGCGCCAGAGAACAACTTCTATTCAATGGGGAAACACTTACGAACCCCGACACTAACCAGTTCTATTAGGCCATTCTATTTGGGTGCGAAACATCTAAATTGTCTAGTCTACACCATCCTCATCTGCATCTACATCTGCATCCAACAATCCGTGCCAAACATCATAGGAAATTGCAAAACTCCACATTTGAAGTCGGAGAACTAATTGTCATAAACGAAGGCACTAGTACATAAAAAAAAATCTTCCATGGTGCTACAGTGAGAAATCCTGGCTCGGGCCACCTTTTCACCCCTTCATCCTCCCCCCTCCCCCTCTTTCTATTCTCACAACGCAATACCCAACAATATTCAAAAACAAGCATTCCGCAGAGAGAGAAAGAGAAAAAGAGAAAAAAAGAGAAAGAGAAAGAGAGAAAGAGGAAGACAGAAAAGAGAAGACAGAAATATGATGTTGGAGATGGAAATGTGTTCAAGGGACTATGGTCCCGTTATGTTCCTGTCTGTCTCTCCAAGAATATACTTGCTCTTATTTTTTTTCGCTGATCTCTTCCCTATTCAAAGTCCTTCAAAAAGCATGGACCATCGGCGACACCATTACACTACTTTACGGCATATGACTCGGACAACTTCGGGAACCTTACTCTCCGGTGCATTCCCTTAGCCGGTCTACTCCTGAAATAAGGCACCGCTGTCATATGTTTGCTCATAAGGACTAGCTATGGCTTCTGACTATGGCGACATCAATGCTTTCGCCTCCGACTCGGAGCAGACTATGCCAAGGAGAGCAAGGGCTTTGAGGTTGAGGACCGCGGAAATGAAAAAGGATGCGATCCAAGCGCTGTTCCACAAACAAATTGGGGAACTGGGCAGAAAAAAAGCCAAGGAGAAGACGAGGGATGAAGGAAAAGAGGCGTCTTTTGTTGCGTGTGTCCAAAGCTACGCTCTCCTTTCATGCCAGTCAGGGTTCGCCCAATGTTCATCCCTGCGATCGATCAATAGCCTACAGCTCCCCGGTTCTTTGTATGTCTATTACGGGGTCACAGTCCATCTGACTTTGATTTATTTTCTCGTCTCTGGTCTCCACTCCCGCTAACAAACTACTCTAGAGTCATTTATTCCTTACTTTACATTGCTGTCTTGCTGAGGTGCAAAAGTGGGGCCTGCCTACGAAAGTATTCTTCAAAAACTTTTAAAGAGTAAAGAATGAATTGAAAATATCGCGTTTCCTAACATAGTAATAAAAAAGGTTTTTTGTGGGGAAGCAGACAAACAATAAAATTAAAGAAACGCTGGCGAGCATGCAAAACAAAACGGTGGGCAAAAAGACCAATAAGAATCCGAGCAGAGGAGTCATACTTTGGTACCTGGATGCAATGCGTCGGAGGGGCCTCATCTTGCTGCGTGAATGGGATGTAAACCGCAACAGCGACATCGATCCATCCCACTGCTTAGGAGAGCACTTTCTTGCACCATTGCTGCTAGCGAACAACAGAAAAAGAGAAGAAAATGACGGATGGGGGGATAGGGGGAAGAACAAGTAGGGCCTTTCTCTGGATAGTACATGGAAGATGTCACACGCTCGACTACGACGCCATGATGGAGTGCTGCGTAAGGAAAACAACGATCCGTGAAGACATCCACGGGAATGTGAACGTGCTTTGCCCTGTGTTCAAAATCCTTGTTCCTGAACGCCTTCATAACAAATTTTTCTCACGATCACCCCCCCTCCTCAACTACTCATTCCATACCATTGCATGTTATTCCGCGAAAGGACGAGTGTTGGCCTCTGCGCCTATTTTGCGGAGAAACAACAATCAGAATATGTCGTGGCACACTACTCTCCAGGACAGAATGTTGCGCCTTCATTAAGAAGAGACGGGGGATCCTTACAGCAACGAGTGAGCAGGCAAGTATCCTCTCCCAGGATACATTACGTCAATGATGCCTGGGCGTAATTTTTAAGGTATGACAATTATGATGCCCCTATGATGTCTGCCGGTCGATATGAACAAACACATCCCCACCCCTTGAAGGCATTTGCACCGTTGTCGAGACTATTTTTTTATGTTGACTCTGGACCTATGTTTTACTCGCTCCTTTTACCCTGAAACAGCCTTGGTGGTCAAGAGACGATGCCGCTACAATTGATCGTGAATAACCGAAGAAGCACGGGCGCTTTTTGTTCTCTCTCGTATGGATGAATTGTTGGGTTTGAGGGTTTTTGCAAGCTTCTCTGGGGAACGATTGCGTTGCCGTGCAATTGGACAACAAACATCAGCACTCTTCACAGCCTCAATGTTAGTTAGGCTAGGACAGCAATGTTAATACTCTAGTCTCTCTAAATAACGCAAACGCATCTTTTTGTGATTTTCATGGTCATTCTCAGCCCTGTGTTCTTGTGGTAGGTAATTATTCCCTTGTGCGGTCCAAACCATTTTGAGCGCAATACAACAAATATCGCACCGCTCATCTTTGCAAAAAAAAAAAAAAAAAAAAAAAAACGTCCATCGTCTAATATCCTCGTTGCTTCTCTCTTGGTTAATAATAAAAATAAAATAAAAAAAGCCCTCGCATGGCCATGTCATATGTGAGAAGGGAGAGTCTGCTAACGCGCACCCTCCATTGGGGTTCCGCAATGAGTCGACTATTGATCATACAAAGACCGCTCCAGACGCGCTCATAATATTTCGTTTTCTTAAACTTTTTTTTTTTCTCTCTGTACCTAACAAACAAAAAGGATGACGGCCAGGACGAACAATTGCGTCCGGCCATCGCTGCAAGTGAAGGTGGCTGCATCGGTTTCAAGTGACATGGCTGACGGAGAGTTCAATGGGGGCGAATCAACTGTCGATGCGAATAGGTAAAGGTGCGTCTTGGGAAGGATGAAAGGGCATGGTCGCTGGATGGGTGAAGCTGGTTTTCTTTTTTTTTTTACCACGGACTGCACCAGAGACGCATCCGTGGGCAGGGATGGACTCTAACATGTGCTGGATTCGAATATTCGGATAGAATACTGCATGCGATTCACTCGAGAACGATCCCTTGTTAAAAATAATCTCAATGCAGTCCGCTCCGAGCGAAACGCACCATACGCTTCCTATACGCTTCCTATAGACTTCCTATAGACTTCCTATACATTCACTGAATAGAAAAAAAGACGGGCTTTGTTGCCCACGGGCAAATCCATCCTGCAGCGCCCCACTGCACCAAAAACCGTAGTCAATACTCTAAATGCATAGACTCATACCCCTGGCCCTTACTCTTAAAAAAAAAAAGCATCGCTTCCGCTCGTCATCTTGACCTGCTCGTTCCGATCCTTCCGCGCCTCTGCTGCTGCCCCTCCTTATAAATACCACCTCCATCCGCCTCCATCACGCTCCTTGCTTCACTTTCATCTTCACCAACCAACCCACTCTTCTTCCCCCCATCTATACCAGGCGTTCGTGCCCCTTCTCTCGCTTTCTTCAACCCGCCCTCTCCACTCTCCCACACTAAACCCCCTCACACAAACAAACAAAATGGCTCCTTACAAATCAAGATCGCCCGCCGCGTCCATCTTCAAGCACGATGCCGAGCTGGATGCCTCCGTCGGCAAGGACGGTATCGACTACACCCGCGTGAACCTGCTCCGCAACACCTCCGTCGCCAAGCTCTATGAGGACGCCCTCCGCTACGAGCCCGGCACCTTCATCTCCTCCGCCGGTGCCCTCGTCACCTCTTCCGGAAAGAAGACCGGTCGCTCGCCCAAGGACAAGCGCATTGTCGACGAGGAGTCCACGACAGAGGACATCTGGTGGGGACCCGTGAACACAAAGTTGAGCGAGCACGCCTTCCTAATCAACCACGAGCGTGCTGTCGACTACCTGAACACCCGTGAGCGCCTCTATGTCTTTGACGGATTCGCCGGCTGGGACCCCAAGTACCGGTAAGTCTGCGATGCAAACCAACGCTGGGCTGGCTGTCCTACGGATGTGGAGAAGCGAAAGAAAAAAAAAATTAACTAACATTCGCCCCCGTTCTGTATTCTCCCAATAATGTAGACTCAAGATTCGCGTCGTCTGCGCACGCGCCTACCACTCACTTTTCATGCACAACATGTTGATCCGCCCCACGGAGGAGGAGCTCAAGAACTACGGCGAGCCCGACTTCACCATCCTCAACGCCGGCGCCTTCCCCGCCAACAGATACACCACCGGCATGACCTCAACCACCTCCGTCTCCATCAACTTCAAGCTCCGCCAGATGGTCATTCTCGGAACCGAGTACGCCGGAGAGATGAAGAAGGGCGTCTTCACCATCATGCACTACCTCATGCCCAAGGCCGGCGTCCTTTCCCTCCACTCCTCCGCTAACCAGGGCCCTGACGGCGACACCTCCCTCTTCTTCGGTCTCTCCGGAACCGGCAAGACCACCCTCTCCGCTGACCCCGCCCGCGCCCTTATTGGAGATGATGAGCATGTCTGGACCGACACTGGAGTCTTCAACATCGAGGGAGGCTGCTACGCCAAGTGCATTGATCTCTCCGCCGAGAAGGAGCCCGAGATTTTCGGTGCCATCCGCTTCGGATCTGTTCTTGAGAATGTCGTCTTTGACGATGACACTCGCCTGGTCGACTACTCTGACAAGTCCCTGACCGAGAACACCCGCTGCGCCTACCCCATCGAGTACATCCCCAACGCCCTCCTCCCCTGCATCGGTAACCACCCCAAGAACATCATCATGTTGACCTGCGATGCCTTTGGTGTCCTCCCCCCAGTCTCCAAGCTGACCTCGGCCCAGGCCATGTACCACTTCATCTCTGGCTACACCGCCAAGATCGCCGGTACTGAAGAGGGTGTCACCGAGCCCGAGGCCACCTTCTCTGCTTGCTTCGGCCAGCCCTTCCTGGTTCTCCACCCTACCCAGTACGCCACCATGTTGGCCCAGAAGATGCATGACCACACTGCTGATGCCTGGTTGATCAACACCGGCTGGAACGGCGGTGTCTATGGTACCGGCAAGCGTATTGCCCTCAAGTACTCCCGCGCCATCATCGATGCCATCCACAGCGGAGAGCTCAAGAACGCCGAATACGAGACCTACCCCATCTTTGGTCTCGAGATCCCCAAGGCCGTCACCGGTGTCCCTGCCGAGGTTCTGAACCCCGCCGTTGCCTGGCAGGGAACCAAGGAGGACTACAACAGCACCGTCACCAAATTGGCCAACCTCTTCAACGAGAACTTTGCCAAGTATGCTGACCAGGCCACCGAGGACGTCATTGCCGTTGGACCCAAGCTTTAAAAAAAAAAATTAAGGGATCTTTTTTTTTTTTTTATTACCTTTTTCTTCATAATCCCAACATTTTGCATCGATCGCATCCATACTTTTTCCAGCATGGCTCCCGTAATTCTATCCCTTTGTAATAATACCGAAAATAAATTCATTTTACAGCATTTTTTTTTTCTTTGATCCATGAGATGAGAAAGGTTGTTGTCAGAAAAGAAACCCAGGTTTGAAGTATAAGTTCTGGCAGCACAGCAGCGTCAGTAAAGGCAATAGTAATTGATTGTATCGTCAACTCAAAGAAACCGCTTCACTTCCTATCCCCCCTCCCCGTTTCTGTAGCCAAATTGGCATGGTAGAACTATTTACAATAGTATGTTTCCACATCGATACGAGTTCAAGCGTTAAGCACTCTGCAATACGTTTTTGGGCATTCTAGTTTTATTAAAACCGCAGTTGTAATGTACAGTAAAGCTGAAAAAGAAACGGAAATAGTTATCAGTCATCTTTTTCCGACCTCTCACTTTTCCTTCGTAGGACTTGAAGCAGACGTCGATACTGTCGTGGGCGTGGTCTCGTTCAATGTCGATGCCTTCTCCTGCGCTACAACCGTAGATCCGTTGCTCAGGCTTACATCCGTGGCCGTACTGGCGGAAGGCGGTGCTTGCAAGGGCTTGGCTTGGGCATTCTCATTACTAGATGCTCTCGTAGTAGCCTCTGCTGCTGCTTCTGATGTAGTTACCGACGTAGGTGCTGATGTAGTAGCTGATGTAGCTGTCGATGAAGTCGGTGGGACAGTTGCTGGCTCAATGATTTCTGTTACTGTTGCCTTTTTGTCCGCATCGTTCGCAGCAGCTTCCGCAACCTTGGCCGCAGCTTCCGCATTCTTGGCCGCAATTACCGCAGCTTTAGCGCCCTTGATCGATCTGGTACCAATCGAGGGTCGCTTCAGGTTCGCTCTCGTCACAGTGCCTGCGTTCGCAATCGTCTTTTTCAGCGCAGCCATAGGCCCACCATTGCCACTGTTAGAGCCTCCAGGGCTGGTGCCTTCCAAATCTCGCTTCCATTCCTTCCAGGCATCGACATCGATCAGGGCTTGCATACAACCCCAGTCCACAATCTTGCGCTCCAACCAAGGGAACTGCACTGGCTTGGTGATGTAGTCGTTGCACCCGGCTAAGAGCGCTGTCCTTCTCAGATCCTCACTCTCAGCCGAGGCTGTTAATGCCACGATAATTACGGGAGAGCGGAATGGCGACGCTGGCGGGGTCGTGGGCGTCTGGCTCGTAGAGGATGACGACGAAGCGAAGCTGGGTGTAAGGGCCGATTGCATCGAATTGCCGACAGAATTAGGCTTATCTGTTGGGAATACACCGATCTTTTGGGCCTTTTCTAAGCGACGAATCTCACGCGTGGCCTCGATACCGTCCATGACTGGCATCTGAATATCCATCTGTAGGACATGAACAAGAACATGAACAAGAACAAGAAAAGAACTGAAGATCAGCATCGGTATTACGAAGGAGCTGCCCTGTTACTAATGTCAGAGAGTCATGACTTACCAAGACCAAGTGAAAGCCTCCAACGCGCCATTTGTCCACGGCCTCTTTACCATTGCACGCTAGTTCGTACTTGATCTTGCGCTGCCGCATAAACTTGACTAAAATTGCTTGATTGATATAGTTGTCTATAGGACAAGAGAACAGAGGCACAAAAATGAAATGGCGTTAGACAGGTGTTACAATGACATGGCATGAGTCATGGATAAAGTGCGTGTTCGGGACCGAAAAAAACGTGATACAAAATCATTACCTTCGACGATTAGCACGTTCACCAGAGGGCTGACTCGCTCAACCACACCACTCTTGACCAGCGAAGGTGTCGCGGCGCCCACTGTCCTCATATCCCTCGTTTTCTTGATGGGGATCAGACCCCTCGACCGACCAGACCCGGTTTTTGGAGGAGGCGGAGAGGAGGCGTGGCCGGGCGAAATTCCTGGTGTTCCTGGACTGGACCGGACAAGCGAGCCGGGGGACGTTGGAAGCGGTGAAGCGGTTGGAAGTGATCCTAGGGGTAGCACTGGATGAGGAACCTTGGGATTATCCATGCCGATGCTGTTCATTGAACCAATGCTGTTCATTGAACCACCACTGCTGCCGCCATTACGCGCCGCTATTGCCTCATGTCTCTGAGGCATAGGCGACGCCATAACAGAGTGCCGGACACTTGGTGGCGAAAACAAAAGACCGGTCGATTGAGTGATGGTTGGAGGCGTGCCCAGTGGCGAGCGTCCCACACCCGGTCGTAGCAGCGGACGCATAAGAGTTGTAGCAGAAAGTGTACCGCCCTCGGACGACCGTTGAACATGTATCGATGCAAATGGCTGATGATTGCTGGCGATGATGACCGGTGGTGGAATGATAACAGCTCCTCCGTCGTTGCTGGAGATAGAATGGCTGGTGCTGCGCCCATTGCCATTCGAAACCCGTCTAAAGCCCTGACCTGGTGTCGCAGGCGACTGAGTCCCTGGTGGTCTGGCGGTCGGATCAAATTGAATGCCTGCTGGTTGATTAGCAGTTCCGAATACAGGGATTCCTGTTGGAGAGCCGATTGATTGGGTTGATCCTGGAGTTTCCGGCGTTGTCATATCGACAGCGGAGTGGTCAAAGGGATAGGCGATTGTTTCAACATTGCCGCCTGCGTCGATCAACTGGCGTATCATGTCCCGTTTCTGATAATGCTCATGGGGAAGATTGTCGTTCGGACTAAGAGCCCCTGGGGAGCTCTGCGTAGAGTGTGGGACCGACCGAGCGAATGCTTGGTTCGATACGGGATCATATACAATCTGATCTCTGTCCAGTGGATTGATCTCTTCGCTGAAGTGACGGATCGCGGGCGCAGGAGACGTCGGTGCAGTGGCAATGGGGCTATACGATTGGTCCAGCACCGGAACATTGATTGCCGTGTGGATCGCCGTAAGCACTCGGCGAGGACCTGCGGGCTTGGGAAGGACCAGAATGTACGGGAGAGGGCTAAGAGGGCCAAGAGGCGCATGACCCAGGGTGTTGCCTGACAGTGTGTTGGCGATGCTGTAGCTCACGCCCGGTATTTGAGTTCCAAGGATGAACATGATGGTATCTCTAGCCTGCTTGAACGTCGGCAAACTTGTAAAGTAGATGATGCTGGTGTGCTGGATCGTGGTGACAGACTTGTGCCGACGGTGGGTCGGACGCTTCGAGGCTCCTGCTGCTGGAGCTGGCGAGGCTGGGTTGGACTGCATTTTGAGAATCTGCTGACCGAGGGCCTTGACGTCGTCGTCGATCATGATGAATGCTGGGCTCAGCGACTTTGTAGCCGATGATGAGAACTCGGATTTGCCACCGAGGCCAGGGTACTTGCTACTCAGGGACGACGATGAGCTCGTGCGCTTAGCGCCACCAACGGGTGTCTGCGGCTCCTCGCTAATAATGACATCTCCGAAAACAGTCTCGCCAGGGGCACTGGTACTGTCGCGGATGGTCCTCTTCAAAACGTTGATATTCCATGTCTTCAAATATCCAGTAAGGCGAACTGCAAAGGCCGAGTTCTCCCTTGCCATCAAAACTACTCTGAGCCCCGCCAGCTTTTGACTGAATCGAACGAGCTCCGTAATGGTCGGCTCTGCTGAAACCCTGGGACTGCCGCCACCGCCTGAGCGTCGCGGTGGAGGAGACGAGGGTAGAGGCGTTGGTGAGACCAGAGGCGTTTTGACATGTTGCTGGAGGAAGTGCTGAGATTCGTGAACTGGGTGCAACGTCTGCATGTTTTCCAGGCGCTGAAGGTGATCCTGCGCAGTCAATGATGACACCATATCGTCGGTTCTGGAGGGCTCCAGAGGGTGGATAGGTCGGTGTTGGTCGTCCAGATGCTTGAGGTTTCCAATCTTCTCCTCCTGCGGTATTGGACTGAGTTCCACCTCGACCGAGACAGTGAACCGCTTGGCGTTTCCTTCCAGCTGCTCAATTTCTAATGATCCACCCATCGCCTTAACCAGTTTTGAGGCTAAGAGGGCGTTCAGATGCGTGAGATCGTCCTCCGTTGATGCCGAGTCCGGATTGGGGTAGTAAGTGATCTCAAAGCTGACCATGACCTTATTCTTTTCCTCTCCAGGCTGGGGTATCGTGAACAGGACCAAGCAGAGCTCGATGGTCGATCCAGCCTTGGCGCAGTCGATGATGCTTTTAATCAGCTAAGAGATGAGAACGAAAAATCATGTTTAGTGTGCCTGAAAGATGTTCAAGATCAATGTGACACGAATGAGCTTGAAAGACAAAGGGCTCTCTTACATTAATAAGGGCATGCCTCCAGCTATCTTCGCTTCCCCTGATGGGCACATGGTTCAGGTCGTACTCGGAGTGATAAATGACAAACTCTACACCCTTCAGCGATGCATCCGCAGAGACGAGGTCGCCAAGACTCTGTACAAACTCGCCAACGTCAAATTTGTTTTCTCCTCGATGGTAGTGAGGCGAGGTCTTTTCGACAATTCCCTGAACGTATTCCGTAAACATTACTCGTGAGAGACGCTCCATGTTCCTGGCGATGTACTGCAAGTGGCGCATCGTTGTGAACAGACCGAGAATGCTGGTAGTGGGTATCGGTAATGTGCATGGACTCAGCTGTTCTCGAGAAACGCTTTGAGGGAATAGACTGCTGGGCGTCATCTGGCGCAGAGTTTCGATCGCCAGGGTTGCTGCATCCTGCACCTCCTTTCCGACTGTCTCCAGCAATATGTTCTTTTTCAAAAGGTCTTCATCCCTGTATGCCTCCATGAGGTTTTCATAGCGCTCCTGCAACTCGTCCAGTTCGGCAGTATGATGCGCCTTATCCTTGGACAGCGCAATCGATATTCTGTCCAGCCCCATCAAGGAGGATCCCACCAGCAGTGGCGATAATGTTGCCAAGAGAAGGACAGGGCTCCAGAAATGTGAATTCCATGTATGAACAGCCGAGATGGAGGTGAATCCTAAGAGACCAAGGAGACCATAGCTTAGGATATAATACGAAAGAGAGGTTGCTGTCGGAGGTGAGCAGACAGAACTAGGGGTATTGGAAGACTTTGAGGAGCCTTGCTTGACCTCTTCCGTCGAGGTTGTGTCCAAAACATCAATTGGCTCGGCTGCCCCAAGGTCATTGTTAGGTCTATCGTGGTCACAGACGGCTCCGTCTTCGCTATTCCTCCTGCTGCTGCCGGTACTACTGACTTTCCCTGCACGGTCTCTGCTGCTGAGCGCCATTCGTTTGAACCATTGCCAGGAGCATGTCGCCGCGAAAAAACCGTGGTATACGACCTGCGCCACCAGTCCAACCTGTCCGGTACCGCGCCAGCCCTGCCTTGAAAATCCCTGTCCGAGCAAGATAGCGCATCCTGCCATGGAAGCCACAGCGCCAAAAGCAAAGACATTGCTACGAATGGATCGTACGATGATGGAGACGGCTGATTCTGCAGAGCCTGAGGATGACGAGTCTGGCAAAGCATGGTTGAAGTAACTGGCGTGGAGATTCCTGATCAGCTGTGCTGGTCGATGTGGAACCTTGAATCGACTATTCCTGTTCATGGTGTCATCCAGCGCAGACGCCTTCCGTTGATGTGGTTGCGAAGGCTGATCGAGTGAGATGGTGGCGGCGTCAGTCGCGAGAGCACTGGCATTGGTATCCGTGCCCGCACCGGCTGGAGGAGGGACCCCGTTCGCTGCAGTCGTGCTTGGTGGCACTGGGGGCGTCTCCGTTACCATGACCTAGAAAGTCTAGTCGAATATGAGTTTATTTTCTGCACAATCGCGCGCAAAAGATAAAAGAGAGATAGAGAGATAGAGAGATAGAGAGATAGTGGGCTGGTTGTAGATGTTACCTATGCGTTCCTTGATGAGAAGGGGGGGGGCAGAAGAAAGTCGCTGTGGAGGGGCTGGCGGAAGTGACGGGGTCCGTACTGCTTTTTTTTCTTTGTTGTATGTGAGTATAGAATAGGAGAATGGGAGTGCGTGGAAGAGAATGAGAATGAAAGAATGAATGAATGAATGTGGGTGGGTGTAGCTGCGTAGAGGCGCTTGCTCACAAAAAGCGTGTGTCGATAAGGTGCAGACGCGGTTGCGTGCGTGCTGGTCTGTTTCTAGAGAGCCAAGAAAGAGGGACGGATGGCAGTGGGAGGAGGAGGAGTGGGAGGAGGAGGAAGAGGGGGAGGAGGGGATAGAGTGGCGTGTGTCGATGATAACAGTGCCGGCGAGGGGAGGAAGGGAGGAAGGGGACGAGAGGGACGAGGTGGGGGGAGGGTAGGGGGGAAGACGGAGGAGGACTGGGACCGTGGAAAGGAAGGACACACTCGAGTCGATGGCGATGAAGAAAGGAAGGAAAAAGAAAAAACACCCCCCGCGGCCAAAGGTCGATCCCAGCGAGAAGGATCCGCCACCGGACCAGTCTTTCAGCCTATTCGCTCTGATCCCCCTCCCTCCTTTCTCCCCCCGCCCTTCTCCTTCCCCTCCGTTGACTGGTGCGCGTTCGCCTTTCTTTTTTTGGCTCTCTGCTCGGGCCCTGATTGGTGCATTCTGTGCTTGCACAACAGGATAGGACAGGACAGGACAGGGTGCAGGCCAGCGGACTTGCACACCAGCGCATGCGCGCCTACACAACCATGGGAAGAACAGCTCAGCAATCGGTCGCAGCTGTTGGCCGATGCTCGTAACGAGACTTTATCTCTTTCATAGCATTTGCGATATATTTGTTATATAAATTCCTTCTTTTTATTATGTAGATCTATCAATAAATGGTCGAGTATATGGCAAAGGAAGGAAGCCAACTCTTTTGGCGTCTTTACTTGTGCTCCTCCACAGCGACAGCGTGCTCAACAGCGTGCTTCTCCTGCAGAGAAGAGACAACAGCGGTCATGACAGCGACCTTGCGGACATTGTCAATGCTGCGCCAGACACGCTCCTGCTGGATCTTGGATGCCTTGCGGTCAGACAACTTGTGGCGGCGGGCGCTCGTAGGAACGAACGTGGCAGTCAACTCGAAGGACCAGTGCTTGAAGATCTGGACCTTGACAACATCAAGGATGATGAAGTAGATGAACGAGATCAACAAGACGACGATGGCCTGGCCGGCAGGGACCTTAGGGGTCAAACCACCAAAGATGACCATCAACAGCGCAATGATCTGGGTACCGATAATGACAAGGGCAAAGATGGGAGAGGGCAGGTTCTCCCAGAAATAACCAGTCAGACGGGTTGAGAAAATGACGAAGTGAGGCGCGGACGAGATGTGGAGGTACATGATCGACTCCAGCTTGCGGGAATCGTAAGGGGCCTTGTCATCCAGGGGCTCGTAGCCAAAGTGCTTCCAGAAAATGAAAAAGTGGGCAAAGGACAGGGCAGTGAGGCAGAGACCAAGGACAATGGACATGGTGATCAACTGGCCGATTCTCCACTTGTCGGGGTGCTCCGAGATCTGGGCGTTGTCAACGGCAATAACAAGGGTGGCCAAGTCGTTCAAGATGCAGATCAAAATCAGCAAGTGAGCGGGCAAGGACCAGTCGTAGGCCATGACGACGACAAAGAAGAACATCAAAAAGTGGACAGTCGAGGTGATACGGTAGAGGGCATAAGAGCGCATGCGCTGGAAGATAGCACGGGAGGTCATCAAACCGTCGACAATAGTGGACAAACCGGGGGCGAGCAAAACAATATCGGCAGCAGAGCGAGCAGCATCAGTGCATCCGTGGACAGCAATACCGACGTTGGCCTTCTTGAGAGCGGGGGCATCGTTGACACCATCTCCGGTCATACCGACAAGGATACCACGCTTCTGGAGCAACTCAACGACGCGGTACTTGTGCTCGGGAATGACCTGGGCGAAACCATCGGCGCGGATGCAGTGCTCAGTAATCTCTTCCTCAGACTTGTCAGAGTCGACCAAGTGGCCAGCATCCAACATGACACGCTGCATACCGAGACGGTGAGCAACCTCCTTGGCAATAATCAGCTGGTCACCAGTAATCATCTTGACAGAGACACCCATCTTGTTGCAGCGGCGGATAGTATCGGCAGAGTCAGGGCGGGGGGGATCAATCAACGAGATCATACCAATGAGCTCCCACTGGTCCATGTTACCCTCGACAGTGCGAGCGACACCCAGGGCACGGAGACCACGCTTGGCAAGAGAGTTGACGGCACGGACGGCATCATCATCACCACCAACAAGACGGATAATAACCTGGGGGGCACCCTTGGCGACCTTGAAGGTCGAGTTGGTCTCGAGGTTGGTGATGGTAGCCTGGGTCAACTTGGTCGAGGGGTTGAAGGGCAAGAAGGAAGTGACCTTGTAGCCGGGAACCTCATGCTTGTGGGTACGGTTCTGGAGAATCGCAAGCTGTTCCTCAGCAGCTGTGCGGACGGCGAACTCGATGGGATCGTTAGCACCAGCCTCGGCAGCGAGGTAAGAGTACAAGAGGATGTCATCGGAGGAGTAGTTGTTGGCGAGGTAGGGCTCGTCAAAGGTCAATTCGTTCAAGGTCAAAGTTCCGGTCTTGTCAGAGCAGAGAACAGAAACGGAGGCCATCTCTTCAACAGCGGTAAGACGCTTGACGATGACCTTCTTGGCAGCGAGTTGCTTGGCACCGACAGCCATAGTGACAGACATGACAGTGGGAAGACCGACAGGGATGGCAGCGACAGTGAGAACCAGGACCTTGCGGAGGACAGTCAGGAAATCACCCTTGCCATCAACATCGCCGTGGAAATGAACGAGCTGGTAGATCAAGATAATAACGACGAGGACGACGGTAATGAGGATCAAGAAGTTTCCGATGCGGTTGATAATCTTCTGGAAGTGACCCTCCTCGGTGGTAATAGAGATCAGGTTGGCAGCACGGCCGATGAAAGTATTGCCACCAGTCTTGGTAACAACAGCCATCTGCTGACCCTGCTTGACAATCGAGGACGAGTAGACGGTCTTGCCCTTGTTCTTGGCAATGGGCAGGGACTCTCCGGTAAGGGCAGACTGATCAATCAAGAGATCACCCTCGGTAGCCTCACCAGTAGCACCAATTCCGAGGAGGCGACCATCGGCGGGGACAATATCACCGAGACGCAAGACAATAATATCACCAGGAACCAAAGCAGCGACATCGAGCTCAACCAAATGGCCATCGCGCCAGCAGCGGGTCTTCAAGGCAAGAGTTTGACGAAGGGCATCCAAGGCAGACTCGGCCTTGGACTCTTCAATGAAACCGATACAGGCATTGACGAGCAACAGACCCAAAATGATACCGAAATCCAACCAGTCCTTGACGACGGCAGAGATGACACAGGCAACCTCGATCAGGTAGGCGATGGCTCCAGTGAAGTAGCTCAAGAACTTGAGGAAGGGGTTGCGCTTGACCTCAGCGAGCTCGTTGGGACCAAACTGGGCGAGGCGCTCGGCGGCCTCGGCAGTGGTCAGACCGTGCTTGGGGTCGGTTTGGAGGAGAGCCTCGAGCTCGGGCGAGATTTCATCGCTGTGCTCGTGATGCTCAGCCTCCTCGACTTGGAGTTGACCCTTCGTGTGGGTCTCTATTGTGTGGCGATGGACAGTAGACAGGAAGGGATTAGCATCGGTGAACACGGCTGATAATGATAATACTAGTGGGTCTGAAGGGTACACAAGGCGAAGGAGCAGAGAAGATGAAATGGACGTGATTGACTGTGTACGAGGTGGGTTGAGACTAGGCCGATCCTAGGCAACGGTCGATCTCAGGAACGCATTTTATGAAATCACCAGCGAGGGAAAGCTCGCAGGAGATGCAAAGACGCGTGCGGGGGATCAAACGTGTGGAGGATGATAGCGAGATTGCTTATGGTTGCTTATGAGTGAAGCGCAAGAGGGAGGGAGAGCGGAGGAAAGAGTGGAGTGTGCAGAAATCTGGTGGAGCGAGATGGCTAGGACACCTTACCCTCAATCTTTTCGCTCATGGCTGGTTAGTGCTCGGTTCTCGCTCGGTTGCTTGCGACAACAGAAGATGAGAGGGAGGGTGAGAGGGGAGAAGAAGGAGGGGAGAGGGGGAAGGACGGAGAAGGAGGGGAAATGAAATGAAAAGTGAACGACGTCGGGGCGATGGGAGGGAGAAGAAGAGGAGAAGAAGGGCAGAGGGGAAGGGGTGCTGTCGTCTTTTATATGAAGACGAAGAGGCGGAGGAGAAGGCGAGCGAGAGGGGGCGAGGAGGGAGGATAAACCCGTTGCAGTATTTTCCTATCGCATCCTATCGAGAGAGTGAGAGAGTGCGTACAAACAAACAAACAAACAAACAAGCAAAACCAAGCGAAAGAAGGGAGGGCGAGTGAGCGATGGATGGGACAAAAGTACCCCCACCCGCCTTGGCTCTTTGTCCAACTGGACCCATTGGCCTGTCGCACCCGATCTTTTTTCTTCTTTTTTATCATTTTGAGTTTTCAGCTGCACTAAACGAGACAAAATAAACGGGGACCACCGCGGACGTGTGCATGTGTGTGTGCCTGTGGACCAGACCATGTCTCTTTCAGGCCGCATCTGCAGTGGACTCCACTCCTGCGTAACTATAGTGCAACATCGCCCACAGCTACTCCAGCCCTCAATGTATATCCTTGGGGCCAAGAGACACAATCCCCACCCGGCGCTGCTTGTCATCTTTCGTGTCGGGGAAAACGACCTTCGTAACAAGAAGGTCCCAATCTCAAATGGCCTACTCCTCAACGCTCACAACCCAGGTCCTACGCAGTCGCTAGGTTTCAACGCTAAAGAAACACGCAGCCCCATGGCTCCTCGCCGTTTTCTCTTTTTAATCCACTATACAGCTCGCTTACGGCTACCCTCGACACTTGGCTCATATGGCTACTTCCTTCATGGCCTATTCCCAGGATTTGGCTGAACCATAGTCTACCAAAGCCCGTTGTAGGCTCGGTACTTTTTTTATTTTTCGCCCATTGGCCTAAATTTCTGTTGCTCTTTGGTCGCCCACTCAGTCGAGACAATACTTACCTCCTTCCACTGAGCCATTTTTTCATTCTTTCGAGCAACCTAAAAGAGGTCAAGCTTATAAACGGTAAAATAAAGTATGTACAAGTACCCCAAGGCATATAAATATATTGCGGGGAACGAATTTGCTTCAGAGCTGTCCTGTAGCCACAAACCCTGTCCCAATGAGTAACAGCACCTGTTGGTACCATGCTTTAGAATGGCGATACATGTCCACCCTCACACGATTTAGCTCTGCAGAGCGCCTTGATATGGAAGTGTCTGCAACAACTGGATTTCGAGAGACTTCCTTCCCAGGTGGTCTACTCCCAATTCCCTCCCTACTGGCCGACAGAGGAAAATATACAGACAATTTTTTCCTATATCAGGAGCGTTACAGGAAACGAAGACAAAGGGAGTCAAAAAGACCACTAGCACTCCGCCTGTATAGAGAGGGAGATGGACCGATCGAACTATACATGTAGTGCAATTGCCCGGATTTAATTTTACTCACGAATTTTCTTTATTTGTTGTTGTTTCTGTTGTCCCTGATGTTGTTTCTGTGGTCCTTGTTGTTGTTGTGCTAATTGTGGTGTGGTACACGCCTTTAATCTCTTCTGCGTTGTTCTCGTTTCCATTGAGCGTTTCTGGAGGTCAGGATGTATCAAAACCATGGGTGCATCCGCTTTTATGATTCCCGAGGATTCACAATGAGGAGCAAAACTGTACCCAGAGAAGGGCCGGCCCAGCCCTGGGAAAATAGACATATCCCCAGCATTCTTATTCCACATAGGCTAGGCGTCCAGGCATCTGAGACGGCTGTGAAGGGACAATATTAGCTCGCCAGTCAGTGTTAAGAGTGGAATTTAAAGTTTACGGGCCTGATTTTGCCGAAACCCTGATCAGAAGAAAACAAGGACCAGATACAAAGGTAGAACTCTCTTACGTTTCCCCTCGCCTCCTTGTCTCCACGTCTATGCTCACTCTAGTCTATGATAAGCACAAGAGGCAACATGCGCAAAAGTGAGCCATTTTTTTTTCGTCCCATGCCTGCTGTTGTATCACAACGGGGATTGCGATGAACGATTACCCTTCTTATTGTTGATGTTGCTTTTGTTGTTGAAGGTCGATGGCGGTTTCGTTAGACTTCGACTAAATTTATACCCGGCCATCCGCTCATGGAGTATCCTTCCTTTTCGCGCTCTACTTGGTCGTAAAAGGCCAGGGCACCACTGCTGCGGACTTTTTTCCTTTTCACACGTTGTCCTGCTCGAATTCAGAGCCATTCGGCCTTTGTATACAGATAGTTTACGTGTATTGAGGGTCGTAAACTGTCGACAGTAGACGACATGCTCCGGGAAAATGACGATGACTACAACGGCGGAGGGAGAATCCTTACTATGCCAAACAAATAAACAGTGGATAGATCAATAATTGCTGTGGGCCTTACACATCGCGTGAGACGAGTGAAGGTCTTTAGATACCAAAGCCTAGGAGTAGGATTGACACGCTCAAGGCTCGTGGTAAAGCGTTATTCCTTTTTTCTACGGATCAAACTCCAATAGATGTCCTCGCGAAAGACAACGAACGCTATTTCTCGCATGACAGCGAAGGGAATGCATGATAAAACAGTTTTTACGGCTATTGCTTATCCTACCAGCGTATATGTTAGGTGGTCTTTCCTTTCAGACGCGACCTTCATGATCTACATCTATATACCCTCATTGCAGTTTGCCTTGAGGATTCTTGGGAACCCTGTTCCCCCCACCTCACACCCCACATAGAGATGATCTGAGGGTGAGACAAATAAACTTATACAAGTGGGAACCCTAAGGGCTATAGGCTAGGATAAGGTAACTCGGTATCTACAAGGACCCAGGTAATCTTCCCACCCGCAACCCGGTCATCATCATCACCTCACGCGAGAAAGATGGACTGCGCGGTAGACGATCTCTTATTCGAATAAAAATGCCTCATCCTCCGGATGAACTTAAAGTTTGTTCCTGAATATATTTAGGCACTTGTGTCCAGACGATGTTCTCAGAGGTCGTGAAAAAGCAAACTGCCTTTGATTCAGATGTGCCTGCTTTAGACGCGACCTGCTTCAGTTTCAAAGTGTACGTTCAGGTAAGCTAGACCAGGAGACCATGTCGAAGTCTTTTCTGTCCTCGCTGGACCCACCATGGCATAGTGTTGCAGTGCATGAACGAGCCCTATCCTGTGGTGCTCTCTTCCCAAAAATAATAGCCGCACATGCACACAGCAAGTAAGCACCCAGTGCCTACAGGTCAGAGATTTGCAGCAGGATGTATCGCTAATCGCGATGGACGCTCCTGATTGGATATCTACATAAAATCCTTTGACGAACGAAAAAAGTTGCAGATATCCATTGTTTTATATTTCAAAGAGAACGTGTCATAATCATTGGTGCTCATCGCTCTTCAATGGATATTAAGACCGGTAAGTTTTTTTTACTTTCGGTCACTAGGAACAAGTTATACCTGCAAAAGAGACCTTTGTGAGGATGGGGGCGTCCTGAAGAATCGCAACAACAAAAGATAGGGCATGCACGGAAAGCTCCGTGCCTAGGCCATTCTGTGCGCACGCGATGCGGAAAGTCCTCTCTTCGGACATTTCTACCCCAGATCTTTGTTTCTGAAGAAGGGCGTGGCAAATTGAATAGGCTGCAGTACGCCTTTCTTCATCTCCCCACACTTTTCTCATTGTCCACAGGTGGTTGTGGAGGGAGATCTAAAATCGAGACGGACCATCACCTGTTCTCCCTCGGCGTCAGCGCGTTTGGGACCGGGTTCAGCTTGTTGCTGAGCAAGGACTTGACCAGACTGCAGCAAAGGGTGGCAGCCTAATCTGGTTTATGATCGCACGTAACGACTAATTATCTATAATGATTGTGCTACTATGGTATCTGGGGCTTCAAGGATTTAGGACTGCCCGTGCTACACCCATATAAAAATCGAACTCGGTTTTGCCACCAATTTTTTTTTTTGGCTGATCTGGTGAGTCTGCAAAGGCGGGATCTGCTAGGGTCGAGATTCATGCACAACCCCTGAGTATACCAAACAACTTGCATGGGTCGGTTTTTCGAGCATTGTTCCTCTATTTCTGCACCACAATGCTGGTTTACTATGTGGACCGTAGACTCCAACATGGCTCCCAGAAATCCCAGAAGACGCACGACTCTCGGCCATAATGAAAGCAGCGTAAAGCTGGCCCCATTATCGGACAATTTTGGCACTAGCTAACGTCACGAAAATCGCAAGATAAAAACGAAATGGGAGTGACATTTGAAGGACCACAGCCACCCTGGCACCACGGATACCCATGGCGAGGCCTAAGGGTTTCTTCAGGTTAGGGTTTTCTTGCAGAATCCCGCACATCTGCGCACGAATGGGTGACGTTGCAATGTTTTTATTGTTTGTGAAACAGTCCTATTTGTACATTTTTTTTTCCTGTACTGCTGCAGTGGATGCCTGCACCAAAAATGGCCTATAAGGAAGCAGTGATCTCGTCCTCTTCTTGAACCTCATTCATCCTCACCCCTCCAGGTAATGCCCGCATCGAGGCTCACAGCTATCAGGATACGCACAGCAGCACAGTTCACGAGCACTACGAAATTGGAACCGCACAACAAAAGACGTTCGTGTCGTCTTTTTGGACTTTTGCTTGGAAAGAGGACTTTATTATTATTATTTTTTACTGTGTTGAGAACAATCAGACATGAGAACAGATCAGCAACTTGGCAACATAGACAACGCCTTCCATAACCACGCCAGCCCATGCATTCAACACAGACTCACTTCGGATGACGTTCAGTGTATATACTGTTTCCATGGTGTATCATTGCCAACCAACCAACTCACTTGCGACATCGATCTTCGCGACCCTTCCTATTCATCGTCTATTCTTCCGCTGCACCTTTGTCCTAACTTCCTTTTTTTCTGACTTGCACTCTAACCCATGTCCTCTCATCCATACCAGAATATCAGACATGAACCCTGAGAAACTTGCCAAGCTCCAGGCCAACCAGAACCGCTCCAAGGGTGCCCCCCGCCGTGTGATCAAGAAGACTCACCGCCCTGTTGCCCAGGATGATCGCAAGCTCCAGGGCGCCCTCGAGAAGTTGTCGCTCGTTGCCCAGCCTTACGTTGAGGAGGTCAATATGTTCATGGAGGAGGGCACCGTCATCCACTTCCGTCAGCCCAAGGGTAAGGAACTACTGATAGCAATCTTTGACCAAAATGATCAAGTTACTCTGCTGGACCATGTGAAAATGGTGATACGATACAAATTATGAAAGCAAAATTTTGACAAAGAATTGTTTGATGTTCTTCTTGTCGATCTTAGTCCACGTCTCGGCTGCCTCCAACACCTACGCCATCTACGGACGCGGTGAGGAGAAGGAGTTGACCGAGCTCGTCCCTGGCATTTTGAACCAGCTCGGCCCTGACTCGCTCAACAGCCTCCGCAAGTTGGCCGAAACCTACCAGAAGTCCGCTGCTGGCCAGGCTGCCCTTGCTGCCGAGGATGACGATGATGAGGTCCCTGCCTTGGTCGAGTCTTTCGAGGAGGCCTCGATTGAGGAGACCAAGGAGGAGGCCACCGCCTAAGCTGGAACAGTTCGTTATTTTGTTTAAAAAGAGTCCGAATAACATACTCAAATGCATCAATCTTTTATATACTATGTTCTGAAGTCTGCAATGAAATGAAATACGGGGGATACAAATATCATACAGATCTAGATATGGTCTTTAAATACGAATAGCTCGTGATTGGCATATTCCTGTTCTTAAAACTTTTGTCGTGACGAAAACGTAGAGGATGAGAGTGGCGGGGAAGCCTTGCCGCCCGTTTGGCTGGAAGTCATACGAATCACACTTGATGAGGCCCCAGTGTTGCGTGCCAGCTTGGCAGCGGATGGTTGTCGGTGTGGGGCGGATGATGACAGTAGAGAAGACATGGTTGTGTTCGCGGAAAATGACTCAGATCCCATGCCGGATTTCAACGGTCGAGTGGCAGACTTTCTCGCCGTGAGCTGCGCTGCTGCTTTGGAGAGTGCAGAAGGAATCTTTGCACCGCTTGATCCAGCCTTGCTGCTGCTGGTGGCGCTCATGTAGCTAGTAGGTGATGGCAATGTGCCTGACGTTGACTTAGAATTGATCGGAGCGCTGGGCCTAGGGCGCTGACTAGATAGAGCTGCACCCTCGTTTGCGGTCGATGCTGATGCAGACGTTGTTGAAACTGTGGTCATAAATGGGCGTGATGGAGCCGGTGACGGGGATAAGCGAGAGCTTGATGAAGATGAATTGAGTCCGGCGAACATGCTGCTAGACTTTGTACTAGAGGGCGCTGCTGAGGTCGAATTGAACGATCGAGATTTCGCTGCAGACACCGCCAAAGATCGAGACACTGGGAGTTTTTTTAGAGGTTCCTGCGCTGTCTGTGTTGCAGTGGATGGTTTCCTAGCCTTGCCTTTAAAGGACGAAGGAATGGATGCTGTTGCAATAATGGCGCTAGGTTCAAGCTCAGGGAATGCCGATGACGAAGCAGTGGCGGCCGTCTTGACATTTGGTAAGGGTGCGGAGGACGCCGCTATTCCTGAACGGAGGCGTTCTTGCGCTGCCTCATGGTTGCTTCTGGATAACTCTTCAAGCCCAATCGATGATATGGCAGTTGTTCTTTGCCGCGACGGTGTTCTCAGCAGCTCCTCTTCTTCTTCGTTCTCATATTCGTCGTATTCACCATTGATCACACTTCCATCGCCTTGTTCATTATCCTCGTCCGGTACTTCGATGACGGTCGTTTGAGTTTTAGGCCTCACTGAACGTTCATACAAAGCGCCTGAAAGCGGCGAGGTCGCCATTCGCTTCCTGGATGGGTCTTCAAATCGGCGTATCGGCGACGACGGTGGTGAGCAATTCATCGTTCGCTTCTCGGACCTATCAATTTGAAAGTTGAAAGCTTTGATTAAAACCTTGAAATCCAAGACCGAAACCGACGACTTCTGAGGTTCAGAATTAACTTTACCTTGGAGAAAAGCTCAAGAACGACATGACTTTTTCTAAGCGAAAGGTTCTCTTGCTCTCCTCGAACTCTTGTTTTGCCCTCTCCAATTCCGCACGTTGCTTGCCCAGGCCCAAACACGACTCTGTAAACTTTTTTCTTTCCTTGGCGAGATCCTCCCGTTGCTTGCAAATCTTGGCCTCTGCCTCATCAATCTCCTGTATTGTCATATCGGATCTGTGAAAATAATAATAATAGTAATAATAATAATTAATATATGCAGGACAAAAACAGTAGCGCAAGGAGTAGCAGGCAAATTGACCAGCAAGACAGCAAAAAAAGTCTTGCAGCCTTACCCTTCCACATTCAGCTTGAAATCCTGCAGCCCAGCCAGAAAGTTGCCACTGGACAAGTTGTCAATCATTTTCTGTGCGCCCTGAACCAGCAGGGTGGAGTCTTCGAGCTCCAACTGCATTTTGACAATCTCTTGTTGCAGATCCTCGATTCTCTGGTCTCGGACAACAATTTCGCTGGGCGAGATGGCTGGTTCGTTGGGGGCTCGATGATTCCATTGATCGCTCAGCAGCGTTAGAGTGTCCCGGATCTCAGTCTCGATCTTGTGCTTGACCGTTTCAAATGGTAGGCCATAAGGTGTCTATTTCGCAATTGGCCGTGAAACCATGAATATCGGTCATTCCAGATATGCTGATCAAACAGTGTTTATAACATGATAGTCCGGGATGCCTACCACTGCGGTGTTTTTCAGCGACGAATGCTTCCTGATCAAACTCTCTAACTCCACATGTACTGTATACAACGTCCTCCGAAGTTCCTCGTTTTCCTGAACAATCTCCGTTTCCTTTGCCTGTTGCTGCTCAATGACCTCCTTGAGCAATTGCTCCGCATCGTTCGCATGTTGCTTCCCATAGAGAGAACGGGGCACAGGGTTGAGAATTTTTATCCCTCCAGGTATTGATGGCGAGGATGATTGGGTCCTGCTGATGGATTTTTGTACTTTATCCTTTAGCACATTCATTTCCTGTTCCTTCTTCCGAGCTTCGTGCTATAGATAATACCAAAAAAAAAACAAAAAACAAAAACAAAAAAACCTGAAATTGTTATAATCTATCCGGAGAACTTCTTACTTTGAGGTCCTGACAGTAGTTCACATTTCTATTTATCAAACTCTGGGCTTACAGCATATTGCGTCTTCGCATATGCGAGATTTGCTTTGCTCGACTTGACTTCCTCCCGTGTGTGCCGATGCTTTTCCGTCTCTATTCGAAGCTCCTCTTCAAGCGCTCTAATGCAAAGCAAATGCAACCACCCACCCTTCTGATTAGCCACAGATCTCAACAAGAGTTCGTCTGAAGTGAGACATGATCCAACTTACATGATTCTGCTTCCGAGAATGTCAGTTTCCCGCTCGGTTTTCTCCAGTTTCTCCTTTGTCGTGCTCTATGCGTCCAGAAATAATGTTGAATATTACAAGAGATCTGTCAGTCCCAAACTCTAAGCGGATATACGCAACATGTAGCAACATATTCATCCATGCCTCACATACCAGGTTCTGGATAGCTGTATCATAGTCATTCGAGAGTCTCCGCCAGTTCAGATCCATCTCCTCCTTGTACTCCATGTCTTTCTGCGAAACCCCCCCAAAAAAAAGAGCGGAGAAAGAGAGGTGAGACTTCAGTTCAATGTATCCTGCTACGACAGCAAGGAATTGAAAAACACAGATGTTTTGATTGTAATCTTACCACATGGTGCTGTAAAACCTTGTATAATGTCGCAACAATCCTTGCGGCGCTTGCCTTGTCGGCCCTCAAGAACTGCAGATTAGAGGCGAACCCATGGATGCCGAGCTGGTGGCTGACATAAGCGCTTGTCTGGTCGAAGTTCTCTTCCGTGCAAAAATCATCTCTGGGTCGAGGACGAGCATCCATTACTCAAGGACTGTGAGCAAGGACGTTTAAACCAGCAACAGATACAAAAGGACTATTTGTCTTGTAGTTTGATCCGTGTTCGCTTACCCTGAGCCTTGGTATAATGAGGGATCGAGAGCAGCCAGCCTCTGGGCGAATGGTATGCTAGGGACATAGTAGCTTTCGTCTTGGTCGAGATCCATGTCATCTTGCCACTCATCGATGCTTACATCGAACCCACTGCCTTCCAGACTGGGAATTGATTTAGAATTGATCTCTGGTTTGTTCATGTTGCTGTCGCGGTTGACTTAATGCTACTGCGAGACCGTGCCCCTGTTATCGTTGCTTTTCCGGTAGCTCCTGTGTCCTGCCAGCTCCGATTCAATGGCTCCGGTCGGTTGGTATACTGTGATGTGAAGGCGTGCAGGTACGAAGCGCGTGAAGATGGATGAAGTGTGACTGTCGGATTTGCAACGCGCGCAACGGACGCCCTGCATCAAAAAAAAGACAGTGCGCTGCAGGTTCAATTGTTCAATGTGTATTTCTCTTCTTTTATCTATAGTATACATATACAGTTCATTCGCTCTTAAAACTTGAAGACCTGGTCAGGAAGCTTGGAGACAGCGTTGACTTTGTCATATCCAAGATCTTGTGTGACCTTGGACATAGCCGAAATCATGGGTGGGGGACCGCAAAGCAAGACCTTGATGTCGCTTGCAGGCTTGGGCATGTGCTCCTTGATCATGTCCGCGTTCACAAAGCCAACACCGCCGGTCCATCCCTCTGGAGGGGTGTTCAGAACATAGTAGACCTTGAATTGAGGGTGCTTTTTCGACAAAAGATCAAGCTCGGCTTTCAACAAGATATCCTCATGGGTGACGTTAGCAAAGATCAGGTTAATGAGGGTCTTGTCCTCTGGGTTCTTGATAATCGCACGAATGATCTATTGGATTCCCCCACAAAACAAACAAAACTTAAGTCACTGGACGGTACAACATATGAATCAATTCAGGCGAGGATGGCAAAGCGTACCTGAAGCATAGGAGTGAGTCCAGTACCGCCAGCAATCATGCCAATGGCACGGCACATGTTGGGCGTGTAGGTGAATTGGCCCTTGGGACCACGAGCGTTGATCGTGTCGCCGATCGAAAGTTCGCTGAACATCTTGGAGATGTTTCCTTGAGGGTATGACTATAGAACATAGACCAAGAGCAGTTGTTTAGTTACTACTCAATAAAGTGTACGGACTTGACACATGCTCACTGGGCAGTCGTGAGAATGAGACAACCAACGGGGTCTTTACCTTGATGCAGAGAACAAAGTGTCCGATGTCATCGCTGCCGCTGGTAGGAGTGTAGCTGCGCGAGATCTCCTTGCCATTGATGTTGGCCATGATAGACATGTGCTGTCCGATCGGCAAGTTGAGGATATCATCCTTGTTGGGGAGCTCAAACTTGTACCTTTTCAGCATTAAAGGACGACGAAAGTTAATTTCATGCGCTTCCACTCTAGGAGTCGCTTTATGAAGTACATGACGAGACACGCTGGCTCGGAGGTCCTAGGGTCCTCGCTCGACTCTGCCAACTTACATGGCAGTGTTGGGGCTGGCGATCACCTTGTCGACCAAAGTGAACTTGCGGTATTCCTTGGGGTCCAGTGGGGGGACTGCCGAAGTTGGTTCATCCATGGACACAAAGCACGATTAGCATTTACATCATCCCTAATTAGCATAAACAAATCCTCCTTTCAGGAGCAAGAGATGAATGACAGACGGCCTTCCTGCTCTTGCACTGTTGACAGAGTCGCTTACTTCGAGAGGCCCTCTTCTTCAGAAGGCGGCGGACCCAGGTGGCAGCAACACCGGCGGCGACAATAGGGATCGAGGAAGGGTCGACCAGATAAGCGCCGACGAGGACGACGCCCGAGGCCGCAGCGACGGAGGTGCTGGAGAGAGTCATTGTTCAAGATCGGTTGGGCAGCGAGCTGATAGAGAGAATGGAGGGCCGATGAAAGAAAGGAAGCAAGGAAAAAGAGCGCCGTTGGTTAGAAACCTGGATCAGTGCTAGTCTTCCTTTTTTTTTTTTTTTACACTGCATCAATGCACCGAATCGGAACGGCTCGGGCTACGTCCACGACTGAAAAGCGGGACTATCCTAGGTCCCTCTGCGACGCGTGGTTTTTGTCGGTATGAAGCAAAAAAAACGGTGACCTCCACCAAGTTTATTAATATGTCTAGGCTGGTGCATTTGCAGTTTCCGTCGTTAGCAATCAGAAGTATATGTTAGTTTCCTGTTTCCTCGTGGATGCTGCGAGTGTTGCCAGCAGCAGCAAAGTTCATTTTGGGCTTGAACCATCTGTCTGCAGATCTATTCATAATGCGCAGCAACAGGATATAGGTTGCGTGTCATTGTTAGTGCTGTCCCTTAGGTATGCCAAACGATTGAGAGTGCAGGTGGTGGACAACTTACTTGACGAGCCGTTCAGTAATGGCAGGGAGGTCCAAATCCAAGTACCAGGACATAAAGTCTCCGATATCGGTATTCTCGTGGTTGCCTTTCAGTCTGTCCAAGATCCTGTTTCCGTTGTCACTGGAGCTCTCTGCATACAAGTTGACATCGACTCCGGTATGACCCATGGTGGTCCATCCAAGACTGGCACGACGAGAGATGGCATGTCCCAAGAATCGAACGAAATCGTTGGGTAGCGTATCTGGGTTCGACAGGAACTCAATCTCATCCTCTGTAGGATCTTTGATACCGAGACCCTTCTCCAAAATCTCTGTCTTGATAAAATCCTGGACACGACGATGGCGACCCTGAGAGTCTTTCGATCCACTACCCAATGCCTCCGAGGCATGGAACGCAACTAGGTTCGCAGTCAAGATCTCGGTGGAGACCAGTGCACGGTCAATGACTTCGGGTTTCCAAAGGTATTCTGGGTAGACTTTCGGATCTGCCTGTAGTCCCAGCGTGAAGCCACCTGTCTCATGATCGCTCGTCGAAATCATGATGGTATCGGTATTGTTCGCCACAAACTCTCTGACCACCCTGATAGTCTCGTGGTATTCTAGAATCTCGTGTACGTGAGCAACAGGATCGTTGTTGTGTGCGCCCATATCGATCCTAGATCCCTCGATCATTAAGAAAAAGCCCCGTCCTGGCTTGGTCTTGGCTTTGAGCGACTTTAGAGCCACCTCAGCCATCTTGCTTAGGCGAGGCTCCTCCTCGGGCTTGCGTCTCCGATCAATCTCAAAGTTCATGTGGCTCGGATGGAAGAGACCCATAGCAGGCAAGGGCAGCACGCCCCCATTTTTCTTTATCAAGTCCTCAAACTCACGCCGGTTCTGAACCACATAATCCCACCCATACGATTTGCTCTCCTTAATCAAATCCCGGCCATCTAAACGGCAGCTCCCTTCAGTCGTGTTGGGCAAGAAGAAGCAGCGTCCGCCTCCCAACATCAAATCAACCTGGCGTCCCAGCTCGTAGTCTCCAATCTGCTGCACAGCGATATCTGCCTCCATGTCACGATGGAGCACGTGGGCCGAGAAGGCCGCCGGAGTGGCATGAGTCACTCTGCTGGTGACGACCAGTCCTGTCAGCATGCCCATATGTTTGGCTGACTCAAGCACTGTGCCACACGGAGTACCCTCAGGATCGACTATTCATTAAAAATGTAAGAGTATTTGATCAGATTATGCTTTTGGTTGACATATTCAGTGCTAACGAAAAGATCTTGAATGCTACCTCCAATCGCAGCATTATACGATTTCATAGCACAAGAGAATGCGGTAGCACCGGCTGCAGAGTCGGTGACCAAGCTGCTGCTGCTGCGGGTCCTGGATGCCCCCACAAGGATCTGATCCAAAGATGTCTGGACTCCAGCGGTGTAATTGTGCTTGTACTGCCAAAAAGATCGACCGTATGTCTGAGAAGCAGGACCAAATCCATCTGACACCATCATGATCACATTGCGACTACGACCTGGGGCTACGATGAACCGTGTTGAAAAGTTGGATGCAATGCTTTTATTAGTCCTGACGAACTCGGAACGATATTTTTACTTAGTAACCCATTGACTTACTCGACGGCGAATGCTTCGTGAAAAGATAGGTCGTGGTGATGGCAGCAGCGGATGCCAATACAACAGCCAGACCGAGACAGAGGCAAAGTCGTCTGCGCTCCTATATAGCCCATCCCCCAGCAAAGAGATAAATCCTTGAATGAAATGCGCAGCTGACGACCTCACCCGGCACTCATATGTCAGGTTCATAGCATGCTCATCATCCAAAGACAAGGAGCTTGCTTACTCTGTGGACTTGGTTCCGGGATTCTTGCTTGAGCAACTCGCGCTCCTGCTCGTCGAACGAGTCGCCACGCTCCTCGTTGACAAGCAATGGGGCACTCTCCTGTCTGTTGACCATACTGTTTGCTCGGCTTAGCGTAAATCTTTCCTTTGTTGAGAGTCGGGTAAGTAGATGAGTAGTATCGATGAATGGTAAGAGTAATGGAGCGAAGTGGAGTAGAATGGAGTGTAGAAGCGATGGAATGGAGAGCCAAACAAAAAATATAAAATAAGGAAGGGTGCCCTGAATTTTCCCGCCAACCAATCACGATTCTCCTTGCGAGCATTTTCGTGTCAATGGCTGGAAAATGATTACCATAGTGGGAATGGAACCAACACGTTCCTAGACTAGGCCCTATAGCTTTATTATGACTCCACATATCCCACACACACAAAAGGTCCGCATCCGCTCTCCAGAAACTCTCGTCTCTATCCTGTTGTTTATCTTGATGCGGAGCAACTTTTACAACTCGACGCCTAAGGACAACAATAGCACAAAACACAAAGCACACAACGGTTGGGTAGGCATTAGATGGTCAACCAATCGATTGAGAAGCACAATAATAACAGGACAAAGCCAGATTCATGCAACCCGTTGGCAGCGTTAAAACGCTATGGCTTACCTCCGAGCTCCTCTCGGACAGCCTCTAGCTCAGGAATAGGTCTGTCAAAACGGTGCCTCAGCTGCACAATCACTCTGGATATAAAACTCTCGGAAATGAACTGAAAGTTTGAATTAACAATAGTGCGCTGGATAAGAAAAGAGGGAGGAGTGATAATAAGCATGGTTAACGGCATGCATGAGGTGATATCGACAGCTAGAAACACACTCCAGGTAGCGTATCCACTCGTACCTGATCGTCCGTCATGCCCTTCTCCTCATACACCTGGATTGTCCTGTTCACGTATGCCTTGAACAATATTGCAACGCTATCCACGATTCTGCTATAGAGCTGCATATCAGGTAAATGCAACCAAGATCAATGAATTGTTAGTGGTTTTCTTTCAGCAGGTCACAATGCAGCACCTCAGTGTGATATGGACAAAGGTAGCAAAATTTACTGTCAAGCTGCCGATCAGGCAGATGTTGTTTACGAACTGCAGCATGACCGTATAAAAGGCAATCATGCTTGCTGAAAGAGGTGTTGTCGAGCCTATTGACCGGTTCACAGAAACATTAGTATTCAAACGAACAATCATGCATACGTGCGAAACACAAAGGCTTAGTATCCATACCCAGTTCCTCTCCAGACATGGCTGCAAAATCGTCATGCTCAATGATGGCGTCCATCCTTTCTAAGCAGCGTCTTTCATGCTCGGCAATTGTCTCAATCAAGTACGGCATAAGCACAGCTTCCAGTACAAAAGACAGATCCAACCCTATGTCCTTCAGCTATAAAACCGCAATGAATAAGACAGTAAATGTTTCAAAGCTGTTAGTCAACTGTCCTCGCTGCAATTGAGGATTGTGGGTATTAAACTATGGTTCTTACCTTATTGCACTGCTCGTTGGTGACTCTTGCGCAGTCTGCGATGGCTTGAAAGTTGCTTTGCTCAGCTCCAAAGACAATGTTCTTATAAAATTCCGCAAAGTACTCGATCTCCTGCTTAGCCCACTTTACAAGCGCCGACGACAGCTTTGGATCCTTGAACGAAAGCTCAAACCATTCAGACGTGTTTTTGATGGAGGTAAACACAATCATAGCCAGCTCCTCAACGTGCAACATGGGATCTCTCTTTGGTTTCACTCGACTACGAAAAGGAAGACAAAAACACAAGCCAGTCGAAAAACGACGTATATGTTGGTTATCGAATTCAACGATACACCCAGCTGATTGAGAGAATGATTACCTGATTCTTTGTCGAACGACTTTGGTCCTGTTGTTCAAAAAGACATCTCTCGCTTGATCGAGACATCCCAGCCGCTCCAGCCATCCAACATCCCGTTGGACTGCAGTTTTTGTGATGTGAGACTGCCCGAGATCCAGAATGATGACTTTAGACAAGCGGGCAACGCGCTCATCCAAACGCTTCCTTGTCTCTTCCAATTTGGTCGCCGGCAAGGTCATTTGTGAGAGCATCACAGTAGCTATAAATCAGAAAACATAAGGTCAGAACCCACAGTGATCCTATCCTTAGCTAAATAGCTGAAAACAGCAAGCCCCGCAAATATACCTTTCTCGATGCCTGCAACTGCACCGTCAAGTTCCCTCTGCGCGATCATAACATCGAGTTCATCTGTGAATTCTGCAAGCCATCGTGCGTCTGGCTGACTAGAGGTGACCGACGCTCTGAACTTCATTCCTGTGCGGTTGGGCATCGCCTAGTATAGTCGGCGAGAGAAAGGGGGGGTTAGCATGCATGTATACAATTTGCTCCGCACTAACTGTCGCTATCCATGGTGCACAAGGAAGAATTCCCTAGATATGACATACGGGAGTGAATCCAAATAGTCCTATTTAGTGAAGCGCATGGCATGTTCGTATGATTAAAAACGTTGTTAGTGTTTTGATGTTGTAGCCCTTTGAGCTCTTTTAAGGAACGATCTTTTGCGAACATAATAAAGATCAAAGATGATTGGTATTTACCTTTGTTGCGTGATTCGTTGGATCGTGCGAGCATTTCATCCGTAGTACGCTTTGCATTGACCAGCATGGTCTGCTTTTCTTGTCCCTTCTCAGTCTTATATACAAATACTTCATCGCCATGCGTGATTTTGATTGCATTTCGGATCTCTACATATAAATAATCCAGTATTCAAAGTGTTAGCAATGATCCATAGAGTTTAAATGTTTTCAAGGCTATGATTGATCCTTTTTTACCTGTGGTGTCCTTCATGTCATCGATTGTAATCTCTGTTAATGGCCAGCAGCGGTCCCCGAGCAGTTTGTACTTCGAGTTGGCTGCCGTTTTTTTCTTACGGGTTGCAATGAGGATAGTATCATTCATCAAAACAATATGGACGGGATGCCTGATCTTGTTTGTCGTTGTGTTCACTTCCACAAAGCTCGGTGACTCGCGGATCAGATGTCGTTTGGGATGGTATGGCAGCATTTTCTATTGAAAGAGAGATATTTGTCAGTGTGAGCATTAACATGGCAAAACATTATCGACGGCAGACCTTAATCTGAAAATGAACAATGTCTCTACCTGTGCGCCTTCGATACCTTCCCATAGCGCCATCATTTGTGCCTTCCAAACAGACGTCAGGTCTGACATGCTCGACACCATCACCGTCATTCGTTTTGGCACTACAGGAGCAGAATCCTCGATGCCTATGACAAAATCCCATGAAAGAGGAACATTGATAAGAATCCTACTGCTTTGGAGTACACATTTGATCTATTTATGTGTGACGATTAATAGAGATATGTCTTCACTCACCTGCAGTCAGCAAGAATTCATCGTCATCGTCCATAAGATTGTCACTCGCAGATTTTAGATCGTCTAACAGTCCACGCAAAGTCTGCATGTCGCTCTCCAGCTTTGAAATTTCCTTTGAAATAGTAACAAATTCGTTGTAGTTCTTAAACACGTTCTCCTGCAGATCCTCAGCCGCCAGCGATTTTGAATCCTTGAGTGACTGTAGAAAGCTGCGGATTGTCTCCTCGCTTGCGGTAGCCAAGTTTTGCGTCAGATCTAATTCGTACATTCGACCAGAACTGATCGGTCAGTTCCATAACTCAATATGCTGCCAAATGGAGCGTCGTAAAATTCAGTGACCACTCACATTCTTCGTGATTGAAGCCCTCCTTCGCAAACTGTGCAATTTCCACGACTGGTCGTCGATCCGAGTTGTCCGGCTGGCGGCTCATAGATGATGGTGATGGCGAGGACATTGAAATCAGATTCTTGCGCATTGGCTGTTGTGGTTGAGTCGGGGTTTCCTTACGTTGGGGCACAGCATTTTCCTTCTTCAAGACTGGCGACAATGCCTCCTTCTGGGACTTTGATGATGCCTCCTTCTGAGACTTTGATGATGACGCTGTATCTCTTCGGACGGGTGCTTTGGGTGCTGTCAGAGGCACTTCCTTTCGTGCAACAGGCGAGGGTATTGGTGCCTCATTTCGGATTTGGGGAGAAGAGGAAGCATCGTTGCGACCAGAGATCGCAGGTATTTCCTTGCGGATCTTTGGTGACGAGTTTTCTCGGCGCAGAGGATTGGGTGGCGCCATGACTGCAGGACTGGATGCTAACACTGGGGCGGGTCCTGGAGTTGGACTAGGACTCGACGTCTGCACAGGTCTGGAAGGCGGTGTCCCTGTATGAGAAGTCTTTGGCTGATAGTTGATCGGCACCAGGGGGGAATGCCCAGAAGCGTAAGCAGGCGTGGAAACATTGGAGCTTTGTTTGTTTGATGGTGATCCCATGCCTCCATAGATGGAGAGCGGTGCAGACTGGGCCGAGCTACTAGAGCCAACAGAACTTGATACAGACCCTGGTCCTGATCCCATTCCTGATCCTGGTCCTAGCCCCATACCTGGTCCCATTCCTGGCCCCATTCCTGGTCCTGGTTGTGGGACTCTGTACCCTGGGATATTGGGATTGGGTCGAGGCGGACCCATGTTTGGGGGTGGGCTAGGTCTACCCATCGGAGGCATATTCGGTCCGCCCATTGGTCTCTGTCCCATCGGCATCGGTCCTCCCATAGGCATTGGTCCACCCATCTGTCGAGGAGGTCCGTTCATCGGCATCTGGTTGCCCATGGGCATCATATTAGACATATTAGGCGGCGGACGAGGCCGCATGTTGGGTGGCGGATAGTTGCCTCCTTGACCCATAGGTGGACCCATGGGTGGGCCCATCGGTCCACCCATGCCCGGCGAAGGAGCGTACATTCCGCCTGGTCCTCCCATAGGTCGTGGTGGACCTTGTTGCTGTCGCATATATTGCCCTGGTGGCGGTGGTCCACCATTAGGCGGTGGCATCCGTTGTGGAGGCGGCTGCTGTCGCCTTGGCTGAGGCTGCATGATAGTTGCTTCTTACTACAAGTCTAGGGTCGGGAAAGAAAGGGTTGGTGATTGAAGTTGGTCTGGTACCCTGCTGTTGGTAACTGATCGGTCCTTGGTACCTGTTCACAGGGTTTGTTTGGACAAGGTGAAGGACGAGATGGGAAGGAGGGATAAAAGGCGTGTGCTGGTTCGATAGGAAGGAGGCTGCGATGGAATGGACCGTTGACCATGGACATGTTTCGCGCACAAGATGAGCCCCAAGCAGTGCCTTGGAGGGGAAGGGAACACGAAGCCACTGGTCAGCTCCGTCAAATTTGGAGTGTATCCATGTGGTCTGATATGAAGACGAAATGTAATGTGAGTCGAGTGGAACGGATAACGCTAGGGAATGACTCGGACAATGCACCACGCTTGGTTGCCCAGCAAAGACCGATGCAGCCAGTACTAGCCATGTTTGAAGCAGCACACCTTTTATTCATCAAGGGCATCGTAGGCTTCTACCCACTCTTCAAGTCTACAAGTCTTCAAGTCTACCTAACAAACACTGCGAGGGACTTCATTGAGCAACAACTCTTAGGATGTCAGGAGTATTTTTTCAGAGGTGTGTGCCATCACACCTACCCTAATACCATATACCATATCAAATGCGTGCACAGCCTAGTCGGCACATATATTGGCAAGGGTTGTTGTTATTAATCGCGCAATGCCGCGATTCATAACGCGTCTTTTCGCGTCAACGCGCGTTTCATAGGTGCAGAGGGGACCAGGCTGACCCAAAATAGGATGGAAATGGCGACATGATTCGCGCCCGCAAAAAAGACGACGCTGATTGGCCGCGTTTCCAAGCGCAGTCTTTCTCATGTTCACTGTGAAGGTTGGCTTTCTAACAACGTACCCACTTTCCTCACATCACCAATCAACCAACATGACTGAGATCGCTACTTTCGCAGCAGGATGCTTCTGGTATGATCACAAGTTCATCACTGACTCATCAAACTATTGCTCCTACTTTGTCCCACATCTGTTCTGCACGTTGAATTTGGCTGACAAATTCTTTGTAATAGGGGTGTCGAGAAGGCCTTTCAGAAGTTCTACAAGGACGAGGACATCAAGGCCAGTGTCGGCTACACTGGTGGCGCCGACAACAACCCAGACTACAAGAAGGTCTGCACCGGATCCACGAACCATGCAGAGGCTATCCAGATCCACTACACTCCCAACGATAAGATCAATTATCCCAACCTGGTCGAGTTCTTTTACAGGATGCACGATCCCACCACTTTGAACTCACAGGGCCCCGATGTCGGAACCCAGTACCGCTCCGCCATCTTTTACCACTCTCCCGAGCAGGAACAGATCGCAAAAAAGGTCACCGCTGAGGTTCAGGACAAGCATTACAAGGGTCAGCACATTGCCACGCAGATCGTTCCCGCGGGCGAATGGTTCGATGCAGAGGAATACCACCAAAAGTACTTGGATAAGAACCCAGACGGCTACGAATGCCCCTCGCACTTTTTAAGATGGTAGAAGAGGACAACAGAAGCCCATAATCAATAAATGATATGCAACATCACGATGACTCCAGGTTCCTCCGTTTCCAGTCATGTAGTCTATGAAACCAAATTTTTTGAGCCATTGCAGAAATCCGCACTCCTGGCCATTGGTTACAGATCACAAAGAAAATAAACCGCACTTCTTTGCTCATGGGATATCTGTACCTTAGCGGTATTCAGAGCCGATTCTGGCATTCATAGATAAGCCCACAATGTTCAGGACCTGCTTAAGTTTGCAAAATGACCCTTCGCTTAATGTCAGTAGCCTAGACAATGTGCTGCTTTGTGGGCACCGCTTCGTTGTCCTGCTGTGCATGTCCCTCTTTCATAGTGAGAGGCACAATTCGGTCAACTAATCTCTCAGTGAGACGCTCTTTCATCATCCGTCAGGATTGACGCAAGCGGAAGAGCGCGTGCCTCAGATGTACTAGTGCATCCTCCGACTCGCGTAATCGACCTGGTATCTGTTACTGTTGTGATGCGCCGGACTAAGTGCTGCAATTCTTTAATATTTGAAGTACCACGCGAGGAGGATGGTTTTGGCGTTCCTCATCAAGAATGCGGGAGGTTCCCATTTGGCTATCGAGGTTGACCACAGTCTCCAGAGCCTTCTGAAGTTCACTAGTGAGAGGTCTAGGTTTGCTCTCCAATTTTGTTTCGTGTAATTCGCGTCCAGTTGATTTCAGGCCGCCAAGTTGAGCATAACGCATGGGAGGAGTAGTATGAAAGCAGCGAATTTCATCGATGCTCAGGCGACGCGAATATCATAATACGAAGCACACCCGTTTATTATTTTTATAGACCAAGGCACTGATCCTAAATATTATATTCTCGCCTTTGGATGTAATATCTTTATCAGTCTCAACAGCTACTCTCTACAATGAGGTCTATCTCATGCGCCTTACTTAGTAAGTAATAATCGGAGGTGCTCGTCGGAGGCGCTGCTTGATATTGTTATAAGAGGCAGTAACTGAGAGGCGTTGCACATCCAAAAAGACCTCCAACCTGAGGAATTTGGATGTGAAGAGTAAGGAGATAGAAGGAATCAACAGCAAAAGTGACAAGGACAATCCAGAGGTAGATAGAAGCTCACTAGAGGTTTAAATGGGCACATAGAAAATGTGTGCTTTGTATCAGAGGAAAGCAAATATTAGATAACTGCAGAGTAAGGTTCGGACAAGACCTTCCATCTATCTATGCAAAATGGATCCACATCTGGAATGGTCTGTAGGCGTCTACAGATTCGCCAAGCAACATCGGCGATAAAGAGGGGAGGATCCACAGAGAGAACCGTGGACGCTGAGACAATGATTGGCAATCGGTGCTTTGTCGTTACCACTGTGCCCTAAAAGGATACATGCTGGGGGTGGCATTCTTTAGGAGCGTGGTCGTTCAGACTCGCCTACAACACCCATAAAAGTCTCTCGCCCCCCACTCTTTCCTATCCTCACATTCTCGTCTGTCGTCTTCATCCTGCTCCCCACTTAATTTTCTCATTATCTGCCCTGCCTACAACGGCGGCATTATATCCTGTAATCCTATTGTATCTCCATCTAACATTCGTTCCATACTCATTTAAAGTTCGGCCAAGTTGCGCACAGCAGTTTCATTTGTGAGTATTGATCTCGTTTAGTCCGCTAGACCTGGCCCACAGCAAGCTCATAGTCCGTGCTGATGAATAGAGGACTCTTATAATATGTTGCCAGTGCGATGCATTAGGAAAAGTTGAAGGTCGGGTCATCAAGTGCCAACAATGCAATTAGGACAGATATCGAGACCATAACGCTGGCCATAATATGGCTCGCGCCGCCCTCTGTCATGTAGAGCGCCAAGAGTGGCCTCCGGAGCTGACGCGTCCACAGCAATAACAGCAGCAACAACAGCAGCAATAACAGCAGTAACAACAACACTAAGCGCCGTGTGGAGCGGCAGCGTGGACACAGTGGGAGATGAAAAAGAGCTGTGTCATTCATTATCTCTTGTTACAAAAAATTGAGTCTTAGAACTTAGATGGAGCAAGAGATAACATTATACTTTCTCGCCCTCGACGACTTCAATCATCTTTGGTTGCATGACAGTGCTCTTAGACTTTGACGCATCAGAGGCAGAAAGAGAAGCCTCCATGATGGTGTTCAGACGCTTAAGCATCGAGCGAGGATCATCCAGTACTCCGGCGGCGATCAACGCGTTATCGTAGATCTAACAGCGAATGCAAAAGTGCAGAGATATTAACAACAGGAAAACGGACATCTGCAACACATACAATGCATGAGAATAGAGGCATGTCGTATACCTGCTCAGCAATTTGCTTAGCGAACTCGGGGTTCTGGGACTTGATCGACCAGACCTTCTTGATGATGGGGTGGTTGACATTGATCTCCAGGCTGGTTGGAGTCGGTGGTAGGTTATCCTCGCCAACCTTCGCAGCCCCTGACATCATGGCCATCATCTTGCGGACAGCTGGCGAGTCGTGCTCTGTGACGACGGCTGGATGGCTCATATGGCGCTTCGACACATCGACCTTACGAACCTGCATTCCGAGTGTCTGGCGGAACCAGTCTGCAATGTTCTCTGCCTCAAGCTTAGCCTCCTCCTTGCTCAAGGCCTCCTCCTTTGAAGCGTTACTGTCATTGGAGTCACTCTTGGAGTCATTGTCGAAGACCGTATCCTTGATATCGGCAGCATCGATCGACACCAACTTGTGTTGTCCAACCTGGCGCAGATTATTGACAACGAACTCGTCTACAGTGTCGTACAAGAACAAAACCTCGACACCTTTTTCCTTGAACTCCTCGAAGTAGGGGCTCTCCTCCGCAAACTTGCGCTTGGGCACGCAAGAGTAGTAAATATTTTCCTGTCCTTCCTTCATACGATCGATGTATTCCTTTAGGCTGAAGACTTCGCCTGGCTTGCCGACACTGCTCTCGTACCGCAGCAGCTTGGCCACATTCGCCCGGTTGCTCTCGCTCTCGGTACAGACGCCCTCCTTAATAAAGTTACCAAATTCTTCAAAGAAATTATTGTAGGTCGTAGGATCTGACTTGGACTCATTCTCCAGCCATTTGATCACACGGCCGGTCAAGACTTGGCGCAACTTTGAAAGAGACTGGTCCTGCAGCAGCTCACGCGAGACATTCAGGGGCAAATCTTCACAGTCAACCACTCCCTTTACAAATCGGAGCCACTCTGGTAAAAGCGCTTTGGACTTGGCCTGGATCATGACCTTGCGAGAATACAAACTGACTCCGGGCTCCTCTCTCTGCATGCCCAAGACCTCCATGTGCCGCTGAGGGATGTACAGCAAACTGCTGATGGCGAGAGGCGAGTCCGTCTTGTAAACCAGTTTGAATTGAGGGTTGTCCCAAGCGCCGGCAATATAGCGATAAAACTCAGTGTGTTCCTGATCCGAAATTTCGCTCTTATCCTTGGTCCAGAGAGGCTGCACGGCATTGATTTTTTTGTTGTTGAGGTGGACGGGATAGTCAACAAAGTTGGAGTACTTTTTGATGATAGACTCGATAAGGGCTTCCTTTGCATACTCCTTGCACTCATCTCTAAGGGTAATGACGATCTTTGTACCGACGGCAACATTCTCGGCCTCCGCGATCTCATACGATCCAGAGCCGTCAGAGGTCCAGCAGTATCCCTTTGATCCAGGCTTAGCCGAGCGAGTGTACACCTTGATCTCGGATCCTACCATGAACTACGGTCATGCAGACAAAAATAGGCAGATCGTAGTACTTAAATATGGATCCAAGTGCGAGGAAAACATCTCTGTAGCGCAACTATGAAATTTCAATGTACTTACAGCTGAGTAGAATCCAACGCCGAATTGTCCAATGATCTTATCCTTGGTCGATCCAGCAACACCCTTGTCCTCCAAGTTCTCCAGAAAGGCCTTGGATCCAGATCTGGCAATGGTTCCCAGGTTGGAAATGGCCTCTTCTTCTGTCATACCGATACCATAATCCTGGATTGTGAATGTGTTCTTGGTCTCGTCGACTGAAATGTGGATTTCGAGAGGCTTTCCGGCATCGAGGCTCGAGTCTGTCAGTTGAGAATGACGGAGCTTCTCCAAAGCGTCCGAGGCATTGGATACCAACTCCCTATTGTAGTCCATACATATTTTTCAAGAGACAAGGTTAGGTCTTCAGCCGCTCATACCTTTCACAAGGAGGATGGCCAATACTATATCAATGGCTGTTATAGCATACCTAACAAACACCTCCTTTTCAGAGTAGAGCGAGTGTGTGACAATGTCAAGCAGCTTGCGAGTTTCTGCTTGAAAGGTCTTCTTCTTGGTCTCTCCAATGATTTTTTCCTGCTGTTCGTCCTGGTCGCTGCTGGTCTCGGTGGTGAAGGTACGGATCGAGTTGTACATCATATTGACGGACTTGCGACCGATAGGGATGACAGTGGCGCGAAGAACAGTGGAGTGGCACGTCTAGATAGATTAAAAAATATAGGTTTACTTATGTTAGCAGCTTGAGACATAATGTGTTGGAAACCAACAGCTGAATATGCAAGAGCATAGACGACTTCATACTCTGGCAACAGGGCCAGACACAGAGCTGGTCAGGCGAGCCCGGGCCGTCAAGGCGGTTTTGGCGAGTGAGCGCAGCATTGGAATACTTATATTTGGTCAAAGTACCAAAGGTTTAAGATATGCGTGAAGATGCGGAGCAAAAGTAATGCGATATGAGCGAAGGAGGAGTTCCGGAGATATTTTCTGTGAAGTTCGATGGACTCCGCCTGGTAAGCCCTGTCGGTGACTGCTGATCGTCACGGCGGTGGTGGCTTGCTCGTTAGAGTAAACATTTTTTTTTTTTTTTTGTGTGTGTGTATAGACGTAGAGCTTGCTTCACTTTTCTCTCTCCCCTTCTCTGTCCCTCCATCCCTTTCTTGACGAGAGCGTTGCCTGTTCACTCCTCTCCGTCTAAAACACATACTCTATCACTCTTACTCATTGCATTTCATACCGCATTCAACTCCATATTCATTTCGATTGCATTTTTTTTATATTTCCCTTTTTTTTTTTTTGTTGCGTCCCCTCAGTTTAATATTCCACTATATGCCGAGCATGTCTTCGTTAACCCAGCAGCTTAGAAAGATTGGCACAGCGGACGCTAACCGGGGATCCGAGAGGGCTGCCAAGCATCGCGCGTCCTTCCTTTTCGACTCAAAGCAGGCTGCCGACTATGACATCGATACAATCTACTCGATCGGTGTTAATGGTATCGCGGAGTTGAAGCAACTCGATCCAAAGTTCTCAGCTTTTGAGAAGACCCTGTTCTCAGAGTCCATGAAGAACGTTGACAGAGTCCTTCAGGTACAGCGTCTTTTTGAAAACTTTGTCAATAATCTTTAACAATGGGATTCTTCACTAACGCGACATATTTACTGATGACTACAGACAAAGGAAGATAACGTCAAGCTGGATGAGAGCATCACATTGTTTCTTCGCCAATTGTCGCCATACTTCCTGCTGAAGCCTGCAGGAAAGGCACTCGAGTGGCTCATCCGTCGATTCCGTATCCATGAGTTTAACGTCGATGCCATCCTTCACGCCATCCTCCCATACCACGAGACCGCGCTCTTTGTCACCATGGTCTCCCTTCTCCAGATCAGGTACGTTGGTCGCGGACATTACTTTTTCCAATAGTTTGTCACAGAACTGTTCGGCATGTGGCCATATGTGACAATGTTTTATCGGATATTAACAATACGTACCCATTTTTGCTGCCAAACGTTTTAGTGAGACTAGTCGATGGTCATTTCTGCGGCCTATTCGCAAGTCAAAACAACCATTGGATAGGACAATACTGGTTCAGAACATGCTAAAGGACCGTTCAATTGTCGAGTTCGTCTGCGAAACCGTTCTTCAGGCTGTATCCCGTCGCACAGCCTTCAAAACCTTGCTCTCCTTCTACACCGCAATCATACTGCAGTACATCGCCTTCTTGCCAGTTATCACAGACGACGTTTTAACCGCCATATTTCCATACATCTTGGAGGGATTAAAAGCCAAGGGATACCCAGAGTACCAGGTATGTTATGGATAACTAAAAATGCCATTGACGATGCTGGACCTTGCACAGTACAAAGGGGCAACTTGAGATTGAGACAAGCATTCTGTGCTGACATTCTTTTGCCTTACCCTATCCATGTTAGATTGCCTCGTATATGATCATCTCGCAAATTTCAGAGCGCGCTACCCTGACATACGAGGTCCTCTCATCCTTGTTCGCCACGATGACTTCCAGCTACGTCAATCCGTCTCAAATGCTGCTCTGCCTGGTCCACATCTGCCAAACACAAGAGACTTTTGAGGAGTTTCCTGAGGAGGCCTTTAGGAATTTGTCAAGAATTGAAGGCATCGACACTGTCATTATCTCGCTCCTTCAAAAGTACAGCGCCCAGCGATTCCTCTACCCCTTCCTGACCGCCCTTTCAAAACATTCCTCAAGGCACGAGAATTACTCGCGCGTCCTCAACAGTATTTTAAAGCAGGAGCGTCTACCATCCTCTATAGTATACGGTGTTTGTTCTGCCATCCTGGATCTCTATCTCGCGGAGCGTAAGCAGAACGATACGGCGGAGCTGAACGAACATGCTTTGTCGATCTTGCACGTTCTGCATCAGCACTACTCTAAGGATCTGGACGCCGCCCTGCAAGCCAAGCTGGAGGAAGCCAAAGGGGAGCAGCACACAAAGACGCATTCCCATCTCTACGCTTTTATCTCTAAAGTCTTTCACGGAACTCGCCATCAACCCTTGAAGGGATCCAACACAACCTTGTTTCTCAGTGTCAACCATGCAGAGGCTTCCATTCGTCTTCTTGCCGTCAAAAAGCTGAACGAGATTTTGATTGAAAAGTCATCGAAACTTGCCAACCTGAATAATGAGGATACTTTTGTCAGGGATACGTTGCTCGCTCGCCTTCAGGATGACGATGAGAGAATCGTCCAACAGGTTTTGGACATGGATGGCTTGAAGCATTTTGTCGCGCCCCAGGACCTGCTCAACGGCCTGGTGGGCGTTGTGACGGCACCCAGCAGTACCCGGGCAACACGTCGTCACTGCCTAGTCTACCTGTTGACTACCTTCCTCACTGACAATAAGGATCTCCAGGACAACGTTCTCGCCATCGTTCTCGGACACCTGTTGCTGGTCAAGGATTTCTACAAGGCCAGCATGGCACTGATTTCCAAAATTCCTTCTTCTGGCCTGAAGAGCGAACCACTGTTGAAGAACGTGTCAAGTGTTATCAAAGATCTTACCAATGAGGACGCCTCGCCCAGTGCTGATGCTATGGTTTCTGCCGATATGGCTTTGATCAAAACACTCGCGTCCAACTTAGTGTCTCACCGCAGCATGTCGGAGGGATTGGATGTTTACCTTCAAGGACTCAAGAGCGGTAATGCCGCTTTCCGACTTCTGTCCATCTTTGTCATCACCAGCACAGTTCATCAGCTTGGCGCGGAGCAGCAGATCAAGGTTGTCAGTCACTATCTCCCAGTGCTCCTCCGTGTCCTCAAGTCCCATTCGCTCGCCACTAAAGCCTTAAAAGCCGAAGTCAAGGACGGTCGGCCCTCAAAGGAGTTGCTCACCCAAATCGTCACAAAGTCATGGACGCCTTCGACTGAGGTTTCCGCTATTCATTTCTCTCTGTTGAGCATCGTCTCCGATCTGAAGAAGCCCAGCAAGTCGATTGTTCCTTGGCTGTCTGCTGAGCCTCTGTCTGAGTATGGTTCGATTCTTCTATCGATGTACAAGACTTTTGTGGGCACTATCATTATGGAGCCATACGAGCAGATGATTGAGAAACTGTTCGAGATTCACTTTACATCCGATTCGATCGAGTTCCTATGCAACCTTTGGACCGACTCTACTGCCCCGGCTCTTGTTCAGGTCCGCTCTATTCAGATCGCCAGCGCCAACCTCCAGGCCTTCGCCAAGCATGCAGACGCAGATGCTCCTGACTTCCAAGTTGTGATCCCTACCCTCCTGATGGCATTGGGCAACCCCATCAAGGCCATGCGCGAGACCGCTGTTGCATGCCTTGGCACTATTGCCTCATTTTATCCCAAGGTCAAGACCACCGGCAAGAAAGGCAAGAACATGGCCATGAACATCTTTAAGTTTGACACGTTCTATGGCAAGACCTCGGATAAACTGGAGTTCCTGATGTCGGAGCAGGCCTCGTCTTTCTTGACAACATTACTCAAGTCTCGCGAGGAATTCATCACCGATGGAAGCTATCTCACCAAATATTTCGCCGAGACCCTGAACCATATCGCAAACGAACCCAAGACTACCGCCTCGACCAAGGACTCGATTGTCTCGTTCATTCTTTCTCACGTTCTTGCGTTCGAGCGTACTAGCAGCCGAGTCGAGCTACTCCAGCTGCTGGATGGCGTCACCTCACTCACCAAACTGAAGATGCTTCTGCCCCTGATCGACTCCCTTGTGCAGTCGACTTTTGTTGGACAAAATGTAGACGACGTTAACACTGAGCTGGCTCGCTATCTTGTTCGTTGCTTCTCGCCCGAAACGTCGTCTCTCTTGGAGGGCAAATCTGGAAAGTACAGGAATGCGTTCCTACAGCTGCTCAAGCTAGACAACACTGCAGGAATCAATACCGACACTGAGGAATCGAGCTCATCCTTCCGCCGCCTCGCTTTGAGCCAGGTCAACAGCCGCTTTTTCGATGGCCTCAGCACATCTCTTCAGCGCGACATCTTTGTGGTCTTGATCGACTTGGCCACCAACGCTCCCCAGGAGACCGTCCGTGTCGTGAAGCAGGTTCTTCGCGATGTCTCTATCAGCAGTGACCTTGTCATCTATGAGTTGGCGACGATCCAGTCTAGCCTGGTGCAGGAGGCCATGGTCGATGAAGAAAACAATTCGAAGCGTCAGCGCAAGGCTCCTGTTGATCCATCTGCCCCCGGTGCCATCGTTGAAGCACTTCATCGTCTCGTCTCTGTCCTGGAGCTGCTCGAGTACAAGGATGTTACAGAGACTAGCAAGCTGGTGACACCCCTGTTCGAGTTACTTTCTACGATCATGAACTCCGACCTCAACAACACCCCTATCTCTATCGAATATATCAACCAGCTGATGCTGTCGAGCCTGACGAGTTTTGTTCGGGATGCTGAATCTGGCGCCAACGCCGGCAAGCTGGACGAGGGCATTTTGCGCGTGGATTTGGTTGTCAACTGTATCCGTGCCACAGGCAACCCTCAGACTCACAATCAAGCACTCCTGCTTATGGCGGCCATTGCCACACTGTATCCCGAGAAGGTCCTCCACAACATCATGCCCGTGTTCACCTTCATGGGTGCTAATGTGCTGCGCCAGGATGACAACTATAGTTTTCATGTTATCCAGCAAACCTTGGAGAAGATTATTCCGCCATTGGTCGCTGCCCATCGCCGGCAGAGCGTCGAAAGCCAGAGTCTGGTCATGCAAGTCCGTCCTATCATCAAGGTCTTTATCGACGCACTGTTCCACATCCCCAAGCACCGCCGTCTCCGACTCTTCTCAGTACTCATTAGCACCCTGGGCGAGGGGGATTTCTTGCATGCGGTGATTTGCATGACAATCGAAAAGTACACTGAGAGGGCCAGCAAGGGCCATCAGACCGAGGCAGACTCTTTGAGCGAGTTTGCTCTAGCGCTTTCGAACCAATTTTCAGCTATTGTTCAGATGAAGTCTGTGATCGCGTTGATGGATGTCATCCAGGCTGTGCCTAACGAGAAACCTGCGGAAGGCGGCGATGTTGACATGGAGGAACATCTCTTTGACCTCAGGTATGATATTTTCTGCGTTTCTATGGGGCATGTGTTAATATACCCTTGTCATTAGTTCTAACAAATGGTTGTTGTTTTTTCTTTCCATTTTCACTGGACTTTATTAGCACGCACAACAACAAACAGATCCGCCAGTTCAAGCTATCTGTCTTGACGTTCAGCTCTAATGTTATGACTGCCAAATCGTTTTTGTCCAAGATTCTGACACAGACCAATATCGACTCTTCTGCCGAGACTGTCCTCGAGAGTTACTATCTTCAGCTGGCGGAGCGTCTATTGACCCTAGTGGGAACTTTTACAGCTTTTGTCAACACTCTGGTCACACGCAAGGAACCCTCGGCTGTTGTGATCAAGTTTTGGCGTGGCATTATTAAGGTCACTTATGATGTCCTGGACAAGGTCCACATTCTCCTGTCATTGCCGTCGTTTATCAAGATCATGGTGGCGCTGTTTGTTCACAAGGACGTCACGATTCGTCGCAAGGCCATGGTCCTCTTCAACCAAAAGATCTCGAACGTCCCTGGAAGCCCCGCTGCGGTGCCTGCGGTCTATCAGAATATGGTCGTCGCTGTGAGTGAAGACTTGAAGAAGGCTGTTGAGGTCGATCAAATCGAAGGCGCCACTGCCGAGGAGGTGGCGATCAATAAGCAGACCGCATTGCTCTGCCTCTCGACCATTGTTCGTCAGTTTGGTGCATCTCACCCCGCAGAGATCACCAAGATCGTGCCCGTCATCATTGGATCTAGTGGACTGCAGCATCCTAACGAGCAGGTCAAGGCTTCGTGCCTGGTTTGTCTCACATTCATGAGCCAGGAACTTGGTATCCGTATGGTACCTTTCTTGCCCAAGTTTATGCCTGTTGTCCTCTCAATTCTTGGTGGCACACTAGTCAGCACCAACGCTGCCGCAGCTGCCGCAGCTGGAGCCGATAATAGCAAGTCCAGTCGATACAACAACTCCGTGCTGCTCCAACTAGCAGTGGTCTCGCATCTCGAGACGTTGATCAGGGTCCTGCCCCAGTTCGTCAGTCCTTATGTAACCAAGATTCTTGCCAGCACGCTGCATCCAGTTCTGACGGGATACGAAGGTAGCGATGCCTCAAAGCTTCAGATCCTGGACAAGAACAAGAGATTGCTTACAGAAATGTCGATCCATATCCAACCACGTACCTTGCTCCCGCCTGTGCTTGGATACTATGAGACCGCGGTCAAGGACGGCAAGGACTCGCTCTTGGCGCTGTTCGATCTGGTCAGCCAGACTGTGCAGGCTATGCCTCGCGACGTTATCGCGGTGCACTACAAGCAGATCTTCAAATTTTTCTTGGGCGCGTTTGATTACCGCCGTGTCATTCGCGGTCAGCAGGACAAGAGCAAGTTTGTCAGCATTGCTGCTGTAGAGGACGCAGTGATCGAGGCATTCATGAAGCTAGTCATGAAGTTAAACGAGACGTTGTTCAAGCCCTTGTTCCTCAAGACTCTTGATTGGGCTACAACTGAGCTGCAAGTCGCCAAGGGTTCATTCAAGGATATGCAGGACCGTCTTGTCTTCTTCTACAAGTTGATGAACTCGCTCTTGGAGCAGCTCAAGTCGATTGTCGCCCCTTACTACGGATATGTCGTCGACAACGTGATTGAGGCCCTAACGGGCTATGCCGAGGCGGTCAAGATCTCATCATCATACGAGGACAACGATAGCGACAATATGGATGAGGACAATACCAAGAAGGCAGCGACCAAATCGAGAGAGATGGACGAGCTCTGGCCTTGGATGGTGTCATCGCTTCAGAAGTGCTTCTTGCACGATAACGATGGACTCTGGAATGCGGACCGCTTCGAGAAGCTGCTTCATCCCTTGGTAGATCAGCTTCTGGTGACTTCAAATTTGGAGGCTGCCGAAAAAGAAACTGGCGCCGAATGGAAGTCGTACGAGAACAGGATGAACACATGGTTGGTCCCATGCCTGGGTCAGCTGGCTGTCACGCTTTCCAATGATGCGCTCTGGAAGCCTTTGAACTACCAGGTCCTGCTCAAGACGCGTGAGGATAACAAGCACATCCGCATCTCAGCATTGAAGGTCTTACAAGAGTTCTACAAGCGTCTCGGCGAAGAGTTCCTGATCCTATTGCCCGAGACGATTCCATTCTTGGCGGAGCTCATGGAGGACGATGATCACGATGTTGAGGCCTTGACACAACAGGTCATTGCAGATATTGAAGTCTATCTCGGAGGAAGTTTGCAAAAGTATTTTCACTAACTGATTCAACATCTGAAGCTACACAATAAACATTCTGCATTTGATCATTATTTAAAGCATGGTATCTCTGTGTTATGGTGCAAAACCTTTTGTAATAATTCTGGAATTCAATCTTCGCTATCCAACCCCTTCTACACAAAGTATGCATTCGTATTGAACAGGCCCTCTGACTACGCGAAGTATCCTTTATCCGGTAACTCGTTTAGTCGGTAACATCTATACTAGCTCCTGCTTCTACTCCTTCTCTTGCAATTAGACGCACAAGGAATCGTTCGCGGGTGTCGAGGAAGACGAATGGTCTTGACCATCTTGCTATGCATGGAGGTCGATAATATGGCTAAATGCAGCGCACTCAAATTGAGATCTAAGGCGTCAAGTTTATAGTAGAACAACACTCACATCTGGGATATCCTCAGTATGTTTTCATCGAACCTGTTGCGTGTAATAATAGCAGGAAGAAAACAATAGGCATAAATGCTGCAATTCAAGTTTCCAGCATCCTGACACAAAATTCAGCTGTACAATAAAACATGTCGAGTGCCGCTTTAAAGCATTGACAGCGTTCTAGGTAAAGCCTTGCTGGGGCAGGTTGGTTCGTCTGCGACATGTGTCTTAGCCAGCATCATCGCACAGCCCACCGCTGGGTGTCTCGCAAAAAGGAAGTGTCGATCCTCAGCGACTGTGAAGTTCAAGAGCACTGTCTAGCAATGTGCCGATCGCTCCCTATCGCAATGGGATGAAGAGCGTCAGGCTAAGATACCGCTTGGAAGCACTTGGATCTTGGAAGGGCCGGTCAGTAATAAGATTGTTGAAAGCAGCACAATTCTCGCTCAATATTCGTCACAGGACGTGCATAGTTGTCACATGTACGGTTCCTGCCACTGCCATGGAGTCTACGCGCTTGCATCCACCAGCTCACCATTGCCTTTGCACCGCCTCACTACCGCTACCGCTGCAGCTTCTGGCTTCTATATGCGCCCCTACATCTTGCTGCATCCAAGGGTAGTTTCTCTGCAATGTGAACCATGCGAATGGCTGCGCCCAATGCTAGGATTTTGAGTTTGATCACGGCAACGAAGGTCGAACTGGTCACAACTCTTCATTTTCTTACCGTGAAAGACGCGCGCACAGCATCTTCACACAATCATATGTACAGTTCGCTAAACAATAAGACCAAACCTAGCGACCATCAGCATCAGAGATAACATCAATTAAACTATTTGTATTCTCGCTACTCATTGGGGTCGCTTCCTTCAGTGAAACAGGATTTTTTCTTGTATCGCCTAGTCGCAATGCCCACCCTTGTGTGCTCTTTCTTTCTTCCTCTTCGCTCCTTTTATTCAATAAGTGAACCGTTTCATCTCATCAAGGTGGATAGCGTATCTATAGTGCTGGGGATACCTGATCAAATGAAACTCGCTTTTTGCCGTTGTCGTTTCGTCCTTCATCTCCGTCTCATCAACTCACAACGGGATTCGTACTAGAGATTCGTCCACCTTGTAGCGTCATTCATAGCCAGTTCTTTCATTGAATATCTTGCGTAGTTTCAACTGCTACCGATCTATGCAAAGTGTAGCTACGAATTGGCAGGAACCAAACGCATTCCACCTCGACTCTATCCTGAATCAGACTAGGTAGAATAGATGGTCCTACCACAGGCTCTGGAAGCTGCTCGTTTTACAGGACATTATCTTCCTATCAGTACCAATGCCTTCCAGCTCTGTCTTTTTTTTACCCGCATACATACTGAAGTATTTAGGCATTGTATGGTTTGACTCTAATACCTTTTCTTTTATAACAGACCTATTATTGCTTCGTTCGTCTGTAACGTGGAATATTGTCATGGTTGAAATAAGCGCGGCCTATCTCGGTCGATACGATGGTGAATGAACCCTCGAATGTAATGAACTTTGAAGGCATAAGAGCTATGTCCTTGGCGATGTTGATGTACATTTTCTTTGTCTTTGGACGAATCCGGCCATAAATTCTACTGTTGTATGCATGCTGCAGCTAGCCTACACCGCCTTTTAATTTAGGGATAATCTATTTGACAACCCGGGTTGACACTGCTATTTGGCAACCCCTATACTAACTCCATGTAAGGCCAACATTTTTTAAATGTCGATTATGCCAGTAGTCCTTATGTTACCTGGCCCCGACTCTTTAAGCTAGATCGTCATCTGTCTCTTAAAGGACTCCATAATGTAACTGATTTCCCATTTCGTCATCGCCGAGTCCGTCATCGATAAAATCCTGTTTTCCGTCATGAAGAAGGCTTCTCCCAAGGTCGCAAAAGGTTACATGGGGTGCCAGGTGGAGGAAGGAATGGTTCTCAACCTCTCGCCGCGTTGTTTCGACTTGAAATTCGCAAAAGGTACGAGTCTTGTTTTACATGGGGTTTGTGCAGGGGTTGCCAAATAAGATTAACAACTCGGCTGGGTTGTCAAATAGATTATTCCTTTAATTTATTAGCACGATCAGCTTCGAGTACAATATCGAC